TGGGCTGATACTGGAGGTTAGAAGAAGGAACCTGAAAAGCTCAGAACAGAAATCATGAAATATCTGTATAAATGATATAGTATAGTATGTTGCAGAACATCTTTCAGGGTTCCTCAAGCAAATCCTGCTACAGGGGTTCGTTTGCACTAAAATTCGAGGGGTTGAATTTGACCTACCTTAAATCACGCTTGCGATGATGTTGTTGTGACGCCAGGTTGCTTTGATCGCGAAACCGAAAGCCAGAGAGCCAAAGCATTGACACCCTCAACTTCACGCACCCCCCCCCCCCTTCCCCCTAAGCTCCGCCATCTACGCCAACTTAATCCCACTCATATATCGCAGGGCTGTGGAGCGATTCGAAGCATTAAGGCCTGGAAGGGGAACCTGAAACAATTGAAGCTTAAAACGCCTGGAGCTTCTTGAGGGATGATGCAGGGTTCGGGTGGCGGGACACCGGCTTCTTCAACCCCTATGTGCGTATGCCGTGTGCCCACAACAAACCCTGACCCAGTAGCCCATCTAACGCAAGCGCCCAAACCCTAACCCCCCTAAAAACCCCTCTTTGCACGCCACGCGCGAGAGTGAGAGCCGAAGCCCCTGAAACTCTAAATCCCCAGCATCCCATAAGACCGTGAGAACCGTTAAAGATGCCAACGAAAAGCCCCCCAAAATCCCTGAGCAGAAAAAATCCCTCAACCCCAAACCCTCAACCCTAAGCCCCAAAAACCCTGTAGAGTGAGGCCCCACCTTTGCCCCCCCCCCCCCCCCCCCCTCCCCCCGTCTCTCCGTGAGAGTCAAGGTTGGGACCCAGCCTTGGCTCCTTCGAGACCAATCAAAACGCAGAGCGGCACATTTATGGAGGGCCTTATTTAGGGTTTGGGGTTTAGGGTTTAGGGTTTCCAAGTTCAAAAGGGTTTAGGGTTTAGGGTAGGGTTTAGGGCAGTGCAGCCCACTGCCGAAGGGCGGGGTAGGGTTTAGGGTTCAGGGGCTTCAGAAGCCTTCCGCAAAAGGGTTTAGGGCAGCCAGCATACATGCCCTGACAGCGAAGCAAGGCAAATAGGCATGTCCGACTGGCAAGCCACCGCACCTCAACCGCCCCAACAACCACCCTAAACCCAGAACCCCAAACCCTAAACCCTAAACCCTAAACCTGCATGCCAGCATTCAGACCCTCCGGGCGGCTGCAGGTAGTTGGAGCAACAAGTTGCAGCTTAAAGTCTGAACATAAAGCCCAAGCTCTGAACAGCTTCTAGCTCACTGCAAGCTGGCGGTCGGACGGAGGTGTCTTTCAAGCTTCTGCACGGCGACAAGTCGAGCTACCACAACTCGTCGGCACGCCGTTGGCGACCAGCCCCGAATTGACGCGTTTGCTCAGACTTTTGGGGGGGTGGGGGGGGGGTTAATTCTGTGACAATGTGGGTCACAAGCTTGTGTGGCCCCATGTAAGCCTTCAAGCAGGTGTGTTGAGGCTTTCAGGCTTTCGAAGAATGGGCTGGTCCTTTCAGTCAGGGCAGAAAGAGCTTAGTTACTTAGTTGCTTTTGGACTCGGCAGGGTTGCTGAACTTAGGGGTTTGAGGGTGTTTGGGGTTTTTGGGGTCTAGGGGTGTTTAGGGTGTAGGGCTAGCAAGGTGCGTCCGCATGAGCCGAAGCCCCAAGGCACCACAAAGCTGGAGCCGGAAGTGCAGGGCTTTGGCACAGAGTAGGGCAGAAAGCGTGAAGGGTGTTGTTTCTGCTCAGATTCTACTCGTTCAGTAGAACTATCATGGTATCCTCACCCACCAAAAAACAACCAAACCCCAGTCGATGAACCCTAAACCCTAAACCCTAAACCCTAAACCCTAAACCCCTAACCCCTAAACCCTAAACCCTAAGCCCTAAGCCCTAAACCCTAAACCCTAAACCCTAAACCTACATCCCAGCCCGAGGTTGGAAGTGAATGTAACTGCGGCCAGCACGGAGGTCGACCTGTAGGGGCTCTCAGGGTCTTTACTTGGAGGGTTCAGGGTACTTAGAACCCCAACTATGGGGTTTAGGGTTTAGGGTTTAGGGTTTAGGGTTTAGGGTTTAGGGCTACTTGGAGGTTTCTTGGGTACTTACAACCCCACTTAAGTCCTCTAAGTAGGTCAGAAGTAGACTTACAATAGGGGTTTACGGTTTAGGGTTTAGGGTTTAGGGTTAATAGGGGTTAAGTACTCACGAACCTCCAAGCAGGGTCTTAGGTTCCAGAGTCGGCAGCCTAAGATCATCAAAGACACTTCGAAGCCGTGGGGACCAAAGGAACCCTAAAAGGGTTTATGTTCCATATGCCTTAATCGGGATCATAGTAGTATCGGACACACATGAACCCAGTTTTAGGGTTCGTTTCGTCCCCAAGGATTTGGGGTTGTTAAAGCCTTCAGAGTCCAGCAGATCTTGGAGTTTGGCGTTTTAGGGTTTGCCTGAGTTTTGGGGTTTCGACGTTCGTGGCATCTTCTGTTAAGTCCCTCAGAACAAGGTTCCCTCACAAGCTCAGTCAAATCGAAGTGTGCTTCTGTCGGTTTGCTGATGAGATCTTTCCAGGGGGGCTCAAGATCTGGAGGCGAGCTTGAGTTCGATGAGCAAAAAGGGTCCTTAAGGGAGGGGGGTTCAAGGGCGGTATGTAACCCAAGGGTCCCCAGTACGCCCAACTACTAGTCCCTCAAATAGTGTGTCGGTGTCTGAACTCATGGTCTGGGATCCTCAGCACTCCCGGACCTCAACTCAAGCCTAACCCTATAAGCCCTCTCGCAAGCCCTCAACAAGCCCCTAGAAGCCCCTAAACAAGCCCCCAGAAGTCCCGAAACCTTCTAAAACCACCCTAAGATCTTCTCCGAGCCCCTCGAAGTCCCAAAAAGCTCCCGAAAAGCCCGCCAAGCCAGTCTGCAGGCTGCGCTGAACTTCTCCGAGTTGTGCAACAACTGGACCACCAAGTTGCAGCTTGCAACCTTGCAGTCCGGCCTGGGAAACATAAGCCTAGAGGCGCCCCAGGGGTCTCTTTCGAGTCCTGGGGGGTGGGTTTAGAGGGTTCTGGTTCGACTTCGGTTGGTTTTTGATGCTGGAGTTGCTAATTTGTTTCGGGGGCGAGCACGAGAGATGCCGTCAAGTAGGTAGTTGGTGCACAGCTTTTTGAGAAAGGCCCTCACTGTCCTGGCTTCGGCAGATAGCCTTCATACCAATGTTCAGTTCAAATTTTTTAAAAAGTGCCAACCAAAACAAGGGTGCCCTTATTTATAATATGGTTGCTGGTCTACTAAGTATCGGCAAGGTGCCTGAGCCTGCACGCAAAAAGTCACACGGTGACACTTCAAATTGAGCGTTCAAACCCTAAACCCTCAACCCTCAACCCTGAATCCTAAACCCTGAACCCTAAACCCTAAACCCTAAACCCTACACCCCAACGTAGGACTCATACGGATGCCTCGTGCATCGGGCCCTGTATGCGGGAGCTTGACGGGCCAAAATGGACGGGTATCTGATATCAGGGGAACCACAAAAAAAGCCTCTTTCTGGTCTAAGTATCTTGGTCCTGAAGGTCTAGGATACCAGCAGGCAACAAGGCATGAAGAAAAGCAGTGCAGGGCTGCGGTGTAGGGTTTAGGATTTAGGGTTTAGGGTTTAGGGTTTTGGGTTTAGGGTTTAAGGTTTATAGGATTTAAGGATTCGGGTTTACGGAAACATCGGGAAACCTCGCCAGGCGCACAGTTGGCACGACCAGGCCGGAGGGGACCCATAAATTGCGCCGCCTCTGGTGCCCCTAAACCCCCAACCCTAAACCCTAAGCCCTGAACGACGAGTCGCCAGCCTCCCCCAACCTCTTGTGTGCGATTGACGGTGTGTTGGCATGCGCCTTTGCTTATACCTTTGCGCGTGCAATTTGCGGTTGAAACATGAACATATGTATATGTACATATATATATATATATTCCTCATATTCATATGCCTACATATCTAATCATACACACGCAGGGTGTTTTGATGTTCCCGAAATGTTCCCGGCTTTGGTTCCAGGATGCTGCGTCGTTGTTCGCTTTCCCCTTTGGGGGGCTGCCTGGGGTTAGGGAGGATGCCCCCGAAATCCTGCATTCTAGCACGGACCGTAGCTAACCTCATCTGATCAAGGCCCATTTCAGAGGTAAGTGACTTCCCCCATATAGCGCGGACTTCCTGAAGCTCTCCTTAACCTGATCCTCAAGGAATAGACCCAACAAAGTCGCTCCACCGTGCAGACCGAAACCGCAGTTTCCCCCCCAGCTTCCCACACCCAAAGCCAAGCCTCACAATCCAAAAGCGGCGAGCGAAAGCGACAAAGGGTTTTAGGGACATTTTAAAAATCGGTTTTGGGTGCCCGCACTGCGCTAAAGCCACTCGCGAGAAGTAGAGGTTTTGGGACATCAGGATGTGCTTCTGAAGGTAAGCCCGAAAAGAACCCTCAAGCCGGGCTAGGGCCCTTAGTATGGGCCCCCCTAAACCCTGAACCCTCCTAAACCGCTTTAAGGGGCATATAAGGGGTTCCCGTTTAAGGGCCCGTTCTAAGGGACCATGTAACTCCCGCCCCCCCCCCCTCTGCGAGGTCACACTCATCATCGGCCTTCCTGTATTCCCCCACCTCCAGAGCCATCAGGACGGGCTCCTCAAAAGGAGCCATGGCGGAAAACTTATAGGTATCCCAAGTGGTACATGCCCTTTATCCCTTTGTGATAGCGATACTCGGGACGCGAACACTGATGAGCTCTCTTTTGAATGCCCGTGCAGGTTGCTGACGAGGAACTTGACTCGGGTGTTTTTGTACCGGGTTAGGCCCAGAAGAGAATCCAGGAACCTTAAACCCTAAAGCACACATGTTGAGCAATTCCGGGGGGTTGGGGGGGCGGGGAGGGGGGGGGGGGGTGGTGGTTCCGGGTGCAAGACGGGCTGAGAGCCTTCAGCTCAGGTTGATGGACAACGTCGGCGACGTGACTTTCACAGTTTCTTCCAACGACACCATGGACCGCGCGCTGGAGCAGCCCGGTGACCTTTGGCCAGTCTTTGTGCCTTCCTTGCTAGGAGACCTACACTGAAAGTTAGAAAATCCTGAAACCTACTTCTTTTGCAGCTGGGTCCTGTTCTGGTGATTGGTACGAGTACCGTCTTTGCGTCTGAAAGATCGGTTCACTCAAGATTATGTCTATCAGAAAATTCCGTTCTTTCACCATCATCATTAATCAGCTCTAACATTTCGATTTTTCTAGTCGATGATTCCTCCCCTCTCTTTGTCCAAATATAGGGGGAGGGGGCTTAGAGTTTAGGGAACCATAAACCCTAAACCCTAAACCCTAAAGCCGAAACCCTAAACCCTAAACCCTAAGGGAAGAGTGTCAGCTAGGCGGGTGGCAAAAAAAAAACCCTAAGGGAACCCGTGACCTGCCCCTAGTGCACCCCTTCTTGGAAGCGGAAACTCAGCCATTTCCCAGTGTTTAGGGTTTAGGGTTTAGGTTTTAGGGTTTAGGGTTTAGGTTTTAGGGATTATTGTTTAGGGTTCAGGGTTTAGGTCCCAGAGCCTCTCAGAGATTTCAACTTCCCAGCCGCTGCATTCCTAAGCCATGCCCACTGCCTCACGCTCTTTCGGCTTTTGCAAGAAAAGGGTTTAGGGTTTAGGGTTTAGGGTTTAATTAGGGTTTAGGGTTTAGGGTTTAGGGTTTAGGGTTTAGGGTTTAGGGACCACAAGAACCGCTCCCCAACCCCCGCTTTTCGACCAGGCCTTGGGGATGTTGCGGAGTCGCGAGCAGTTCCTGAAAACCCTAAACCCAGGGTTTAGGGTTTAGGGTTTGGGGTTTGGGGTTTGGGGTTTAGGGTTTAGGGTTTAGGGCTGGGATGTTCCCCCGTATACCAACAGTCCTTAGTAGGGATTCTAGAACCCCCTATGATTCTAATCCCGAATTGGGAGCTGCTAGTATAAGGGGGAACATCCCTAAACCCAACACCCTAAACCCCTAAATCCCAAACCCTAAACCCTAAACCCTAAACCCCAAACTGCCGCCACAAAGGCACCCGGACGAGTCCATCTGGGAACACGCGGAGGCCTCTAAACTTCGTCGCCATTCGGGTGTAATTCAGGCGACCAGGGTTGGGGGTTTAGGGTTTAGGGTTTAGGGTTTAGGGTTTAGGGTTTAGGGTTCAGGGTTCAGGGATTGAAACTGGGGTCCCCCACCCACAGCTTCTTCTTAGTCAGGCTAGTTAAGGGTAGCCTGAGTTGAGAAGTGAGCCGTAGCCCCTCGTCTCGCCGGTGGGTTCGCCTTTCTCAAGGCGGAACGGTTGAATCTTGGGGTAAACCCTAAACCCTAAAGCCTAAACCCTGAACTGAGCCCTAAGCCCTAACCCTTGCATGCAGATTCTGATGGCCAAACCCCTAAGCCCTAAGCCAACAGTTTCCGCCTGGCGCAGACTGGCACTCGAATGCTCCTAAATGCCACGATGACGGATGCTGCAGAGAAGGCGAGAGGGGGGGTGGTTCGGAGTTCTGGACCTGGGAGTGCGAATTCCTTCTACGTCTTCAATCCTTGAAGCCCCAAGACTCCTCCAGTTGGAGCTGAGAGGGTCCATGTGTAGTACTATTATGGAATGAGGCACCCCAAGACCCCTGTTTAGCATGGTTTTTGGGCACCTGATTCCACAAAGGTACTACAGATGGAGCCTCTGGGAAATTTGTCGTCTGCACGCGTTAAAGGATGTTTGAAGCCGTTTTCTTTCGGGTCGGTTCCAAGCTGTGCGAGCTGACCTTCGTGACCACGGCCTAGCTCAGCGCCGCCAGCTCCGGGTTCAGGGTTTAGGGTTTAGGGTTTAGGGTTTAGGGTTTAAATAGGGTTTAGGGTTTAGGGTTTAGGGTACAGCTTGGGGGTTCCCAGCCCATCAGAACATCAGAAGACCATGGCAGGCCTTTCTCCGCCAGTTCAAGCAGCTGGACCCAACTTCGGGAGCTGTCCTGCTCTCCTACTTAAGCCCTGAGCCCTAAAACCCTAAACCCTAAACCCTAAACCCTAAACCCTAAACCCTAAACCCTAAACCCTAAACCCTAAACCCTAAACCCTAAACCCTAAACCCTAAACCCTAAACCCTAAACCCTAAACCCTAACACTAAACCCTAAACCCTAAACCCTAAACCCTAAACCCTAAACCCTAAACCCTAAACCCTAAACCCTAAACCCTAAACCCTAAACCCTAAACCCTAAACCCTAAACCCTAAACCCTAAACCCTAAACCCTACCCCGAATCCCTAAAGGACCCCCAGAATTCACAAGCCCAGGAAGAGCCACCCGCAACCTGGTTCTGGTGGCTGTGGTGCGATGGAAGCTTCTAGACACTAGATTTTGCGGAGTCTGTGTGGGCACTTTAAAGTCATAGAGTCATAACTCTCTAGCCCAAAACCCTAAACCCTAGACCCTAGACCCCCCGAAAGCGAGTGAAAGCCCTACGAGATCCGCCCAGTCTGCCCTAAGGCTCAGACCTAAACACCTAAAGCTTCCTTGGGAATCCTGAGCCCTGAATCCGAAGCCCGACATGCAGCTGAACTGGGGTTTCAGATTTGGTTTGTGGAGTCAAGAGCATTGAGGGTCTCGTTGCCTCAGGTGCCTTGTGAAGAGTCCTGCTCTTGGTGCGGAACTTGCTGCCCGGCTCCAGCCCTGTGAGGGTGAGTTCGGTGAGGGATGGAGAGAAAGCGCTTCCCTGTGGGGGCTAGTTCGGTGGGTGAAGGATGGAGAGGGAGAGGGAGAGGGAATCCCTAAACCCTATCCCTAAACCCTAAACCCTAAACCTGGGATGCCCGGTGAAGCCCCGTAAGCTGCAGCTGCTTGAGGCTGCTCTTTGGGAGCTTGCCTTGCACCGAACTACATCTGGGATCCAGAGCCATGACTGGAAGTTATTGGAGGGTTCATATTCCACATATATATATATGTATATATATATATACATGCATATATACCTATTTTCAGACATATGTGTATATATGTCACATGTCTTAGGGTTTAGGGTTTTGGGGTTTAGGGTTTACGCACAACACTACTGGTAGCCTAGGGATTTGGAAGGGTTGTGCAGGGGCAGCTGGCACTGGGACTTCTTTCAACCACTTTCAGCGCAGGAGGTTGAGTTCTCAGGCATCCTGCGTGGCTAGACTCAGTGGGCGGCTGGTTGCTCTCGGGTCTTCGGGGCAGGCGTAGTGCGGAGGTGCACGTTGCCGCGGCTTGCTGCATCATTCAGGATGCTTCACTGAATGCTTTCGAAGCCTGGGGCCTGAAGTTTCATCAGAGCGAACGTTTTTGCACAAGCACGACCAGCCATATATCAGTAGTAGGATCGATGAAGCACCGGTGTGATCCTTGACTTAAGGTGGTCTAAGAATGCCCTCCGGGTTTAGGGTTTAGGGTTTAGGGTCATGCGCAGATGGGCACCTCTTAACCTCGATCAGTCCCTGCGCAGTGGCGCATGACTGAGTCTAGGCGGGTGGCGCAAGTGAGTACGACCCCTCCGAGTGGAAGGTTTGGAAGGACCTCTTTCGGTATCTCCCAGATGGCCTTAGGGTTTAGGGTTTACGGTTTAGGGTTTAGGGTTTAGGGTTTTAGGGTTTAGGGTTTAGGGTTTAGGGTTTAGGGTTTAGGGTTCCTCCAAATCGTGGACCCGAAGAAGGAGATCCTAAACCCGAACGAGTGTGTTGGTGTCCCGCAGCTTTGTAGTCATGCTCACCCAAGAACTGCCTATTGCCATAGCATGCGCTTAGCCACAACATAAGGGTTAATGGTAGGGTGTTGGGGCAGGAAGATGGGTACTGTGGGATGGCATTTGTGGAGTGAGTTCGGAGCCAGCAAGCAGCCTAATGAGCAGCCTGACGGGACACTTCTGGGGCATTGATGCTTGTGGCTTGCGCTTGTTTCCCGGCATGTGCTTGTGTCTTACGGTTGGGGCTAGCTTTGACAAGAAGGCTCTCAAGTGGTATAAGGAGGCTGAGGGAACTGCAAGGTTTTCGGTTTCAGGTTCAGGGTTTATTGCTCTGTTACGGGCTACAACCCGCAAAACCTTGAAACCCGAAGACGCGGGGTTTTTGCGGCCCTCTTTCTTAGTACTAGATCAGTGTTAGGGATCCTTTTTACTTTTTGGGTTCTGGGCTTTCTTATATATGAACAAAAAGGATCCTTTTTTCTTCCTGGGGAACAGGGATTAAGAGTAGTAGAGTAGGCAACCTGTAACCTCGCTGGGGACTTTGCTTTGCACAGGGCGCGCTTTAACCTTTTTGGGGGTATTCGACTCCCGTGAGAATCCCAAAGGTTAACCTTTAGTTCTCCAAGGATACTGGACAACCAAGTTTTGTGAGTTTCCGAAACCCTAAACCCTAAGCGTCGGAATTCATCGTTTTCGAACCTGCGGGCGCGCTTGGCGACGCAGGACGACCAGTGCCGCAATAACCTCACCTGCGCTTTTACATGCACCTGGGGTCCCAATTATTCGAGTGGTCTCAGGTTCGGATGTTATGTTCCCCCCTTATCCTAACAGCTCCCTAATAGGGATTCTAAAAGGGGTACTAGAATCCCAATTAGTTTACACTGTTCGTACAACATAAGGGGGGATCATTTCAAGGTCTTCGGTTCTCCTTCGCAGGGCTTCGGGTGACGCAATGTCTGTCCTGCGCTTTGCGAGGCCTCGTAGGACAAGTTTTTTTTTCTGTTTCTTTTTTTAGGCTTCGGATCCCAGAGATAAGTACAGGCAACGTCGTCAGGTAGGAATCGAGTTACCTTTTTTGTCATGATGGCGACTCTGTGGTTCTTGAGCAGAAGAGGGGTGGGGCGAAGCGAACTGCTACCTGCCTATACTCGATCAGCGTTAAGGATCCTTTTTACTTTTTGGGTTATGGGCTTTCTTACATAGGAACAAAAAGGATCCTTTTTTCTTCCTAGGGGAACAGGGATTAAGTATAGGCACTTTCGCAGACCTGGCCAGAAACTGTAAAGACTCTCGAAAGCCCACCGTTGACGGCATTTGCTTGGCCCGTAAACCCCTACGCGCCCTTTAGCGGGGACACCGAGCAGTTTGTCCCCCAAACCTTCCCTAAGCCCTAAACCTTTTGTTTTCAAAATGCAATCACCCTTTCAAAGCACTAGACAACCCCAGCTAAATCTCACAGAGCGCAACAAAAAGCACAGATTAGGCACGCCTGCAAAGCATCGAACATCCCCACTCCCCTCTCTCTGACCCCCTCCAAGCCCCTCAAATGGTATGGCACTTCAACCCTCAACCCTGCGAAAACATCTGAGGCTCCGACAGCCCGGTCCACAACCCACGAAAGTTTGCAGCGGCAGCAACCGAGAAGTGCCCTAGCTGCACCGCACAACAAAGGCTCAAGATTTGTTCTGGTTCAACTTCTCTCTTTTTGGGGTAGAGCAGAGCTCCAGTACTTCGGAGAGGAGCTCCCCGCTGGCGTTTGCTAGCACACCACTAGGCACCAAACGCCATAAGCCCTTGGGCCCCTAAACTGCGCGCCTCAGTTGGCTTGGCTCGTTTCCGTCGCCGAAGGACCTGCCGAAAGCCCGGCAAGGGCCAAGGCTCCCAAGGCATCGGCCAGCCTAGGCCACCACCGCTTGCCCACCTGCCCTGGGAATGTAGGTCGCAACTTTTGATTTCCGGTAAAGCGGCACTTATGCAGCGGTCACTTTGCGACCCAGCGCGCCGTGGCCCCGCATCGGGCACGCGGAGCTCAAAAAACACTCTACCCCTTAGACCCCCTCCATTCCCTAATCAGCCCCGCTTCAATTGCCAATGGGTGAAAGTTTTTGATGTGGTGTGTCGAGGTTCCCTAAACCCTAAACCCTAAAGCCTAAACCCTAAACCCTGAACCCTAAACCCTAAACCCTAAACCCAGTGATAATCCCATTTTCTTGGATTCATGGTCCGGGCGATGTCGCAGCAAAGGCCCATTGCAAACAAGGGTATGTGGGGCACGGTTCCATTGCCTTTCGTCCTCGCGAGCCTCGGCCCCCTCTCTTCTTCTTGCCCCCTAAACCCTAAACCCTAAACCCTAAACCCTAAACCCTAAACCCTAAACCCTAAACCCTAGGAGTTCAACTACCAAACAGCCTCCACCGGGGTTGCAAGGATCCTGGGGCTCTTCACCGGCGGTGCGCTGGACATGCGCATGGCCTACGATTCGGACATTGCCAAGGAGATCGGCCTGCGGGGCTCAGGGGCACGGGGGGCCCTAAACCCTAAACCCTAAACCCTAAACCCTAAACCCTAAACCCTAAACCCTAAACCCTAAACCCTAAACCCTAAACCCTAAACCCTAAACCCTAAACCCTAAACCCTAAACCCTAAACCCTATAAACCCTAAACCCTGGTTCTGGCTCGTGCAAACCGGGGCCTTGGGCTCCGCAATCGGTGTCACGGGCTTGGTTTTCTCAGGGGGCTTCTGGTGCTTAAGGCAGGGGGCTTCCGGGTTGGAGGCATCTTGGAGTCAACCCCTGGTTCTTAGTAGGGAATGAGGGAATTAGGGCCCTAAAAACACGTACCCTCTAAGGGCAATCCCTACTAAGAACTAGCCAGAAAAAGCCAGCTTTGTGTATTTCTCGGTTCCAGAGTGTATGAACACAAACCTGTTGAAACCTCTTGTTGTCGGCATTCTGTGTGTTATAGGGTCTGGGTTGCAGGGTTTAGTTGATGGAAGACACGCGATCACAAAGGTCATGCCCTTGGCGAATATATGCCCAAAGCACTTGTATGTGCAGCCTTTGTGCTCCTCTATACAACATACTATGGAACAAGACACGCGGTCACAAGCGTTCATTCGGCGAAGATGCCCAAAACACTGATATTTGCAGCATCTTAATTGCCTCTTGTACGACAGAAGCACAGGAACGCTGTGCGCAGTGTTTTCGTCCGAAAAGCACTCACAAAGCAAGCACTTTGAAACTCACACTGCGCAAGTGCAGCTGCATTTTTGCGCACGTGATCATGAAAGCCCGGTGGCAGTGGTGATTTTGAGCATAGACAAGACACGTCCAACGAATTAGAGGCGTGGACTTTCCACGTTTTCCGGCATCCAACTCCAAACTGACAAGCGCAAAACACCGCAACGAGCGGCTGAAACTCCCGCCATTCCCTCCCCCCCCCCTCCCCCCCACAGCTTTCGGGCTAAGCCTGCTCAAGCCAGAAATCACTCTAAGGGTAGTTAGTTGATTCCATGCTCTCTGAATATTCGCCCTGAATTGAGGAACCCTTACATACCCCTAGCTGAACCCTAAACCCTAAACCCTAAGCCCTCTCAAACCCATGGGGCCCGCACTTCAGAACCCTTTATAAGAAGGTCAAGCAAATCACGCAGGAGCTCGTGCAGTCCATCCCTGAGATGAATATGACCTTCCGCAGCCTTCAGGAGAAGTACAGGCAAGACGAGGGGGTGGGGGTGGGGGTTTAGGGTTTAGGGTTTAGGGTTTAAGGCTTAGAGGGCGTAGGTCTTAGGGTTTATGCAAAAAGGTTGAGGGCAACATGGGTATACTGATGCGTGTATGTATACAAATTTATACACACATGTAAAAAGTCAATATTGGTTTTACAATTATGCAGATTTGTTTATGTATTTGCTGGCCATCCCTCCGTCTCCTCACCCTTCCCGCGCGACCTACCTTTAATGGCTTCCCACTTTCCACTTCATCTTTATATTAGTGCGAGGGGGGGGGTACTACAATCCCTATTACGGACTGTTAGTATAAGGAGGAACATACCAAAGGAAACTCATTAAGCAAAGACGGCGAAAGTGGAAAGCCGTTTTCCGTTGCAAGTCGGGGGTGGTCATATTCTTTGAGCTGTGCGTTGTTAACATCAACCAGTAAATAAAACACAGCAAATGCTGCCTGGTATGCACATACATGTTGCATGCCACGTGCGAAGCATATCTTACAGAGAAATACTCGCCTACGACTCCCCCCCACCCCGAGTTAGTGGTGCAAGAAACGGATAATTTGCTTGCCATCATAGTATCGCGCAGGTTTTTTGTTGTAAATAAGGCTAGTTGCCTTCATCGAATGACAATACCAATGGCTTGTAGCTGCAATAATGCACCATGTAATTTTACGAAGTGAGAAGTGTATACCCCATCGGGTTATATAATCTATGTTCATTTTCGTTCCCACAAGTTAGACATGCAAACACTTGCGTTGGGTTGATTAACATAATTGGGGGGGGGTTCTTTTGCATTTCGTCAATACGTTATACGTTATACTATTCGAAGTCCGGGAATATTGGAAGCCCCACCCTAGCTAAACTACTGTAAGTAGCTCGGATGTTTGGCGAACATTATTAGAGCCAAGTTACAATCAAATAGTCTGAATGGTTGAGAACATTGAAGAGAATGAAGGGCAGCTATTGGGACAACTAGTGTGAAAAACATGTTCCTGGAGCTAGTTGATAGATTTGTTTTGGAATTGGAGCTGCCTTACTATATTCGCTGACTTTCACTAACGAGGGCTTGTAACTCAAAAACGATTTCATACATGACGTGAGTAGAGGAATACTTGTTTGAGTTTTACATGAACAATACTAGTTTTCGTAGTAACTGACAGTTGCACGATGTTCGTCACGACAGATGCGTTATGTACCGTTTGAACGTGGTGCAAGGAGCGAGTTTCCGGTCGAAGCTTTACACAGGAATGCATCTGTGTTAGAGAGCAAGAGGGGCGAACATCGCACAGGTACCACGAATTCAGTATAGACATGTAACAACTGAGCATATCCGAAAGTTGCAGGAAATTCGGTACTTACGTAGGAAAGAATGGCTAGGTAGGTCACGGTGGGGTCAGTGTCCGGCTTTGTGAACCTTAAACCCAAGCCTGTGGCAATAGGCTCTAAACCCTATGAACCCTATAAGCCCTACGGGGTTTTAGGGTTTTAGGGTTTAGGGTTTTAGGGTTCAGGACTCTGAGTTTAGGGTTTCGGGTTTAGATTTAGGGTGGGCATCTTCTCCCGCGACCCCTCAGGACACTTGCAACGCAGGCGCACTTGGAGGCCATCACCCTGTCCCCTCTCCAGCACCAATTTGTGGAAGCAGGCACCAGGGGCTGAACCCTACACCCCAAACCCTCTAAAACCTCGTAGGGTTTATAGGGTTTAGGGGAACACGCTGGGATAGGTTTGGAGGCCCTAGAAGATTTCCTTTTATGGCTTTCTGAGCATTATACAGGGAACTAAAGGTTGAAAAACATTACAAAATTATGTTCAAACCTACCCCCGTACACCCTAAACCATATAAGCCCTACACCATAGTGCTTCAGCTTCTCGCAGCGCGCGAGGCCTGTTGGCTTTTTGGCATCCCGACACAAAGAAAAAAGACACACCCACAGCTTTCTGAGCCGTGCTTTTGGTGTTCTATCTTTGGGGAGTTTGGTGGGGTACCCTAAACTCAAAACCCTACTCAAGTCCACGTCAAGGTTCCCGAAAGCAACACCCCAACAGCTGCGCCCTTGGGCTGCGGATCTCGTAGACTTCGCCAAATGAAGCTTTCACGCCGGTTTTTGTTGGAGGCACCGCCTTTGAAGACAGGGGTAGGCTTGGACAAAAGTTTGGATATTCTTAAATTACCTTTAGTCCCCTATATACCCCTTATAAGGCCAGCATCGAATCTTTACAGGGCCCCCAAACCTACCCCTCTTTTGCCTCAGAGGTGTTGAGCTTCTGACAGCAGCAAACAAGTACCTGGAGAACATCCTGTCAGTTGAGCTGAAGTACCTTGGAAGCATTCCAAGGAGCACTGTGTCGCTGTAAGCGAGCCCTTAACCCCAAACCCTGATGCTAGAGTTTCATGGATGCTTCTAGGCTTTGAAGCACGGTCAGTTTTCGGACATGCTGTGGGTTGGGGTGATTTGCGATTTCGGGTTCGTGAAGCACCCGAAGTACTCGTAGCTTACCCATTTAGACAGACCATGCGCTATGGTTGTGCTCTTGACTTGTCCTTCTATGGGGAGGTGCGGGGGAGGGCGGGGGGGGGGGGTGCGGGGAACCCCTAAACCCTAACCCTAAAACCTAAACCCTAAATCCACCCTAAATTCAGCAAGGCGGGTGGCAAACAAAAAAGACACCCTGCAGGAACGTGCCCGACGGAATCAAGATGATGGTGGAGTTCGACAACCTGAAGCCGCTGCCCCAGCCCAGGCTGTTGCAAAGGGTTTGGGGGGGGGGGGGGGGGGGGGGGGGGGGGCGCTTACAGGGTTTAGGGTTTAGGGTTTGGGTTTGTCCGCAGTCCAGTTGCAAAAAAGGGTTTAGGGTTTAGGATTCAGGCAATGCCCTCAGTCCGGCTGCAAAAAGGGCTTAGTGTATTTAGGGGAAGGCAACGCACCTGAGGGGAGAGCAAGCGTCAGGTTGTTTAGGGCTTTATAGTCGCTGTGATGGACATCTCTTGCAGGGCGACTTGAAGGTCTTGACTTAGGCCGCCCGAAACCCTAAATCCTAAACCCTAAACCCTAAACCCTAAACCCTAAACCCTAAACCCTGAACCCTGAACCCTGAACCCTGAACCCTGACAAACGAACCCTAGGGTAGGTTTTCAGGGGCGGGGATCCTGTTTTCAACTGCCTAGAGCCTCTAGGAGGGCAATCTGAGGGGCCGGAGCCCCCCCCCCCCCCACCCCCTCCTAGAGCACCTCAAGAGAAGCCTTACAGCAAGGATACCCGTCATAGTTGAAAATTAAACTTTTGGTGTTTCCATATTCGGTTGGAACAAGAAAGTTTATCATTTTGCTCTTGTTATTGGAGAAGTAAGCTTCTGGAGGGTTATAGGCGAATCCCCTCCCCCTAATATAAGCCCCCCTCCTACTCTAAATACTCCGATTGTAGGTATACTATAGTATCTAGGGGAGGGGAGGCGGATGGGTTTCGGGGTTTTCGGGGTCAGGGTCCCGGCTGTGACATTCATTAGCTGGGGTCTGGACTTCCTTCCACACTAAACCCTTACACCGTTCAACCGGTGATGGCTAAATCCTCAAGCGAACCCGTTAAAACCTGCACACTCCGGCTGACGTTCAGGCGTCTGCTTGTGCAACTTTGGCCAACCCTAAACCCTGAACCCTAAAGCAGTAGGGTTTTTGTTGTCTTGTGCGGCCCTCAGAAGCAGGAACGCGCTGGAGCGCTCGCAACCCTAAACCCTAAACCTCCATCTTGGCTGAGGCCTTTCCAGTTTATCTTCAGCCTCCTGGACGGAAGTGGCATCCTGGGTATGCTGACAGCAGGTCCGGTTCTCATGGGTTTGGGGTTTAGGGTTTAGGGTTTCGGGTTTAGGGTCTCATCTTGGGCGGGGGGTGAGGCAGGGGAGAGGAGATTTGGGCTGAACTGAAGTTGTGTGCGACCTCATCTGTTCCGCATAGTGCATTATACGAAGAAAGGCTCATGATTCGGATCAAGCCCCCCACATATTTTGGGAGTGACCTTGGAAATCGTTTCGGAGAACCTGTGGGCCCTAATCCCCATAAGGATTCTAAGACTCTTTGTGAGGGAGTTGGGTTTACCATGGGTTTACCCTTTCAGACTTGGTTGGTACCCTTTACCAAGTTTTTTTGGTTATGGGTTCCCTTATGCAGTCACCAGCCCATGAAAGGGTGACCTGGCTGCTGGCAAGTCTATGTGCGGTTGTTTAGGATTTGTTCAGTGTTGTTCAGGGTCTTGGGGTTAGGGTTTAATCCAAAATTGATTTAGGCGTTTGTGGGTGGCTGAATCTTCGCGGACGTACTTGGTACAACCTTGCACCATGAAGCTTCCGATACCGTCGATGCGTTCGCGCGGATACGTCCTATTGATATCACTGCCACTGCGATCTTTGCTTCAGATTGCCATTTGTTGCCCTTGTCAGCAACTACGAGGGAACAGACATGTGAACTCAGTGTGTTGCTGTGCCTATCTGGTACGTCCCCAGCCATGACTTGCCACCCTAAACCCTAATCCCTAAACCCTAAACTAACCCTGAACCCTAAACCCTGAACCCTGAACCCCAAACCCTAAAGCCTAAACTCTCTCCGAATCACTCACCCCTCTTGCTCGGGTTTTTGGGGGATTTCGGGGGAGCCCTAGTTTTTGAAACCCGAAGCTAGAGCTGACCTGGGAAGGCCCGCCCCCTGAGTCTCCTGTCGCGACGGCCGCAGAGGACCGGGGTTTAGGGTTTAGGGTTTAGGGATGGTTTAGGGTGTAGGGTTTAGGGTTTAGGGGTTTAGGGTTGAGGGTGTAGGCGTTTAAGGTTTGGGGTACGGACACAGTCGAGCCCGTTCAGGGCGACCGTAACTGGTGTTAAGTTGTTGGGCTTGTGAGTGAGCAGATGCATCCTCACCAGCGGACCCAAATTGTTAGCGGCAACTGATACCAAAAAAAATGGGGTCCTGTCAGGCTGGGGGCTTGCTTCCGGCTCCTCTTGCCCTTAGCTCTGGAGCCCTCTGCGCCTCAAACGTCGACATCTACGAGTTGCCAAAACCTTTGTGCAACCCCCAAGGACCTTGAAGCCCAACATGCATGGGGTTCCCTTTCTAGTAAGGCACCCTGAGAATTCATAGTAGGGACCCCTCCAAAGGGACCCTAGTTTGGAGAACCGCAAAACCCTCAACAACCCTAAGCCGGAGAGTCTGGGGGGGGGGGGGGTTGGGTGTGACTGTGAAGGCCTGATTTTTCTTGTAATCTTTAAAGGCACTGTCTTCAAGATGCACTAAGCCAGACATTTGCCCTGCGACCTAGCACTGGCTTTCAGTCAGCTAGGCCGGAGGCCAAAAAAAAACACCCTAACCTACCAAGCCGCCTGAAGGAGACGTCATATCTTGGGATGTTCCCCCTTATACTAACAGTCCTTAATAGGGATTATGATAGGGGGCATAAGGGCGAACATCCCAAAACCCAACCTACAAAGCTGCCCTATAAACCCTACACCTAGTATAGGAAACCCGCATATCCTTAGACTCGGCGCGCCTGGCAGGAGGAGACCACGGCCCAAACTGGGAGCAGCATTGGCGTCCGCCTGCTTAATTTAGCTCTGCTTCATCTAGCTTTCAGGTAAAAAGGGGCTTAGGGTTTGACAGGGTTTATGGGGTTTAGGGTGAGAGGTCACCCTAGGCATTTTGGCATATATATATATATATATGCTACCCCCCCCCCTAAAACCCGCGTTTTACTACTTTCCTGTATGTCACCATTACACGGACCAGATATATATATATATATATACACAAAATCCGCTTGATATGTTTACGTGTATGTGTCAAAATACAGGAGTATACAACGGCGGTGATGCGGAGCATACAAAAAAAGTTCATGTACGCGGGGAGTGTGCGAAGCACGTAACAGAAGCCACACTCTGAAGCAGAGACTGTCGCATACACAGCATTGCCGCCATCACTGTATTACCGCACGCCAGTCACGCTCGTATGGAGTAGTCCCGTGCATTCTTCTAGTAGAATTTGCGCATGTTCTCTGCGCAAATCTCACCGCACTTAACCCAGAGGTCACAGTTCTTGTACCAGTACTCGTACTGTGCTGCGCGCAGCTTCGCTCGCAAGAGTTTGCTACCGGCCCTGCAGTGTTGATTGATCTGTACACGATCCTTCAGGAATCGCCAGCACCTGTCTACCACCTGAGTCCCCGATTTGACTGTCAGCTTTCGCTTGGTTTTCGGGACGACGTGCTTCACCAAGGTGACGTACTTCGGCTGTAGCCACACTAGCTTCCCATTCTTTCTCACCCGCTTCTTGCAATGGACGACACGGTCATGGATCACGCCCGGAAGGGCCAACTTGTACGACTTGGCTGAATCCGTGTGCAGCACCACCCGTCGGTTCTCCAAATGCTTTTGTCCTATGGTTTTCCACTCAACGCGCCTGATTGCCCCCGGACCAGGAGCCTTGGAAACCGTGAGTTTGGGTGTGAGCTTGCAAAGAACCAAAGACTGAGGATGCCCTCTTTGGATGATACCGGCCCACTGCTCCCACATCGTTGTGTTGGTTTTCTTCTGGATCAAGTGCTGGAACTCAACCGTGCGTGAGATGTCTCGTTTGTCGAAGGTTGCTTCATCCTTAACATGAATTTGGAGGTTAAAAATATGAACGACGCAAACGGAGACAATAAGGAAAACATTTTTCAACTACAAGCCCTAAACCCAAAATCATAAACCGCATATCTAACTATGTTGTCAACCATATAGTAGACCGAGATGCAGCTTCCACGTCTTTCCAGTTACGACCGTCACCGAAAACAATCTCTTTCTCTTTCTTCTCGACAAATTCCCGTCTGAGTTCACAGAGTTTCTTCTCCATGTCCTCGATGCCTTTGTGATTGATGTCTAAGAGAACATGAATTGCTGGATGTGGGACTCGGAGGAGCTTGAGGAGAAGCATGGCACTCTGATCTTGCAAGCTTGTGGCCCCTGTGCCGCGACCATCTGTGAAAAGAGGATGCAAGTGATGCGGGCTCATCCAGACGTGGCAATTGCGAGAAGAGCAGCGATGTTTGTACTGGCCACTGGGCTTGTGAAGTTTGAGCTCTGAAAGGATGCCTGCCTTGCATCGGGGGCAGCATTTCCCTTTCCAATTAGGGAGGAGCTTGTCTTTCACCAGCATAGTGACAATGTCCTTGTTGGATGCTGTGAGCAGGTCGGTAATGGATCGCTTCCATTTGACCTGGTCTTTGCGCTGGCCTCGAGAACTAACGGTGACGTTCTCCCGGACGTACTTGGTAGCTTGCCATGCCTTGTTCTTCTTGGCTGCAGGACGTTTTTGCACCGAGCGTCTCTTTCCTTTCTTGGGAACGATAGGCTTTGTCCTTTTTCCCATGACTCAGCACAACTATACAGCTACCAGATGCGTGCTTGAGGACCCTGTTGCAACAAAACATGGCAGAAGCGATGGATGGAAGTGTTGCATGCCTGGCTGCAAAATCAGATCGCTATGAGGTGGTGTTTTGTCAAGCGAAGCTCGTTGTGGTCTATTCTTCCGGCGTCTGATGTCAGAGCAATGATGAGTCCATGACCTGCCTGCTTACTGGTGGAGAAATCACCGAGTGCCATGTACTTGGTAAACCATTGAAAACAAAAGAGTGAATGTAAAATCGTATCAGTTACAATCCTAACTCCTAAAGTTCCAGGCAGGTCTCAGAATTGAACTCATATACTGACTGGACACTGTTAGGAAGACGAAGCCAAGAGCGGGCCATCCGTGAGAACTGCGCAGTTGTGAGTCCCTGACCTGTCTACTTAATAGGAGTGAAATCGTACAGTGCTATGTATTTCTGTACCATTTTGTAAAATGTTGGAAAGTAAACCCATATATTATTTCCTACTTCAAAACCGTAAACCCATGGGCAGGTCTCAAAATTGAACTCAAGTACTGTGGGATGGACACGAAGCCAAGAGCAGGCTGCCCACTAGAACTGCTGCCTCTCACTCCTCCTGAAACAAAGAGCCGCCAAGATTGAGATGATCTTCTTCGGAATCGTCATCAGCGACATCCATCTCGTCTCCGGGCAGATCTAAGTCAGGATTGGGAATGACAAAGGCTGGAGCAGATCCAGGGGGTAGATCGCGGGACGATGCTGCAGGGGGGGCCAAATGAGAGGAAGCTCTAGGTGGCGTTGCTGAAGGTGTCGCCGACGATGGGGAAAGCTCCAAGACGGTGTTGGGGCCCAGTGACTTGCTGAATGCATGGCTTCGCAGAAGAAATCCGGCATAGTCCTGCTCAAACTTCTCCTGTTTCACTTTGGTTTTGGGCGTCATTGGTGCTTCGGGCAGAGGTGCGTCAGGGCTGTCCGCCTCCAAGACTTCTCCCCCACAGATAGCTGCCAAACCCTCGTGAGCCTCATGAAACTCTACGGACTCCATCTTGACAATGGGGACCGGCAAGTCATTGGTGTAGTGTTCTCTGATGTCAAATTTAGCCTCATGAGCCCGTAAGGTTTCCGTCAACCACTCCTCTTCATGTGCGATGAGATCGCCCATGCATTGCGGGGGGTCGCCGCCCTTGCGATAGTTGCTGAATCGAGTCTTGCACTCGTCCAGTAAAATGTCACGCAGGGCCCAACGATGGCGATTCACGGGAACCACATGTTGCGACGGGGGACGACAGTAGATGCTATCCTTTGTGAAAACGATGAAAACACCACGCTTGAGCATGGCCCGGGTGTCAGTGTCGGAACTGTAGCCAAGACTAGGACGGACCATTTTGACGAAGTCTTCGTGGGAGATGGAAGTAACATCGGGCGCAAAAGGCTCGGTCGCATTGTAGTCATTGTCGACCACGATTCGGAGCTGATGCTTGATGAACTTCGCTGCGTTCCAGCGTTCTTTGGTCATAGTCTCATTGTCTCCGACGTCAGCATAAGCCTTTTTCTTTTTGACCGACTCACCAGAGATGTCACCGTCATCGTAGATTGCCGGTGTCTTCGTGTCGAAGAAGACACCCCGGAAGAAGTCTAAGTCAGACGCTGACCGATACTGACCTGGGCCTCCCCAGTAACGGCTAAACATCATGGCAGTGGTTCGTGCGAGCGGGGTCTTGCCAACGCCTGGCTCACCGATCAGCCACAGACTGTGGTCAAGGAGATGGGGCACTACATCCTTGAAAATCGTGTCCAAGAAGAGCGGATGAAAATCCGTGAGAACCAGATCGTATCTGGTGGTGAGTTTCGCAAGGAAGCCGTCGTTTGCTAACGAGTCAAGTGCCTTCTGCACAAGCTTTTCGGGCCAGCCTCTGATGGGACTGCCGTCCTTGCTGATGTTCTTGTGGATCCACCTCAACTGTTTCAGTTGACCCCTGTCACGCTCCCCGTGTTGAATGATGAAATCCCACCCTGCGTCCTGGTCTTCTTCGGTAAGGCCACCGCCTAGCGCGGATGAGGAGGCTGATCGCTTCTTATCAGCTGCACTGCTCAGGGTATAGTGCCTGAACTGTAGGCCTCCCATCTGCTCAAGCATCCACTGGAGTGCCTTGCGCTCCACAACTTTGTTACCGTTACCCCACACAATCTCGTGTGGCTTGCCAACCATGTGTCGGCGGAGCTTTTGCTGTGTGAGCTTGCCCTTGGTGAGAAAGAAGTGTTTTATCAACGTGTAGTTGCCGTTCCCTTGAGGCACGATGATGTACTGCGACTTGTACTCGAACGTTGGATGGTTTGCCAAGTTGCATGCAGGCTGGCAGCTCGCTCCAAGCTTTGTCTTTGAAGATGCCCTTGAGTGTGTCTACATTGAGCTCGACCGGGGGGAGGTCGTGGATGATATCAAGGAAGTGTCGCAGAGCTTGATTTGGATTCGAAAACCTTAGGCTTACTGTAACTGAGACACCACTATGAGCTACATTATATTCGAAAATGTATTGATATACAAATTTTCCAGGTGAGGCACTCGCGAATCGGAAGATTCAGGATGTTGATGGCCCCTTCTGGGCCAGGCCCCACGGCGACATGCTCCGTAAGTTCCTTTAAAATCATTTGCTCTGTGGCCTCGGTAGCCTGAGCGAAACAAATGTTATCAGCATCCATTGGCTGAAAGAGCTAGGGTACCGCGAGCTACGACAGTTCGAAACTGATGATGGCTACCAAAAAGAGTATATGCTCAGCTGTGAAATAGTATGATTCCGGAAGTCCGGACTTGTGTGAGGTCCCCTTCCAGAATTCAAGAAGTCCAGAACTCCAGTTTTTTTTTTAGACCCCCAGTTCCAGAATTCCAGAATTCCAGATTTTTTGGGGGACCCCAGTTCCAGAATTCCAGAATTCCAGAATTCCAGAATTCCAGATTTTTCGAGACCCCCAGTTCCAGAATTCCAGAATTCCAGAATCTGGAATTCTGGAACTAGGTGTCTGAAAAAAATCTGGAATTCTGGAATTCTGGAATTCTGGAATTCTGGAACTGGGGGCCCCCAGAAAATCTGGAATTCTGGAATTCTGGGATTTTAGAAGTATGCCAGTTCCAAGATATAGAGACAAAAAGAAAAACACAAATATAAGCAACGGAGACACTATATACGCACGCAAGTCAAGTGTTTCGTATTCGGTTGGAGGCGTTCGTGAGTGATGGGACCGCAGCATCATGAGCATTTTAGCATCTTAGAGCCCCATGCTCTGCAAATCGACATGTCAGCTCCAAACCGTAAACCGTAAACCCTAAACCCAGTGCCCCTCGAAGATGCTCACGATGAGGACCGTACCTCCAGGAGATGAAGCGTGGGTTTTGGGGGGGGGGGGTACCATATATATATATATATATATATAATATCTCTTTTTGTTGGGTTCAGTGAAGTAGTTAGTAACTCAGAGTTGGGATGCTGCTGTAGTTTGGGGCCTCCAGCGCTTTGGAGACTGGGCGGTTGCCACAGTCGACCCTCCCCCCCCCCCCCCCCCCCCCGCCCGCCGAGCGCTGCTGCGTGCCAGGGTGACCAGGGTCATCTGCACCATACGAGGGTTTATAGGGTTCATACATATAGGGTTTCGGGTTTAGGGGTCTTATGGGGATAAGCCCTAAACCCTAAGCCTAAACCCACGTTGGCACCTTACAGCATGCCTGGGCCGCAGCTGGCATCTTGTGTCCAGCCTTCCCAACTCGAGGCTTGTTCCTCTCCCGCCTGTCCCAACAAACAGAAGCACCCCCCTTGGTTCCGAGGCCATTCCTTAAGAATCCTCTAAGGGGTTTGATAAGAGGAACCTACACGAAAGTAGGTTTTGGGTTCTTAAGGCTACCTATGGGAAAGCCCTGAAGTTGTTCCTCCAACATTGGGCCTCCTGAGCAGATTTTGGGGTGAGATCTCGCAGGCTCGCTGAAAGCACCACCAAGCGCCACCACCGTCTTCGGACATAATCTGGGTCCTTGTCAGGGAATTCAATATGAGGCTTCCCATAGGGACAGATAGCAGATGATGCCTAAACCCTAAACCCTAAACCCTAAACCCTAATTAAACCCTAAACCCTAAACCCTCTGTGTCGGGGGGCAAGGCTGACGACTCCGGTGCCAGCATCACTACGCCTTTGCCGCAGAAGGTGGCAGCATTTCTTGGCCGGGCTGTGACTTTGACAAAGCCACTCTGGGTGCAGGGCAGGGTTTCAGAAAGTTAGGGTTTAGGGTTTATTTCTGGTTGGTGGAGTTGGAGGGCTTCTGCGACTGCATTGTGCGGACCAATGACCAATATTCAGATCCGCCTGCTCAACTTCGTAAGCAGTCGGCACCCAAAGAGCCTTGCGCAATCAGCGATCCACCTTCCCCTACCACTTCACAAGATAAGCACGCCCTCAGAGATGTAGGTTTCCCAGTGGACCAAAACTCAAAGGAGAGCACATCACTGGGTGTGTATATATATATATGTGGAAATTAGCCCCCCCCTGCATATATTCGGATTCGTTGGCAACCTACATGCACAAACTAGCTTTTGACGTCTCTGAAGGGGGGGGGGGGGGGGGTTGTGGGGTTCACGCGAAACAATAAAGGTTGAGTTGTTGAGCAACAAGGTGTTGGGATGGGATGGCGGGAATGGGGTAGGGATGCATCGTCTTTGACTTGTGTAAACCCCTTGAAGCCCAAAGCCCCACAAAATCCCCTGTCTAAAGCCCCACCTTCCTGAACCCCTCAGAATACTCCCCAAAGAAACCCTACGTGCAAAGCTCTGCAGGAGGCGACCACACCCACAACGAGCGGAACTCCCGTCCGCTGCTTACAACTGATTTTCAGCGTTCACCTCAAGAACCCAAACTTACTTCCATGCAGGCGGGTATCTTTTTAACCCTTGTAGGATTATTATAGGCAACCTACAAAGTAGCTCTTGACGTTTCTGGTGGGAGGGTGGTGGGGTTCACGCAAAACAAGGGAACCTGAACTGACGGCCCTAAGCAACGCCAAAACTGGCTCCGGAGCCAGGAGGCAAGCGGGGTTTAGTTTCCTCAGATTCCTCAGTCCTGAAAACCTCACCCCAAGCTACCTCTCTTAAGCCAAGACCCTAGCGGCTCTAGCGCAACTCTAGCGTGGTGCAGATTCGGGTTGGTTGCGTGTTTCACTGATTCACAACCTGCTGTTACCAAGACCAAGCTTGTTGAGGTTTTCCGTGGGTTGTTGAAATCAAGCGTTCCGGGCGTACCGTCTTGGTGGCCAAGGCTCGGCCACGGCGTAGATGTTTGGTGCGGTCTTCGGTAAGCTCACAAGCCCCCCAGAAAAAAACGGCTTCATCTCTAAGGCACACGACTCCGACGACAGCACTGCGGATCTTTAGCCGCAGAAGCAAAACATTTTCCCCGCTACCCGATAGTTAGACGCTGACAAGTTCTTGCTCTGTGGACATGCAACCTTGAAAGGAAACGGGTGAAACGTATGTGGTGGAATATGAGAAGCACCCCGAGCTGAATGGCGAGTACGTCGAAGATGGCACCATGGAAGGCAAGCCCAAGTTCAAGCAACGAGGCGGCCGCGGCGTCATCTTCTACTCAGGCGGGCGACAGTGCACGCTCTCTGCTGGGGATGGTTCGCTTCCGCTTCGGATGCTTTTACTGTGAGTCCGTTTCCGTTTTGTCTGTCGCTTGCGAAAAGCATGTGCTCAAGTGGCGTTGGCGAATTGGAGCCTTCAAGAATTGTTGGTGGGTAGCTGCCTCGAAGTTCGACTGAGTATCCAATAGCTCAGAACCGCGGCTGCCACGCAGGTAAGTGGGGCTGGGGGCACAGATGGTTCATCACCGATAAGGTGGGCCCGATCACGGTTGGGGTGAGTGTGTGCAAAGTGTGTTGTCAAGCGCCTTTGGTGTAGAATCCTTGGATGTTCTCGGCATAACCTCGTTGGCATCAACAGGGCCCCTCCATCCACGATCAGTCACAATGCCTTGCGTAGTCTTGTGCAGCTGCCTAGCTCGATCAAGTGACCCCTGCCAAGGCGAAATCCTAAGGCGCTGGAGAGCTTGTTTTCGGGAAGGGGCTCCCAGCGAAACGTGCGGGGAGCGGCAGGGCCGAAAGATGCCGAACGCCCCACAAATACCTGGAGACGGGAGTTTCTTTGTCATGGCAGCCATGTATAACGGAGGTGTTACAGTGTTTCTGTGAGGAACACAAGACTCGACAGGAGGAGTCGCGAGCAAGAAACTCCTTCTCACAAAACCCCCATCACTGCCCCCAAAGCATGGTGGCGCTTTTCGCGTTAGTTTTGGGGGCATTCGGGGCCTGGTTTGCAAGCTGCACGGATTGCGCGCGTGCCAGGACCCACCCAGCGGCTGGTTGTCTCGGCACCCGAAGTCGGAAAACGCTCCTTTGCCTCCTGAAGAGCTGTGGAGGGACGCAGTGGGAAGTCTGCAGCCGCTCATCCGCCGCAAGGATGTGGGGTGGTTGGCATGGCGGTCGCCAAATTGGGGCCTGTGAAAGGGTTGCTTGGCCTTTCCCCTTCGTGCAAAGCTCCGCAGGAGGCGACCACGCCCACCACGAGCAGCACTCCCGTCCGCTGCTTACAACTGCTTTTCAGTGTTCGCCTCAAGAACCCAAACTTACTTTAATGCAGGCGCGTGTTCTTTTAACCCTTGTAGGATTCTTGTTGTGGGGTTCCGCAGAACAAGGGGAAGGTCAGGGTTTCGACTTTCGACCGACCTGCTTCGTGGAAAGGCACTCGCCGAGAGCTCCAGCACCACAGCGCCTTAGCCGCAGCTGCGGGGAAGAACTGGTTCCGGACGTCTCTTCGGGCTTGAGCTTCCTCAGTCCTAGAAACCTTCACCTCAAGCCACCTCTCTTAAGCCAAGACCCTAGCGGCTCGAGCGTGGTGCAGCACTCGCTTCTGCGGGGCGGGTGCTCGATTTGGGTTGGGTTGCGTGTTTCACTGATTCGCAAACTGCCGTTTCCAAGACCAAGCTTGTCGAGGTTTTCTGCGGGTTGTTGAAGTCAAGCGCTCAGGGTCAGGGCGCACAATCTTGGTGGCCAAGGCTTGGCCACGGCGTAGATGTTTGGTGCAGTCTTCGGCAAGCCCACAAGCCCCCCCAGAAAAACGGCTTCGTCTCTATGGCACGCGACTCCGACGACAGCGCTGCGGATCTTTAGCCACAGAAGCAAAAAAAGTCCCAGCTACCCGATAGTTAGACGCTGAAACGTGCTTGCTCTCTGGACATGGCACCTTCCAAGGAACCGGGTGCCACGTATCTGGTGGAATATGAGAGGCACCCCGAGCTGAATGGCGAGTACGTCGAAGATGGCACCATGAATGAGGGAAAGCCCAAGTTCAAGCAACGAGGCGGCCGCGGCATCATCTTCTACTCAGGCGGGCGACAGTGCACGCTCCCTGCTGGGGATGGTTTCGCTTCTGTTTCGGATGCTTTTACTGTGAGTCCGTTTCCGTTTTGTCTCGCGTCGCTTGCGAGAAGCGTGTGCTCAAGCAGTGACGTTGGCGGATTGGAGCCTTCAAGGGGTGTTGGTGGGTAGCTGCCTATCCAAAAGCTCAGAACCGCCGCTGCCAGGTATGTGGGGCTGGGGGCACAGATGGTTCATCACCGATAAGGTGGGCACGATCACGGTTGGGGTGAGCGTGTGCAAAGTGTGTTGTCAAACGCCTTTGGTGTAGAATGCTTGGATGTTCTCGGCAAAACCTCGTTGGCATCAACAGGGCCCCTCCATCCACGATCAGTCACACTGCCTTGTGTGATCTTGTGCAGCTGCCTAGCTCCATCAAGTGACCTCTGCCAAGGCGAAATAAATCCTAAGGCGCTGGAGAGCTTGTTTTCGGGAAGGGGCTCCCAGCGAAACGTGCGGGGAGCGGCAGGGCCGAAAGATGCCGAACGCCCCACAAATACCTGGAGACGGGAGTTTCTTTGTCATAGCAGCCATGTATAACAGAGGTGTTGCTGTGAGGAACACGAAACTACAGTCGCTAAACTAAACAAAGTCACAGGAGTCGCGAGCAAGAAACTCCTTCTCACAAAACCCATCACCCTGCACCCTAACCGTTAGCCCCCAAAGCATGGTGGCGCTTTTAGGGTTAGTTTTGGGGGCATTCGGGGCCTGGTTTGCAAGCTGCACGGATTGCGCGCGTGCCAGGACCCACCCAGCAGCTGGTTGTCTCGGCAACCGAAGTCGGAAAACGCTCCTTTGCCTCCTGAAGGGCTGTGGAGGGACGCAATTGGAGGTCGACAGCCGCTCATCCGCCGCAAGGATGTGGGGTGGTTGGCATGGCGGTCGCCAAATTGGGCCCTGTGAAAGGGTTGCTTGGCCCTTCCCCTTCGTGCAAAGCTCCGCAGGAGGCGACCACGCCCACCACGAGCAGCACTCCCGTCCGCTGCTTACAACTGCTTTTCAGTGTTCGCCTCAAGAACCCAAACTTACTTTAATGCAGGCGCGTATTCTCTTTAACCCTTGTAGAATTCTTGTTGTGGGGTTCACGCAAAACAAGGGGGAAGTTAAGGGTTTAGACTTTAGACCAAACCGCTTCGTGGAAAGGCACTCGCCGAGAGCTCCAGCACCACAGCGCCTCAGCCGGAGCTGCGGGGAAGAACTGGTTCTGGACGGAGGTGGCAAGGTTGTCTCTTCGGGCTTGAGCTTCCTCAGTCCTAGAAACCTCACCTCAAGCCACCTCTCTTAAGCCAAGACCCTAGCGGCTCGAGCGTGGTGCAGCACTCGCTTCTGCGGGGCGGGTGCTCGATTTGGGTTGGGTTGCGTGTTTCACTGATTCACAAACTGCCGTTTCCAAGACCAAGCTTGTCGAGGTTTTCTGCGGGTTGTTGAAGTCTAGCGCCCAGGGTCAGGGCGCACAATCTTGAAGGCCACGGCGTAGATGTTTGGTGCGGTCTTCGGTAAGCGCTGGGTACCTCCCCCCCCCCCCCGCCGGAGAAGCGGCTTCGTCGCTAAGGCACACGACTCCGACGACAGCACCACGGAGCTTTCGCCATAGAAGCAAAGCATTTTCCCACCTAAAGGATGGTTGGATGCTCAAAAGTTCTGGCGCCCTAAAACACCTGGATTCTCCAAAGGATACCTCATGGTACCTCCCTGATAGCTTCACTCTCTGTTTCGTTTTGGTCCACCTTTGGAACCCTGGGCTTCTGCCCGCCATGCTGCCTGACGAGTGTGTGAGAGCCGTTTTCTTCCTTTTTGGTGCCCCTGGTGAGGGCACGTCTCTTCAAGAATAGAGGGGCCTGTTTCTATGCACATGCAACCTTCCAAGGGAACGGGTGCCACGTATGTGGTGGAATATGAGAAGCATCCCAAGCTGAATGGCGAGTACGTCGAAGATGGCACCATGGAAGGCAAGCCCAAGTTCAAGCAACGAGGCGGCCGCGGCGTCATCTTCTACTCAGGCGGGCGACATTGCACGCTCTCTGCTTGGGATGGTTCGCTGCCGCTTCAGATGCTTTTACTGCGAGTCCGTTTCCGTTTTGTCTCGCGTCGCTTGCGAGAAGCATGTGCTCAAGCAGTGACGAGGGCGGATTGGAGCCTTCAAGGGGGGTTGGTGGGTAGCTGCCTCGAAGTTTGACTGAGTATCCAAAAGCTCAGTGCCACGCAGGTAAGTGGGGCTGGGGGCACAGATGGTTCATCACCGATGAGGTGGGCCCGATCACGGTTGGGGTGAGTGTGTGCAAGTTTGTTGTCAAGCGCCTTTGGTGTAGAATGCTTGGATGTTCTCGGCATAACCTCGTTGGCATCAACAGGGCCCTTCCATCCACGATAAATCTCAATGCCCTGTGTAGTCTTGTGCAGCTGCCTAGCTCGATCAAGTGACCCCTGCCAAGGCGAAATCCTACGGTGCTCGAGCGTTGTTTTTTTGGGTACGCCTTCGGGATAAAGTCTTGCGGCGCAGCCTAGGGAATGAGGAAGGCCTACGTAGGCAGCTTTTGAACGGTGGCAGGAGTGTCTGCTTGGCCCGAGTTGCCCGAGTCCTGTAGTGGGACTGTGCTTAAGCCCTAAAACGCTTAATAAGCTTTAAACGCATGCGGACTGGAAAGGGCTCCCAGCGAAACGTGCGGGGGCAAGGCCGAAAGATGCCGAACGCCGCACAAATACCTGGAGACAGGAGTTTCTTTGTCATAGCAGCCATGTATAACGGAGGTGTTACAGTGTTTCTGTGAGGAACACAAGACTCGACAGTCGCTAAACTAAACAAAGTCACAGGCAAGGAGCCATCAGAACAAGAGGAGTCGCGAGCAAGAAGCTCATTCTCACAAAACCCCCCATCACTGCCCCCAAAGCATGGTGGCGCTTTTAGGGTTAGTTTTGGGGGCATTCGGGGCCTGGTTTGCAAGCTGCACGGATTGCGTGCGTGCCAGGACCCACCCAGAAGCTGGTTGTCTCGGCACCCGAAGTCGGAAAACGCTCCTTTGCCTCCTGAAGGGCTGTGGAGGGACGGAGTAGTTGGAGAGCCACAGCCGCTCATCCGCCGCAAGGATCCGGGGTGGTTGGCATGGCGGTCGCCAAATTGGGGCCTGTGAAAGGGTTGCTTGGCCTTTCCCCTTCGTGCAAAGCTCCGCAGGAGGCGACCACGCCCACCACGAGCAGCACTCCCGTCCGCTGCTTACAGCTGCTTTTCAGTGTTCGCCTCAAGAACCCAAACTTACTTTAATGCAGGCGCATGTTCTTTTAACCCTTGTAGGATTCTTGTTGTGGGGTTCCGCAGAACAAGGGGAAGGTCAGGGTTTCGACTTTCGACCGACCTGCTTCGTGGAAAGGCACTCGCCGAGAGCTCCAGCACCACAGCGCCTTAGCCGCAGCTGCGGGGAAGAACTGGTTCCGGACGTCTCTTCGGGCTTGAGCTTCCTCAGTCCTAGAAACCTTCACCTCAAGCCACCTCTCTTAAGCCAAGACCCTAGCGGCTCGAGCGTGGTGCAGCACTCGCTTCTGCGGGGCGGGTGCTCGATTTGGGTTGGGTTGCGTGTTTCACTGATTTCACAAACTGCCGTTTCCAAGACCAAGCTTGTCGAGGTTTTCTGCGGGTTGTTGAAGTCTAGCGCCCAGGGTCAGGGCGCACAATCTTGAAGGCCACGGCGTAGATGTTTGGTGCGCCCCCCCCCCCGCCGGAGAAGCGGCTTCGTCGCTAAGGCACACGACTCCGACGACAGCACCACGGAGCTTTCGCCATAGAAGCAAAGCATTTTCCCACCCAAAGGATGGTTGGATGCTCAAAAGTTCTGGCGCCCTAAAACACCTGGATTCTCCAAAGGATACCTCATGGTACCTCCCTGATAGCTTCACTCTCTGCTGTTTCGTTTTGGTCCACCTTTGGAGCCCTGGGCTTCTGCCCGCCATGCTGCCTGACGAGTGTGTGAGAGCCGTTTTCTTCCTTTTCAAAGGCTGGTGCCCCTGGTGAGGGCACATCTCTTCAAGAATAGAGGGGCCTGTTTCTATGCACATGCAACCTTCCAAGGGAACGGGTGCCACGTATGTGGTGGAATATGAGAAGCATCCCAAGCTGAATGGCGAGTACGTCGAAGATGGCACCATGGAAGGCAAGCCCAAGTTCAAGCAACGAGGCGGCCGCGGCGTCATCTTCTACTCAGGCGGGCGACATTGCACGCTCTCTGCTTGGGATGGTTCGCTTCCGCTTCGGATGCTTTTACTGCGAGTCCGTTTCCGTTTTGTCTCGCGTCGCTTGCGAGAAGCATGTGCTCAAGCAGTGACGAGGGCGGATTGGAGCCTTCAAGGGGGGTTGGTGGGTAGCTGCCTCGAAGTTTGACTGAGTATCCAAAAGCTCAGTGCCACGCAGGTAAGTGGGGCTGGGGGCACAGATGGTTCATCACCGATAAGGTGGGCCCGATGACGGTTGGGGTGAGTGTGTGCAGAGTTTGTTGTCAAGCGCCTTTGGTGTAGAATGCTTGGATGTTCTCGGCATAACCTCGTTGGCATCAACAGGGCCCCTCCATCCACGATGAATCACAATGCCTTGTTTAACACTTGCGCAGCTGCCTAGCTCGATCAAGTGACCCCTGCCAAGGCGAAATCCTACGGTGCTCGAGCGTTTTTTTTGGGGGTACGCCTTCGGGATACAGTCTTGCGGCGCAGCCTAGGGAATGAGGAAGGCCTACGTAGGCAGCTTTTGAACGGGGGCAGGAGTGTCTGCTTGGCCCGAGTTGTCCGAGTCCTGTAGTGGGACTGTGCTTAAGCCCTAAAACACTTAATAAGCTTTAAACGCATGCGGACTGGAAGGGGCTCCCAGCGAAACGTGCGGGGGCAAGGCCGAAAGATGCCGAACGCCGCACAAATACCTGGAGACGGGAGTTTCTTTGTCATAGCAGCCATGTATAACGGAGGTGTTACAGTGTTTCTGTGAGGAACACAAGACTCGACAGTTGCTAAACTAAACAAAGTCACAGGCAAGGAGCCATCAGAACAGGAGGAGTCGCGAGCAAGAAGCTCATTCTCACAAGACCCCCCATCACTGCCCCCAAAGCATGGTGGCGCTTTTAGGGTTAGTTTTGGGGGCATTCGGGCCTGGTTTGCAAGCTGCACGGATTGCGCGCGTGCCAGGACCCACCCAGCAGCTGGTTGTCTCGGCACCCGAAGTCGGAAAACGCTCCTTTGCCTCCTGAAGGGCTGTGGAGCGACGGAGTAGTTGGAGAGCCACAGCCGCTCATCCGCCGCAAGGATCCGGGGTGGTTGGCATGGCGGTCGCCAAATTGGGGCCTGTGAAAGGGTTGCTTGGCCTTTCCCCTTCGTGCAAAGCTCCGCAGGAGGCGACCACGCCCACCACGAGCAGCACTCCCGTCCGCTGCTTACAGCTCATTTTCAGCGTTCGCCTCAAGAACCCAAACTTTCATGCAGGCGCGTATTCTAAAAGACCCTTGTAAGATTCTTATTCTTATAGGCAACCTACAAGCTTTTGACTTCTCTGGTGGGAGAGTTGTGGGGTTCACGCAAAACAAGGGGGAAGTTAAGGGTTTAGACTTTAGACCAAACCGCTTCGTGGAAAGGCACTCGGCGAGAGCTCCAGCACCACAGCGCCTTAGCCGCAGCTGCGGGGAAGAACTGGTTCCGGAAGGACGTGGCAAGGTAGTCTCTTCGGGCTTGAGCTTCCTCAGTCCTAGAAACCTCACCTCAAGCCACCTCTCTTAAGCCAAGACCCTAGCGGCTCGAGCGTGGTGCAGCACTCGCTTCGGCGGGCGCGGGTTGGTTGCGTATTTCACTGACTCACAACTGCTGTTTCCAAGACCAGGCTTGTCATTGTTGAGGTTCTTTGCGGGTTGTAGAAATCCAGCGTTCGGGGCTTGCTGTACCGTCTTGGTGCGTAGATGTTTGGTGCAGTCATCGGTAAGCCCGGAAGCCCCCTGAAGAAGCGGCCTTCGTCTCTAAGGCACGCTTCTCCGACGACAGCACAGCGGATCTTTAGCCACAGAAGCAAGACATCTTCCCAGCTATCCGATGGTTAGACTCTAAAAGGTTCTGTTTCCATGGACATGCCACCTTCCAAGGAAGCGGGTGCCACGTATGTGGTGGAATATGAGAAGCACCCCGAGCTGAATGGCGAGTACGTCGAAGATGGCACCATGGAGGGAAAGCCCAAGTTCAAGCAACGAGATGGCCGCGGCGTCATCTTCTTCACAGGCGCGGGGCATGGCACGCCTCCTCTGCCTTTGGACAATGCGCTCCGGATGCTTTGAATCTCGGGGAAGACGTTGGCGGATTGGAGCCTTGAAGGGATGTTGCTGAGTGGCTGATAGTGGCTGCCCCGAGGTTACAAACAATTTCCCATACCCTCAGAAACGCCGGCGCCGCGCAGGTAGGTGGGGCTGGGGGCACAACTGGTTCATCGCCAATGAGGTGGGCCCCATCGCGCTTGGGGTGGGTGCAAAGTTTGTTGTCGGGGGTTTGGCGTAGAGTGCGTGAATGTGCTCGGCGTAACCGCTTGAGAGTCACAAGCAAGAAGCAAGAACAACAAGAGGAGCAGCATGCAAGAGGTACACCCTAACCTGCCCCAAAGCATGTCTGTGCATAGTTTTTTTTGTTAACTGTCTTTTTTTGGGGGGGGGATTCGAGGGCTCCGGTTGAAAGCTGCAAGAAGTGTTCAGGATTTGTCCGAGTGCCAGGACCCACCCGACGGCTGGCTGGCCTTTCGCCCGGAGTCCGCACGCGAGGCTTTACCTCCCGAAGGGGCGTGCCTTGGGCACGAGATGGGGGTTTTATAGGGTTTAGGGTTTATGGGGTTTAGGGTTTAGGGATTCCGAAAGTACCTGATTGGGGTCCTTAGCATAAGGGGATCCGACTATTTGGGGATCTATACTGGGGCCCTATTTTCGAACCCCCTCCAAATGAACCCTAAAATTGGGGTCATAGACTCTATACTACTTTAATCCCTATTACGGTATATGGACCCTAAGCCCTCGTAGGGTTCTCTTGTTGGTCCCCGAGGTGGAAGGACGGTGCGCTTGCGCAGCCGGTGATCCGTCGCAAGGATGGCAGGATGCTGGGGTTTAGGGTTTAGGGTTTAGGGTTTAGGGTTTAGGGTTTAGGGTTTAGGGTTTAGGGATGCGTCGCCTTTGACGTGCTTGAACTCCTTGAAGCCTGAAACCCCCCCTCAAAATCCCAAACCCTCGTCAAAAGCTCATGTTGCTGACCCCCCGGGTCCCCGCAAAAAACAATTTAGGGTTTAGGATTTAGGGTTTAGGGTTTAGGGTTTAGGGTTTAGGGAAACCCCCACGGAAACCCTTCGTGCGAAGCTCCACAGGAGGTGACCGCGACCCAGCATTGAAGCAGCACTCCCGCGCCGCTGCTTGCACTGGTATGTTTAGGGTTTAGGGTTTCGGGTTTAGGGTTTAGGGTTTAGGGTTTAGGGTTTAGGGTTTAGGGTCCAGGGTTGCGTTCAAGAACCCAAACCTGCTTTCATGTAGGCGCTCATTCTACGATCTCTTACAGTGTCCTTACTTGGCAACCTGCAAAAGTAGCCCTGGCGTCTCTGAAGGAAGGGTTGTGGGGTTCACAGAAAACAAGGGGTCTAGAAGTTTTGGGTTCAGGCTTAGCTGTCAGTCGTCAGCCGCCATGGTTTCAACAGCCCCTCTGATGACGAGCCCTGGAACACAAAGAGAATTTCAGGTGCCCCGCTTTACACCTTCGCCAAGACATAGTTTTGCGGTTACGCCCTGATTCATCGAACCCCACAAAAAAGGATCTCCGATGTTTAGAACTATAAGAACCCCCTCTTCGAAGGATTTTTATTGGGGCTCGGGAGTGAGGGGCTGGGCTGAGGGATTGAGGGGGGAACGATTAGTTTATGCAGTTTTTGGGTTTGGGGCTTGGGGTTTAGGGTTTAGGGTTTAGGGCTTTATACAGTTTAGGGTGAAAAGGAGTTTCGGGGGTTGGTCGGAGTCAAGGATCGGAAAGTCTTCGTGGTGGCCGTTACAATTCAAGATTCTAATGCGAGAGAGTTTGAGTCGAAACCCGAAATGCCCTGAACCCACCTGCTCCCCAAACCCTAAACCCTAAACCCTAAACCCTAAACCCTAAACCCTAAACCCTAAACCCCAAACCCCAAACCCCAAACCCTAAACCCTAAACCCTAAACCCTACGTTAACATCCTGTTCGCCCCTCCGATGTGGTGCCGCAGTCAGGCCGTGGGTTTCAGGCTTCAGCTCCCGCGACGTCTGAAGCCTTGGGGGCCACACGAACCCTGTAACTTCGGGGGGGCATATACCCTCTGTTTAGGGTTTAGGGTTATACGTAGCCCGACGAACCACGCGTTCGCCCCAAACGTCCTGCAGACATAAAGTCCTCCGAGCCTGTAGGCTGTAGATCAGATCTGCTGCAGCAGTTGCAAAAGTCCATGTAGGTAGGACATGCAAAACAGCCGGATCCTGCTGAGTCATAAGAAGGCCACCGCAAGCCACTGCAAGAAGGGCATCTACTTTCCATGGCGAACCCCGCCCCGAAGGGCCGATGTGGAGTTCTGGGGTCCCAGGCAATACGGTCGCTCTTGACCGCTCGATCCCAGACCCTAGAATCCCCATTCAGGACTGTTAGTATACGGAGGAACATCCCTAAACGCTGAACCCTAAACCCAGTAAGGGAGAAACTCCTCTGAGTTTACAGAAGTCAAGTTGGTTAAGCCCCTTCCCTGCCTTGCCCCGCGAAACTCGTAACCGTGGTTTAGGGTTTAGGTTTAGGGTTTAAGACTCGTATCCCGAACTAAGGTTGTACCTCTAAGAGATTCCTCTTAGTGTACTTCCAATATGGCCCTTATATTCCCTTAGAGGATCTTTAAAGAGGGTTCCCAGAACCCAAGGGCACAACCTTAAGGGTCCGAAAGTAGGGTTTAGGGTTTAGGGTTTAGGGTTTAGGGTTTAGGGTTTAGGGTTTAGGGTTTAGGGTTTAGGGTTTAGTGCAATGAGAATCCCTATCAATCCCTATTCAGGTAAAGGGCCAGAAAGCCACATGAACCCTGCAATTGGGGTCTTATACCCTCTGCTATAAGTAAATATATATATATATATATATATATAATCTCCTATTTAGGTCAAAAGGGTTTAGGGTCTAGGGTTTAGGGTTTAGGGGTTTAGGGTTTAGGGTTTAGGGTTTCCTGTGTATGGATGATACGCGCGTCCCGGCCTCAGCCCAGGGGTTAAAAAGGGTTTAGGGTTTAGGGGTAAGCTCTTTTAAGGTTCATTGAGTACCCCAAGGAAGGGCTGCCCTTTGCCTTCCAAACATGCCGCGAGGATGGAGCAAAACGATGTGGCTGGGGGGGATGGTGGGGGCTTGAACATGGACACTTAGGGTTTAGGGTTTAGGGTTTAGAGTTTAGGGTTTAGGGTTAGGGTTTAGGGTTTAGGGTTTAGAGTTTAGGGTTTAGGGTTAGGGTTTAGGGTTTAGGGTTTAGAGTTTAGGGTTTAGGGTTAGGGTTTAGGGTTTAGGGTTTATAGGGTTTAGGGTTAGGTTCAGGGTTTAGGGTGTAGGGAGCTGCCGTTCTCTACTAAAGACATGGGCCTCCTGGCATGAAAAAAGCAGCCTCCAGGCTCCCAAAAAAGGCGCATGCAGACTCGATCCTCCGTAGCCTCCTGATGAGTGGACCGTCGGACCACTACCTTGCCTGCTCCGTGCAAGTGCGAGCATCGAAAGCCAATTAAGTAGCCGTCTCTTTCTTTAGCCCTAAACCCTAAACCCTAAACCCTAAACCCTAAACCCTAAACCCTAAACCCTAAACCCTAAACCCTAAACCCTAAACCCTAAACCGTCAGGTCTTGAGGAGATGATTGCTGTAAGTGGGCATGAACCTTAGGGTTCGGATTCTTTGCCAGGAGGGCGTAAGGGATGTAAAGGGTCCCTTTGAAGCCTACGAAGGTCTCACTTGGGCCTGCCCTGAACCCTAATCCTGAAAGCCTTATTTTTTAAAACTATGGGCCCTGACACTCCGTCCCCAAACCCTGAACCCTAACAACTGTTTGCCCTAAACCCTAAACTTAAACCCAGAAAAACCCCCATCCCTTGCCCTTTGATCCCACTCCTGGTCTGAGTGGTTGCGCTGAGGCCCTTGCCCTGGAAATCTGGAGGTCGGACGGCTCAAGGGGTTTAGGGGGTGTTTAGGGGGTTTTGGGTGGTTTTTTGGGGGGGTTTTTGGGGGGGGTTTGGGGGGTTTTTGGGGGGGTTTCGAGTTGAGGGTGGAACCCTGCTTTCCCTTCAAGAGGATGGGCCCATGAGGCCGTATCCATGCTCAGTGGCCTTGCGCCCGCCATACGCCTTGTGAGCCCGCATGCCCCACCCAGCATCTTGGTAACACTGGCTTTCGCGACCCTTTTGGCTTTGTTGGGCTGCTCGGCTTTCTGAAAGCTTGTGGACTTCATGCAAGAGCAAACTACAGCACATCATTGCAGAACATGCAAGTAGTAGCCAGCGTTCAGCTGCAGAGTTTATAGAGTTGAGGGCCAAGGGTTCAGGCCTTCAAGAAGCCGAAGACTTGCTTATTGCTTCCAAAGAAAATGTGCGGATCCTTTCCAAACCCGTCATGCGAGCATTGCGTTTGCCAATCGAGGGGGGTGGGAAGGCCCCCTCATTTGCGAACACAACGCTCCCAGGAAGTGTGTGGACAAACTCACATGTCTTTTGACGCAGTTTCCTTTGACGGCCTTATGTACTTTAATGCGGGCTGGCAAAGGCTTGAGAGTGAGGTGGGCTTGGGGGACGATTCAAATTTGCAAACGCATTTGCGAACGCAACGTGCGTGACGGGTTTGGAAAAGATTTACGTTGCAGCGAAGCCTTCTTGATGGCAGAACGTTCCCTGAAGCAAGCTCGCGCAGTGTCTACACTTGAGGTTGGCGAGTGCAGCCACACACTTACAAAGAATATGCGGGTCATACGGCGACAAGGATTCGCATACCGTTCTGATTACACGGTGCTCTCTCAAGTAAAGCAGGCTTGCGCAGCTTGGAGTTGGGTGATGGTGGGGGGGGGGGGGGGGCGGGGCGCGCCCTCCTCCTCTGCCCTGCAATCACCATACTTGCCTTTCGACAGCCTTCAGATGTTTTTGTTGAAGCAATGTCTCTTGTTGGCATGATGTTTTGTGCAGCAAGATCGCGTCGCGACAAGCAAAGTGGGCTTGGAGTAAACCCTGCGACCATTGGACAGGTCAACAAAGGTCCTCCATAGGTCACAGCCCTTAGCCCCCTTTCAAAGGGTATGGCATCCAGGCATGTGGTGTTTGGAGGCTCAAAGGAACTGCGGCTACTCAACCGAATGTTCCCGCTCTAGCTCAAGGGCCTCTTGTCCTCGACTGCAATCAGTGAATGGCTACCAGAAAGCCGCATTCAGCAGTACAAGATTGCACTTCTTGGAGGTTTGTGGGTACTTATAACCCCGATTATAAGTCTACTTCTAACGTACTTAGAGGACTTGGGGGGCTTCTACAAGGAACAGTTAGAAAAGTAGGGTTATAAGTACCCAAGAAACCTCCAAGTTCATTTCCGAAACACAGGGAGCCATGGAGGGCGTGCCACTTGAGCAGTTTGCGTCCACGATGTGCACGCGGGATTTGAAAAAGCACCCGACGATCAATTCAGGCGGCTCGGCCGCATTCCAGTCGAAGCATGTGCTGCATAACCCTAAACCCTAGCCCTAAACCCTAAACCCTAAACCCTTTTGTCACTGCAAACTGCAAAAGCTGGGTCAAGGCGACACGATGTTTGCCATGTACACCATACCGGCCCTTGCCTTCTTGCAGCTGACAGAAGTCAAGATGCATCTTAGGGATGCTTAGAAGTAGTCTTTTTTGCTTTTTTTTGTTTTTTTGGGGTACTTGTATCCCTAAGAAACATGCATCTTAGGGATACGTGGAAGTAACTCTTACTCCTTGGATACTCTACATAATCCCTAAGAAAATAGCATAAAGTTATGATTTTGTCTATTTTTGGGGGGACGAATTATTGTCCCTAAGAAACAGCAAAAACAAATCTAATTTTGGCTCGGGGTTCCAAGTTCAGCAGAGGCATGAAGAGCTCGAAGAAGCCGGTCTCCTCAGAGAGTTTGATGAAACTATGGGGAAGGCCGCTGGGTTTAGGCAATTTGGGATAACTGTTCTACTATTTTGCCATTGTTGGGTTTGAAAAGAGGATCATGTTCTTTCTGGGTAGGCCTTTTGGGAGAACTTTTCTACCATTTTGCCCTTATTGGGCTTATCAGAGGATGATAATTTTAGGACATTTTGGATTTTCCCTTATTGGGTTTACAAGAGGAATCGTATTTAGGAGTACTTTTTATGGGAGGGAAGGAAGGGCCACCCTGAACCCTGAACCCTGAACCCTGAACCCCAAACCCTAAACCCTAAACCCTAAACCCTAAACCCTGAACCCTAAACCCTAAACCCTAAACCCTAAGGCCATGTTCGTGTCACACCAGTGGCTCAGTGTCCAGCACCCAGACCCAAGCTTCGAGCAGCTGAAAGTTTCTTGGCCGTTTAGGGTTTAGGGTTAAGGTTTAGGGTTTAGGGCTTGGAGGTTCATGGTACTTCTGAACCAATGATAACTGCATTTGTCACCCACTTAGAGCCCCCAAGTGCCCTAATGTGGTAAAAAGTACAGTTTGGTTAATAAGTACCGGGAACCTCCAAGTAGTGCCCCTTTGGCCTCTTTTTTGGGAGTTCCAGGTTGCCTGTTTTTAAAGCAAGCCAACACCCCAAAAAAAGGGATACCCTGTACCCTTTTGTTTCATCTTGGTGGTTTCCTGGGCTACCTGAAAGGTCTTGCAGGATGCTCTGAGGAACATTGCTTCTGGCAGCAGCCGCGTGAATCTGCCGATTGTTGCCGAGATCTTCCATGGCCGGTCCCCCTGCCCTACGGCAGCGGACTTCGCCTCGGATCGCCTGCACATCTGGTATGACTACTTTTGCTGTCCGCAGGGGCGCAGTGAGCTCGCAGCGCAGAACCGGCGCCACGCCATCGAAAGCATCCCAGCCTACGTGGCGCGGTGCGAGTTCTTCGTCGTCTCTTGGTGGCCCAGTGCCCCCTAAACCCTAGACCCTAAACCCTAAAAACCTTTTTTTTGTTTGGTTCTGGGCTCCCTTGTAAGGGAACCAACCACAAAAGGGTAGCCTTACCTTTAAGGTGGCTCCTGGGCTCCTAAGGTCTTGTGCCCGGCCTTCAAGCACCGGGACCAGCAGCGAACCCTGAGCCACGCGACTTGGGGCGAAAGAGGGCAGCTTGGCTCTCATTCCATTGAATTCATATGTGTGTATACATATACATATAATATTTATATAATAAAGAATATATAGTATATCATATACAATATACAATATAGTAAGATACAGTAATCTAATGAAAGATCATATCAATGTAGCAATGCATGTGTAGATGGCAAGCCGTGTGCCTCCTGAAAGCCTGGGATCTACTGTGTTGTTTTTCTCCCTTTCTCAGGTGGTGTCGCACCGAGCGGGTCGCACGTGAACTTGCGACCCGCCAGGGAGGGCACATGGTGGTTGTAGAGAGCCTTGGTAACCCCGGTGGTACCCTTGACCCTTTTTTTGGTTCTGGGTTCCCTTATAAAGTAGCCAACCCACAAAAGGGCGCCCTTATTACAATATCGGGCTACTGGGCTACCCTAAACCCTAAACCCTAAACCCTAAACCCTAAACCCTAAAACCTAAACATGGTTAGTGGGCCACCAAGGAGCGCCACGCACCAAACCTTGATGTGGGCGACAGGGAGCTGCCTGCTGGATGCTCCTGGCGAAGGCTCCTGAGGGTGGTTTCCTGGGTCCCTGAATAGGGTCCCTTGAACCTCCTTTAAGGGGTTCTGATGTAAGGGCCCTTAATGTGTAAAGGGTACCCTTTTAAGGGCCCATACTAAGGAACCATGTAACTAACTACCCTAAACCCTAAGCCCTAAACCCTAAACCCTAAACCCTTGGCTAGACGGGTGGCAAAGAAAAAGCCTGTAAAACCCTAAGAAAGGCGAGTTTACTTTGGATGCTGAGCCCTAAGCCCTAAACCCTAAACCCTAAACCCGAAACCCTCAGAAAGGCGAGTTTACTTTGGATGCTGACAGAAGCACCATTGGCCCAATGGTTCGGCAGATGGTCTTGTCTAAGCTGCTCCACTACCTCGAGCGTCTCGGACGCCTGGAAGTAGCCGGGTTTAGGGTTTAGGGTTTAGGGTTTAGGGTTTAGGGTTTAGGGTTTAGGGTTTAGGGTTTAGGGTTTAGGGTTTAGGGTTTAGGGTTTAGGGCTTTGCTTTCTCTTTGTGTTGCGTGGCGTTAAAAGAATCGGGACCCGGAACCCGTGTTTTTTTTTTGTTGTGGGTGCTTTTTTGCTGTGGGTGCTTTTTTCGGGTGCCGCCCCGGTGAGTGAGTGACCTGGTGCGTGTCGCTCCCGCACCCGCAGCAAAAAAAAAAACGCGCCCCCGCACCCGCAGCAAAAAAAAAAGCGCGCCCGCACCCGCAGCAAAAAAAAAAAACGCGCCCCCCCCACCCCCTCCCCCCCCCCCTTCCTCCCCACCCGCCAGGTGAGTGAGTGACCTGGCGCGTGTCGCCCCCCGCACCCGCAGCAAAAAAAAAACGCGCCCCAGCACCCGCAGCAAAAAAAAAAACGAACCCCCCCCCCCCCCCCCCCTCCCCCCCCTTCCTCCCCACCCCCAGGTGAGTGAGTGACCTGGCGCGTGTCGCCCCGCACCCGCAGCAAAAAAAGAACGCGCCCCCGCCCCGCAGCAAAAAAGAAACGCACCCCGCACCCGCAGAAAAAAAAAAACGCCCCCCCACTGCCCCCCCCCTTCCTCCCCACCCCCCAGGTCATTTGTTTTGCAATTTCCTCCCCAACCCCGTCCCCAACGCCCCCCCTCCTTTAAACTGTGCAAGCGTTTTCAAAGCACTGAATCCTTCCCAAGGCCATCATGCGAGCATTGTGTTTGCAAACGGTGGAGGGAGGGCTGCACCCCGCCCGACCCCCCCCCCCCCTCTTTAAAACCGTGCCAGGTCGCTTCTCAGCATATGAATCCTGTCCAAGCCTATCATGCCAGCATTGGGTTTGCAAATAGGGGGGGGCTGCGCCCCCCCAACCCCCCCGCTTCTTAAAGCCATGCCGCTTGCTTCAAAGCAAATGAATCCTTTCCGAACCCATCATGAGAGCATTCCCCCCCGCTTGAAAGGGGGGGGGGGTGGGGCTGCGCTTTTTAGCCGGGCAAACTTGCTTCAATCATACGAATCCCTTCCAAACCCATGATGATGCGAGCATTGTGTTTGCAAATGGGGGGGGCTGCGCCCCCCCCAACCCCCCCGCTTTTTTTAGCCGGCAAGCCTGCTTCAAAGCTTACGAATCCCTTCCAAACCCATGATGCGAGCATTGTGTTTTCAAATGCGGCGGTCTGCGCAGCCCCCAACCCCCTGAAGAAAGAGGGAATATATGCTTGCTTTCCTACGAAAATTCAGACCTTATGGTGGAAGTTGAATTTTCCGTTTAAAAATAGAGATATAAACGTCTTCTTAGTAAAGAATCGAGAAAATAGAGCTTGTGTTATGAGACATGAACAAAAACACTTGTTGTCTACGAGTCACAAATAGAGATAATGCATGTACTCTTATGACAATATAGAGAATTAGCTTTTCATGTATTCCTCTCTCATGTCTTCCTCGTGAAATAAAGAGAAGAAGTCTGAAAATACTGACAAAATAAGAAACTATAGAACAATAGAGGTTTTCGCTATACAATATAGAGAAATTAGATGCTTCCTATGACAACATAGAGGAAATAGAGGCTTTCATACGAAAATATAGCGAAAATACAAAGTGTTTTCATATTAAAATGTAGAGGTCTTGATATTCAAATATAGAGAATAGAGGTTTTCATGTTCAAATGTTAAGACAATGGAGGTTTGCCTATTCAGAGACAGAGAAAATAATGGGCTTCCTATTAAAATTAGGACAAGAGGAACAAAAACACTTTTAATTGCAAGTCACATATTGAGATAACACAGAGAATAAGTTTCTCATGTATTCCTCTCTCATGTCTTCCTCATTAAATATAGAGGAAAACTATGACGATATAGACAAAAATAGAGAGAAATAGAGGTTTTAGTTATAAAATAGAGAGAAATAGCGGTTTTCGAATTGAAGTATAGAGAAATTAGAAAAAGTAGAGGTTTTCATGCTAAATGTAGAGAAAATAGAGGTTTTCATATTCAAATATAGAGAAGAAAGAGGTTTTCCTATTCAAATATAGAGGAGAAAGAGGTTTTCCTATTGAAAATTAGAGAAAATAAAGGTTTTCATAGTAAAATATAGAAAAACGCTCCGCACCCGCAGCAAAAAAAAAAGGGCGCCCCCACGGGACCCGCAACAAAAAAAAAAACGCGCCCCCGCACCCGCAGCAAAAAAAAAACGCGCCCCCCGCACCCGCAGCACAAAAAAAAACGCGCCCCCGCACCCGCAGCAAAAAAAAAACGCGCCCCCGCACCCACAGCAAAAAAACACCCGCAACAAAAAAAAAAACACTCTTACCATCGGGACCCCTGAATTACACCCTTGTTAAACATAGCCGACCTAGCCCAAGAGAACTGCTTTTTCCTCAGTTTGTCAACTGAGAGGTGGTTCCTGGGGAGCTACAAGCCCTGAAACCCCTAAACCCCTAAATCCCGAAACCCCCAAACCCCCCTAAACCCCTAAACCATAAACCCCAAACCCCCAAACCCTCAAACCCTACACGCCCCCAAAACCCTAAGCTCCTTTTAAAGGGGCGGGGGGGGGGGAGCCGAAGGCACCGTGCCTACACCCTAAACCCTTAAAACCCTAAACCCTTGAAACCCTTAAAACCCTTAAAACCCCTAAACCCCTAAACCCGAAGCCCCTAAACCCTAAACCCTAAACCCTAACCCCTAAGCCCCTCAGCCCCTAAACCCTAAACCCTACGAAGGCACCGGGACCTGCACAACTACCGGTTCCTCCTGAACTCGCAGGGCGCCCGCTACTTCCGAGGCCTCGAGGTGGCGCCCATTGATGCTCGGGGGGGGCACTGGAGTTTAGGGTTTAGGGTTTAGGGTTTAGGGTTTAGGGTTTTGGGTTTTGGGTTTTGGGTTATTGGGTTTAGGGTTTAGGGTTTAGGGTTTAGGGTTATTGGGTTTAGGGTGATGGAGTTTCAGGGTTTCAGGGTTTAGGGCCTAAGTTTTAGTTAGGTGGGTTTTGGTTTGGGGCCATCCACGAGCTTTACATCCTTCGGAAGCCCAGCGGTGCCCTTTTTCGCCCCGGTTCCCTTCGAAAGTAGCCAACCCCAACAGAGGGTTTAGGGTTTAGGGTATCGGGTTTAGGGCTCTCAATATGACATTGTTCCTGGGCTACCAGGTAACAAAGGGAAATATGTTTTGTTTATGTATTGTCCCGTATCTTTACCTAGAGGATATGTTACGTGTCAACCCCAAATAGGGTTGTTAAGGGTATACGCGGTTTAGGGTATAAGGTACATGTTGACCCTTGTTTTGGGTGTTTAACGGTTTTGGGTTTAGGGGTACATTCTAACCCCTTATTCTGATTTTAGGTTGCAAGGTTGGTTTAGGTGTTGAAGAGGATCATATTTCGGAAACCCTAAACCCTAAACCCTAAACCCTAAACCAGAATGTGCCAACTCAGGATGGGCTCGTGCCAGGGTTCCAGCCGGATCCGGAAGCAGACGAAAAGGGTGCCAAGCTGGACTGGTTTCTGCACCAGAACGGCTTCAGGAGAGCTTGGTTTAGGGTTTAGGGTTTAGGGTTTAGGGTTTAGGGTTTAGGGTTTAGGGTTCAGGGTTTAGGGTTCAGGGTTCAGGGTTCAGGGTTCAGGGTTCAGGGTTCAGGGTTAGGGTTTGGGGTTTAGGTTCAGGGTTTAGGGTTTAAGGGGTATCAGGGGTTGTACGTGGACCCTCCTTGGGATGTTCCCCCTTATGTTATAGTACCCCCCCCCCCCTCTTTTTTGTAGTCGCTATTCAGGAGCTGTTAGTAATCTTGGTAGCCCAGAGTGGTACGTACCCTTGTCCCTTTTTGGGGTTCAAGGTTCCCCTACAAAGTAACCAACCCAAAAAAGGGTGCTCTTATTGTACTATGGTTACTGGGCCACCAAGTAATCCCACGTGTCTCTTATCATCCCGTGGGTTCTCCCATGCCTTCTTCTACCTGAGCTCGGATCCCAGAATTGGGCTCCCAAATCCCCAAAGCTGCCACTAAACTAGGTGGGACTTTACTACAATTTTATCACTTTATAAGTTTTGGGGTAAAAGTTAAACTTTTATTGGGGGTGAAAAGAGCAACCAAGCAAAAAAGGACCCTAAACCCCAAACCCGAAACCCTGAACCCGACAAGCCGTCAATGATCGACAGCAAGCAGGAGCATCTCCGAGCCGGACGACCAAGGGTGGCCACCTATATGCTTCGCTGCTGTGAGCGGCAATGTACAGGTGGGGACGGGGGGTTTAGGGCTTAGGGCTTAGGGTTTAGGGTTTAGGGCTTAGGGCTTAGGGTTTAGGGTTTAGGGTTTAGGGTTTAGGGTCATGCAGAGCACCCCACAAAGACCTGAAGCAAAAAAAGGGTTTAGCCTTTCCCAGAATAGGCCGGGGGGGGGGGTGCTTCGGGAGGGGCGCCCCTCGTTTTCTGGAAGAGACTCCAGGTCTTGCAAGCACTCCTGGAGCGAAGGGCGAATGTCAACGATGTCACCACCAAGACGAACAAAGAGCTCCTGGGGCCCCCTTTGCCTTAGGGTTTAGGGTTTAGGGCTAGGGTTTCGGGTGTAGGGTTTAGGGTTAAAGCCACTAACTAAGGGTATATAGTTCTTAACTGTAGGTAGAAAGAGTCCCAGGTTGCATCTCGTCAAGAAGATGACACCTCTGCAAATGGCGGCGTTCTTCCGCAACAACGAAGCCGTGGAGTTTCTTAGGGATTTTAGGGAATACTCTTTTAGTTTTTGGTTGCTACAGTTCCTCAGAAACAGCTGAAACTCTCATTTTGCTAGGGTAGTTCCTCAGAAACAGCTGAAAGTCTCATTTTTGCTAGAGTTCCAAGATCAGTATAGGTTTCTCCTGTCTGCGAGGGCCGAAGTCAACAACGTGGATGGCTTTGGGGGCAACGCCCTGCACGTCGCCTGTCTGGGTGACAACCCGCATGCGCCTTGGGGACCAATTGTGAACCCTAAAAGGATGTATGGCCTCAGATACCTGAATAAGAATTATAGTAGTACAGGCTATATGACCCCTAAACCCTAAACCCGAAACCGCCCCCCAATGTCAGGGTTCATTTGGTCCGCAAGGCGGTACGCCTGTTTTGCCAAGCCCGCGCCGACCCAAGCCAAGAAGACAAGCTGGGGCTCAATCCCTTCCAGGTCGCCTGTGCAGTGCCTTGGGAAACATGAACCCCTCAAGTTGGGGGTCACGTGGGTTTAGGGTTTAGGGTTGAGGGTTGAGCTTTGAGGGTTTAGGGTTTAGGGTTTAGTGTTTAGGGTTTAGGGTTTAGTACCTTCTACTACAATTCCCTATGAAAGGGCACATGAATCCAATAGACTGTTTTGGGGGTTTTATCATCATTGGTCCCCAAGGTGAGCAGCGTCCGTGCCATGAAGGAGATGCTTCTTCAGATGCCAGGCTTGAGCTTGCGACACTTGGCAGCCCAGTGGTGCCCTTGTTGCGCTTTTTGTTGGGTTCAAGGTTTCCCTCTCATAAAGGTAACAAACCCCAACATAAAGGAAGACCTTGGTATGATGTGGGTATTCCCAAAATAGGGATGCCCCTTGTATACCCAAAATGGAATACCTCTTTTCGGAAATCTAGACTGGGCTACCAAGGGCATGGCCTGCACATCGCGCTGATGTTTGGAGGGGGAGGCTCCCCCGAAAGGATCTCCGTCTTGCTGGAGGCCAAGGCAGACGTCAACGAGCAGTTCCGGGTGAAGTTCCGGGAAACTGGGTGGTGGCTTATGTTAAACGTCATGGGCCTGAGGCACCGGGTTAGCCCATCCCGACTTACTCTGCTAGCTTACCACCACCACGACGCCACACCATTGATGTTTAGCATCCTAGCCGGCTCCTTTGAAGCCGTGCCCTGCCTCCTTGACGCCGGGGCCCGGGCAGACGTCCAAAACTACCGCAGGCAAAAGACATCCGATCTGGCGCGCCAGGTGCATGCGCCAGCGTGGTTGATTGAGGCTTGCTCTGATGAAAGGCAGCGAACAGGAGTTCGGCTGGACACCGAGAGCGACAGCTTCTTCATCTGAGGGCAATAGGTTGAGGGATGTGAGCCTCAAAGGCCATTCCAACTCTTCATGCTCACCCCTAAACCCAAAACCCTAGACCCTAAACCTAAACCCTAAAAGCCCTGAAAACACTGAGATTCTACAATACGTGCAAGAGCCTAGGCCCAGGCAGCACTCGGTGAGTTGCGACCAGAAAAACACCCCGAAGGGTCGCCCTCACGGAGCTTCTTCCTTGCATTTTTGCCTGGGTGGCAGTGAAGGAGAACTTGGGACAAACTCATCATTATCTGGCCATGTTACACGGTACGTAACGTGGGCTTGCCTATGGCGAAGCATAGTTCGTGTCAGGGTACCCGGCTTAAAAGGCGTTCAGGGCACCGGTGCGGCTCAAGGAGCCACAGCACTGCCATCAAGCAAGCAGCCTTGATGGTGAATTCATGTTTCCGTTCTTTTGTTTTGTCTAGTTTAATTAAGGCCTTGGCACGAGGATGCCTGGCCACGATGACCTCACTTGGGTTTAGGGTTACAATTTGTGCCCTCATCCGTGCCTGCATGATCCTGATCTCCCGCACAGAGTCTTGATTGCAACCAGTGTGTGCCTACGTGGCCCATGTTTGAGAGCTATGGCCGTTCGCAGGAGGACAAAGTCCACCCAGAGTTTTGTAAAGGCACCCAACAGCAATGTACTTGGCTGGCAACCAGAAGAAAGAAGGCATGGGAACGCGAGCTGCTCTGCTTGCCAAGCGCACCCTGAAGTCGGTGAAGCGACACCTGTTCAGCCGTGGTATCAACTGCACTGCCATGCGCAGCCTTATCTAGAAGTTACTTATAGGTACTTACTTTTCGGCAGCTTCTCTCGCAGCTTATCTAGAAGGTACTTGTAGGTGCTTATACTTGTCGGGATTGATCTCATCTAGGGAGAAGGGCTTGCCATCGTGCCCTGTGCCTCTAGGCGTCATGCTCTGACATGGCAGCGATGCTCGAGCTCCGCTGCGACAAGCCGACAGCCGAGCTTCTTTAGGACCCGGAGTTTGCCCTTATTTCCCCTTTGTTTCAGGGTTGGGGTTCCGTTAGAATCCACTTAAAACCAAAAGGGTGCCCTTTTTATTCCCAGGTACCTCCTGGTTCAAGTTCTCTGCTTAGAAATATTAGGTGTTGAGGAGTTTTACTTAAGGCACCATAGTGATGAAACAATGATCGTAGTGATTTCACAAGAGTGTAGATGTGCATGCAAGCATGTGTACCGTAGACTCAGTAGAAAGGTCTACATTCTACACAAAAAGAAAATATGGCCATTATTCGGGGCCGCCTTATACTCGTAACGCCAAAAGGGACCATCATTTCGAGAAGTGACCTATATAAATATACACCCAGGTTTTCGTCGCTTGAAACTTGAAAGTCTGAAAACACACTCTTGATAACGCAGCCCAGTCAAGGTGCCGCGGAGGAGCTCACGCGGGGCGCCGGAGTGTGCTGCACGGTTTTTTGTCCCCCACTTTTTCACATGAAGCGCAGACTGGAGAAGAATAATAAAAATGCGCCCGGGTCTGGGTGGGACTTCGGGCGGTTTGGAGCTTCTGCAGATGTGGAGTGGGATGGATTTGTACGCAGAGGGCTTCGGGAGCCAATGCCGGGTGATCCAGAGGGGCTCCCATAGCTTGTTCAGAGCTGACGGTCGCACTTCGCACCACTTCCTTACGGACCAAATGAACCCTAAAATTGGGGTCATATTCCCTTACTACTATAATTCCCATTAAGGTATGAACCATAAACCCTTTTAGGGTTCATTTCGTCCCCAAGGTTCGTGTTGCTAGCGACATGCGCCTTCAAGTTCTATCGTCTCCTGTTGCGAATTTCTCGGGTTTAGGGTTTAGGGTCTAGGGTCTAGGGTTTAGGGTTTAGGGTGCCGTTCTGGCGATTCTCGCCGATGCATCTACATCTACTAGTAAGCAGCAGGTTTTGTCCAGTTCTAAGCGGCTCGAGCGGGCCCGCAACCAGGTCGACATCAACTTTCCCCAAGAGTCCGTTTGCCTCAAGCCAACCTAAACTTCGCAGGCAATAAAAGCCCTGGGGGCCAGATGAACCCTATAATTGGGGTCGTATACCCTGATTATGACATCATCATCTCAATGGATCCGACGCCCTTTTAGGGTTCATTTGGTAAACCCTAAACCCTAAACCCTATACCCTAAACCCCTAAACCCTAAACCCTAAACCCCTAAACCCCTAAACCCTAAACCCTAAACCCACAAACTTGTCTCCTTTCCGCTTCGAAGCGTCTGGGGCTCCAAGACTGCCTTATGCCTTGGTAGCCCTGTGGTACCCTTTGCCCTTCTAGGGGGTTCAAGGTTCCCCTTATAAAGTAGCCAACCCAAAGAAGGGTTTAGGGTTTAGGGTTTAGGGTTTAGGGTTTAGGGTTTAGGGTTTAGGGTGCTCTTTATTATAATATGGTTACTGGGCTACCAAGATGCGGAGTGGAGCTCGAGCTTCAAAGAAATGCTGAGGCGACTGAGTAGGGTCGGGGTGGGGGGGGGACCTTAAAGAACCCCTAAAGGGGTTTAGGATTTGGGGTTTAGGGTTTAGGGTTTAGGGTTTAGGGTTTAGGGTTTAGGGTTTAGGGTTTGGGGCTCATGTGCCTGTTTATGAACTTTCGCAGTAAAGGGTGTTTGACCCTAAACCCCTGCACCGTGCCAGCTTGCGAGTCGGAGGCCCAAAGCTCATTGAAGCCCTGTAACCGGTAAGCCTTCACAGCCGGCAACCCTACTTGGAGGTGGGCAGTTATGAGTAGGGTTCTAAGTACCCCTAAATAGGGTTCTAAGTACAGAAAATCATCATTAGAACCCCTACTTCTAACTCCCCATGAGCCTCCAAGTACTTCATCCCATCTGGCACAGGTTCACCCCGGGGGGCCCTGAACATGATCTTCAAAGGCGCAGATGACGGATGGGCACTTGGAGGTTCATGGTACTTACTAGCCATTTATAACGGTGCTTATAGGGCTTCCAAGTGGGTTATATGTACAGACGTAATTGATTAAAAAGTGCCATGAACCTCCAAGTAGTACAGGAGGCGAGTTGACTACCAACACCTATCATCCCAGTATAACCGAAAATCGTTGCATGCTTTTTTGTCCACACCTACTCAAAAGCAGAAGTACGAGTTGCACAGTACAAGTACCCAAAACTCCAGTTCTACTTGAATGTGCCTCTCTGTTAAAAAAAAATCCGACTCCTTCACCACTTCGACTGAGCGGTGAAGTTGAGAGGCTCCAAACATGCAGTTGCGGTCGGAGAAGTCCTGCTGGCCTTGGTGCTCGCTTGGTCGCGTGCTGAAGAGTGCAGCTACGTGGCCCTGGCCTTGAGTTGTGGTGTGCAGGGCCTAGTTCTCCCAAGTATCCGCCGGTTGTGACGCAGCTGCCAGGTCACTTTGCAGCAAGCCTGCCTGCTAGATGGTGGGACGCTGTTCCGCGACGTTGCTTCCTCCGAATGCACCCTGGCCACGACTTGTGCAGAGTGTGCGCGCAAACTGCCTATGCTTTTGTAGGCCGAAAGGAGGGCTGCAAGCTTCCCTGAGGCACAACTACCACGACCTCAACCGTGAGTACCAGCACGGCCAGCACGATGACAGCCACAACCTCCACGACAACCTTGAGCTTCTGGTTTAACTGCAGCGTAGCATACAACAATTGGGAGGTGGCCTGGTCTGACATGAAGAAATCCTGGTGCTGTTCCGAAGAGCAGCGGGGTTGTCCATCAGGCCCAACCTCTACAACAACATGGATCTTGTGGTTCAACTGCAGCATCGCATATGGCAATTGGGAGCTTGCTTGGTCGGACTTGAAGAAGAGCTGGTGTTGTTCCGAAGAACAGCGGGGCTGTCCGCCAGTCTCCTCGACCACGAAGACACAAACCCTAACACGAATAAGCACCAGCACTACCACGTCCTCTACTACGAGGTCCCAAACAGACACCAGGACCACCACGTCCTCTTCTACACGAACATCCACCACAACCCAGTCAAGCGTCACCACATCGGTGACTAGCACAACCACCGAAACCATTTCCTTTGATTGCTTCGCCGATTACTACATCTGGGAAGATGCTTGGTCTCAGAAGAAGAAAGACTGGTGCTGCCTAACCATGCTGCTCGGATGTCCCACCACCTCCACGTTCACCAGCACCCAGACCCAGATCACCTCAACAGCCACATCAACACGCATAAGCACCGCCACTTCAGTGAGCATTGTGAGGAGCAGCACAACCAAGACCTCCTCACAGTCCGCCACCAACACTATGGCGTACAGCACGGTAGGCCCCACAACCAGCACCGCAACAACCACCGAATGGTTTGATTGTGCTTCTGATGCCCACAATTGGGAACTGGCTTGGTCTGCTAAGAAGAAAGACTGGTGTTGTCGGTGGGAGCAGATCGCCTGCCCCTCCACCACGGCAACCACTGCCACCCGTACAAGCGTCACAACATCCTCCAGATCCACAACCACAACCACGACTGCCTCCTTGACACGGACAACCAGTACTTCATCCAGCAGGACAAGTTCAACCACAACACACACCACATCTAGTGCAACTGCCACCACCACAATCACCCAGTGGTTCGACTGCGACGCAGACTACAACATGTGGGAACAAGCCTGGTCCGATTTGAAGACCATTTGGTGCTGCCAGCGGTTTGAGCGGGGCTGCCCCAGCACCACGTCGTCCACGCTCACCAGGACCAGTCGCACCTCGTCGTCCATGACCACGTCGTCAACGTCCACGCTGGTGACAAGCACGTGGTCGACGACCACGTTTACGGGAACAAGTACCACCTCCAGCAGCAGTCATACCACAGTCACTTACAGCATCACAACCACTACGATCACCACTGCGACAATCACCACCTCGATCTATTTCGATTGCATTGCAGACTACTACATGTGGGAGCTTGCTTGGTCGGACGAGAAGAAAGAATGGTGTTGCCAAAGCTCTTTGCTGGGCTGCCCCCCGACGTCATCGTCGACAGGCACCCTTACGAGTAGAACAACGTCCTCACGGTCCGCCACCACAAGCACTAGTACTTCACTGACACGAACGACTAGCACCCAGACCCACTCCAGCGTCACCAGCACCGCCACGATCACCAGCTACTTTGACTGCGAGGCAGATTTCGAGAACTGGCAGGAGGGCTGGTCAAGCATGAAGAAGGCTTCTTGGAAGCACAGATGTACCTCTTGTTTTTTGGTTCTGAGTTCTCTTGTAAAGTAATAGCCAGCCCAAAAGGGTAGCCGTATCGCAAGATGGTTGCTGTTTGCTAGTAAAGCAACCTACCCAAACCAAAGGGTACCCATATGTTATAAGATGCTTGCTGGGCCCACCGAGGCGTGGTGCTGCCGAGCATTTTCCCGAGGCTGTCCCTCCACCTCTTCGACCACCCAGACTGAGACCAGCCTCACCACATCATCTTCAAGCACAAGTACAAAGACAGGTAGGCCCTTGCAGGATATATTTTTTAGTTTCCCTTATAAAGTTTAAGAGGATTCATATTTCGGAAGAGTTTTCGGAGGGTTCTTTAAGGGCCTAGAAAGACAGGCACCACTACAAGCTCCTTTGTGAGCACCACCAGCAGCAGCCGCACCACGATCACGAGTACAACTTCAATGTCCTCAACGACCACACTCACCTCCAGCACCGCAACGCAGAAGACTTCGACGGCGACGGTTTTCTTTGACTGCAGCATAGCCTACCACAACCGGGCAGAGGCCTGGTCTGATTTGAAGAAGGCTTGGTGCTGCCAGAAAGAACAGGTGGACTGCACCTCGACCACGGCCACCACCGAGACGCAGACCAACACTGCAACAACATCAAGCAACACGGCAACATCCACGTCGCAGTCCTGGAGTTCCAGTACCACAGGTACAGAGACAGTCACCAGCCAAACCAACACGGTGTCCTTTACCAGCACCCTGACAGCCACGGCCACAACGACCGAGCCGCCCGCGCTGTGCCGCCCAGCTTAAGTTGAGAAATAGGGGCCCTGAGGCTAAGGCCCCCCCCAACCCGAAGCTCTCAAACCGAAAAGGGTCTAGGGTTTAGGCCAGTTTACGGTTTAACCCTTGGAACCCTATAAACTTTGTAAACCTGGAGAGAAAAAAAGGGAGGGGTTCGATTCAGGTCGCCGCTTCTTTGCCGGCGTGCCACTGGTCGGCGGAGTGCCTCGCCTTCACTTTACCCCTCCGAAAGGAGTTTACATAGTGGCAGACTAGGTAACCTTTATAACTTTTTTGGGACATTGAATTCCCTTTTTTAATCCTACAGGTTAACCTTTAGTTCCCCCGGGATACTGGACAACCACGTTTTGGGTTGAGGGTTCAGAGCATCATGTTCATCTTAAAGCATCCACTTGTCAAGCTGCAGGGTCGAGCGACTGAGAAGTACAGACATATACCCACCTGCCCATCCAGCCCCCGCTGAGCCTAGGGTTCCTTTCCGAAATTTCAAGATGCTACGATGTTTCCTATAGCCTTCCCTGCAGAACCCACTGGCCCTAAGCACCTTAAGTAGGAGTCCACCGAAGCGCCACATCTTTTAATTACCATAAGCCGAATAGCCCCCGAATAAATCCGAACAAAACCCTGCTGCTAAACCCTAAACCTAAACCCTAAACCCTGAATAGAACCTGATGCAGCCAGGCATGCCCGGGCAAGGACTCGGACCAATGTCTCCTACCAGGCTTCGCGATGGAGAACCCTGAAGGGCCCTGTGGGACACAGGACACTGCTGGAGAAGGGGTCTTTTGGTTGTGTCGTTTTTTTTTTTTTTTTTGTTTTTCGTTTGTGTGTGTGTGTGTGCGTTGTTAGAGTTTATAGGGTTTATGTAGGGTGCACAGAATGGTTTATAGGGTTTGTAGGGTTTACAGGGTTCATGAGTTTGTAGGGTGAATAGGGTTAATCGGGTTTATAAGGTTTAGGGTCATCTGGAGGGTATCTTAGATTCCATTCTTAGTGCTTTTGGGGTTCGGGGTTCATTTTAGGGCAAAAACAGCAGGGGGCCGTCAGGGATTTCAAGGAAGAGGTGCGAGCTGATACACCGACGGAAATTCAAGAAGTGCATAAGCTAAACAGACATCCCTGCGATGCGGATTCTCCCCAGCGGTGCAGGAGGGTGAGGAAGAACTGCGGGGTGCCCCAAAGTGCAGAGCTGGGCTGCAGCACCCGGAGCCCCCCCCGTGAACTCTCGTTGCAGTATGTTTAGGGTTTAGGGTTTAGGGTTTAGGGTTTAGGGTTTAGGGTTTAGGGTTTAGGGTTTAGGGTTTAGGGTATTGCGGGAGAGAGTGAGGACGCCCCAGCCGAGCTCCTCTGCCCTGCGGAGATGTCTTCTGGTGGAGCGGTGTCTGCGGACCCCCCTGACTGCCGTGCTTGCGCCACACTCCTCGTGCAAGACTGGGAATCGCTGGGCTACACGCTCTCAGGCTGCTCGGATCACGTGTTAGGCGCTCCTCCCAGTTCTGACCGGATCCGGGGACCCCACCCTAATATAGACCCCCAAAATAGTACGATTTTCCTTAGAAGTGAGGACCCCAGCAAGGCACCCCCTAATCTCGTAAACCCCCCAATCTGTGCGTCCACTGAGGTGAGGTGAAATGGGGACCAGAGGCGACCTGCCAGTCGGATGAGTCTGTGATCGATGGCTACAGCGTCACTCAGTTGAGTCTGGCATCCCCCCATGCTGCTGGTAGTTTATGTAAGGGCAATGGAATGCCATTAAACCCTAAACCCTAAACCCTACAAATCCGAAATTCCCTGTGAGCTCCCCTTTTTTTGAGGTGTGGCTCGTGGACGAGTGCGGCTCAAAGCTGGACCTGGTGGGCAACGTCACAAAGAAGGCGTGCGGGGGCTGTTCAGGAGCCCAAAGGATCCATGTACCTATATAGTATGTACTTGGGCCTTAAAGGGGTTCCTATATAGTAGCTTTAAGGCCCAAGTATATACTATATAGGTACCTGGATCCTTTGGGGAACTTATCTTGCGACATGGAAGGCGCACTGCCGTATCATCAAGCTGGATATCGTAAGATGTACTGTCACGGTAGCCTAAAACTTTACGTTGAAGTTCTTCGCAACAGAAATGTAGGATTCCCTTTCAATTTTTTTTAAGTTATGAATTATCAATTAGTTATTAAGTAATTATTAATCAGGTAATTATTAATATATTTTCGTGTCAGACTTGTCCTTCCTGCCCCGTGCAGGAAGACGAGTGGCTGCCAAGCATGCTGGAATGTTCCTTGGCGATACCATCTGCAGAGAAATCAACAACAAGCCCTTCTCCTTAGGCTCTCTTCCAGCCCCACAAAGCCCTAAACCCCTAAACCCCTAAACCCCTAAACCCTAGCTTTGGAATAGGTTGTCACCCATCCTGGTATTCGCTCTTCGTGCACGACATGAACTTGCCCGAAGTGCCTTGGCCAGAGTTACTACGAGGGGTCGGAATAATTACGAATACTTAAAGTCCCCATATGACGGTTTCCGAAATTAGGCGTCCATATTGGGTCCTTCCCCGTTATGGTCCCTACAGAGTTGCTGTGGGGGTCGGAATAATTAGTACTAGGTAGGCCATTGGACATTTTCTACGTTCCCTTATTGGGTTTAAACGCATCATACTCAAGAATAATTTTTGAGATGGTTTTAAGGGCCATCCTAGAATGGTATTTAGTATTTAAATATACTAAGATATCCCCCCAAAAATACCGATTAATTCTAATCCTCAAGGCCCCTATGTTATGATGTCCGGCCCTTCTTCGACCCCTAAACCCTAACCCGAAACCCTAAACCCTAAACCCTAGACCCTAAACCCTAAACCCTAAACCCTAAACCCTAAACCCTCCCTAACTTCTCCAGGCGGCTGTGGGCTTCCTGATCCTCGCCTACCAGGCCCGCTTTCTCGTTTTGAAGTCTACCCAAAGGCTCTGTGGTACCTTTTTGGGGTAGTATACTGGAATCCCCTATACCTAACCCAAAAAGGAACTACATTAGTACCTTTTTGGGGTAGTATACTAGAATCCCCTATGCCTAACCCAAAAAGGAACTACATTGGAGCCTTTGGGTAGGGCCCAGAGTAGGCCCTTGCGCACTTTTTGAGGGCTTATAAGTACCCTTACAAGCCGCCTTGGTACCAAGAAGGGCAGCCTTCTTATTTTTTGGGTGACTCCTGGATGTAGAAATTCTTAAAGTCACCCTTGGATCTTCGCTTTACCTTCCGCTTCGCTTTTCCGAAAGCCAAAATTATAGGGTTTGTAAGGGAGGGGGGGTCATGGGTGTACCCGAAACCCTAAACCCTAAACCCTAAACCCTTAAGAACACTATGACAAACCAAGCAAAGCTGCAGGGCCAGGCGGCCCTTGCGGGGCCCTTGCTGCCCATCTTCCGCTCGAGCCCGCAGCTTAGACCCAGGGTCTCTTCTCACTTCTGCCGGCAGGGTTTAGGGTTTTGGGTTTTGGGTTTTGGGTTTTGGGTTCTGAGTTTAGGGTTTATAAGGGTTTTCGGGTTTAGGGCTTCGGTTCTTAGGGAAGTGACGCGCCCAGGCGTGCGGACGGCGACAGCTACCACGACAACCACCGTTGTCCCAATGCCCCTCGCTGACACACCCACTTTGGAGACCATATGCGGGCCATAGGGACAGCAGGTTTGCGAGTGCCGTTTCCCGAAGAGGTGTGTGGGCTCCAATCCTGAAAGACGATGCCGTTACTCCTCGGCCTAAAGCTATCCGAGGACAAGTCCCCGAATGGTCCAGCTGCAGGGCGTTATGCTCATGTCGGTGTCCGACGTATCTGTGAAACTTGGATTCGCATCAGCTAGATCCCCCGAAGCCTGGCCTTAACCACTTATTGGATGGACTGCTTCTGAACGGGTCCCCCCCCCCCCCCCCCCAAGTCAATAGACGGAGTCTCTGGCTTTGAAAGTGCTGAACGGGGGCTGCCTTGGGGCAGACCATGGTCGGGGTCCCTGCCGTGACGTGGAGGTTCGAATTGCGAAAGCTGAGGTTTGAGGATGCGAGGAATGCATCAGTGCTGGAGCAGGCAAGCGTGTGTTTTGAAAAAAAATTTGAGGCAACCTAAATACGAGGACCGAATTCGACACGTGGTTTGCTACTATGATGGACGCCACAGTGAGGACCCTGGTGGAGAGATATTCCAGCGGTAGTAGTCATGCTTTGAAGACAATGATGTAGACACATCAGGTGCTCACATGCTGGGGTTGCGTCAGGAAGGAGGATCGTGCGATAATTCAACCAGCTGCGACATGCTAAGTGCAACGACGGGCCCCCTACCTCCCGTGCTCCTGGTTTGGTTAGGATAGTTTGTGCTTTGGGCGGCACTGACACTGAAAAAAAACGGGGCGTGGCGTTCAAAGCTTTGAAAGTGCAGTGGGATGGCTAGCGAGGCCCCACTTGCGAGCAGTGTCATTGTGGGCCTCAGACTGAATCGGTGCTCTTCGGTTATGGGTTGCAACTCGGTTGATGGACCGATGGGCTCAGCTCAACTCTCCCGGTAGCCTCGACTTGTCCCTGCGGAGTGAACCCCTTTGGGGTGCGTGACACTGCGGGTGGGCTGAGCCCTGCTTCATTGAAGTCGCGCCCCTTTTTGTTACAAGAAAAAGAAACCCACGGCCCTCCTCCTGATGGGAACATCGCAGGGGCGGTGTCTCTTTACCTGGGGGTACCCCCCCCCTCTACCCCCCGGCAGAGCCAACTTTGCCTGGAGCCAAATCCTTCTGAGCCTGTGACACCCCTATACACCCTCAATCCTCAATGGAGGGCCGCCTGACAAGTTCCTTGGAGCTTCCTGGTCAGGCTTCTTTGGCCCCAACATGTGGTCTTAATGGTGAAATGTGAAAGCTCACAGCGGCGGGTGGCGGGAAAGAAGCAATGAAAATAGTTGGACTGCACTGCCTTCGCGTGACGTGCCGCCCCTCCTCACCCCTGGGTGTGCCGGGGCACCCTCTCCACATGGTATTTACTGCTGCTGCTCGGCGAGACGCCCGAAACCCTAAGCCCTCACCCCAAGCCCTAAACTTAAACCCTAAACCCCAAACCCCAAACCCGAAACCCGAAACCCGATAAACCCTAAACCCACGCAAAATTCAGACGTCAGGCCAGCAAGGAGACGCTTGTTGCCAGCGTGGGGGAGCTGGCCCTTCCGGACCAGGCCCCCGTGTAGTTTAGGGTTTATAGGGTGTAGGGTGTAGGGTTTAGGGTTTAGGGCTTAGAATGCAAAGCGCAGGATGGGAACCCCTATTTCCCTACTTGGGTTCTGAGTAGCGAGGCTTTCGCCAGCCTCCAAGTATAGGCAACAGAAAGTAACGCAGCTCCCGAGCTTCAGGCAGCTGGGGCACAGAAACAGAAGACAGCCCTAAACCCCAAACCCCAAACCCTATACCCTAGACCCTAAACCCTAAACCCTAAAGCCTAAACCCTAAAGCCTAAACACTATAAACCCTAGACCCTAGACCCTAAACCCTAAACCCTAAACCTAAACCCTAAAACTCTCTGCGCTGAGGCCGAGACCATCCAAGTCAACTGGAGCGCAAGCTCTACGGAGAGCAGGAGGTTGAGGCGAGAGCAGTTTCTGCACACTTTGGGTTTAGGGTTTAGGGTTTAGGGTTTAGGGTTTAGGGTTTAGGGTTTAGGGTTCAGAGTCTAGGCAGAGTGCCCCCAAGAGTTGCCCGGACACGCAGATCTGCAAAGCACTTGCGCTTGCCACTGCTTTCCCCTTGATTCATGAGCTTGCGCCGAAGATCCTGATTCTTGTGCCGGGATGTTGCTCGGTCGTTCCCTAAACCCTAAACCCTAAACCCTAAACCCTAAACCCTATTATAAAATTAACCCGAAACTCTACATGACGAGGCGGCTCTCTGAGCAGACGCGTCTTGGCAGAAGTCGGGATGGCCAGACTAGGCGTCTTAAAGTTTGGGGCGCGGGTACATTAGGGTTTCGGGTTTCGGGTTCAGGGTTTAGGGTTTGGGGTTTAGGGTTGAGGGTTTAGGGTTTCGGCTTTTTCCATTCCTTTCCTGTTGGAGCTTCTGTTCTTGGGCGATAAGCCCTCTTCCCCAAACCTTTGCACTGTTAAAGTGCGGGCTGATGTGACCGATCTCCCTCTGCGCTGCGTGGCTGCGTCTGATCCTGTCTGATCCTGAGGCCTTGTGGGCCACAGGAAGGAACCAACATCCAGCTGAACTACGCTCTTCGGCTGGCCAAGGGTTGCGCAGGGCGTCCCTTCATGTACAGCAGCTTCCCTAAACCCCAAACCCTAAACCCCAAACCCTAAACCCCAAGCCCTAAACCCTAAACCAGCTTATCCGATGTTCGCGGGAGGGGGGGAGGGGGCCCGCGTTTCACAGGTCTGGCCCCTCTTCTCAGCCGACCTGGCCCAGACCAAAGCGGCGCGGCTCCAGCAGCAGCCTGGATGCGAAGATTAGGGTTTAGGGTTTGGGGTTTAGGGTTTGGGGTTTAGGATTTAGGGTTTAGGGTTCAGGGTTTAGGGTTTCGGGTTTGGGGTTTAGGGTTTAGGGCGTTGAGGGATGTTGAGGGTTTAGGGTTCAGATCTTGCTGTGCATCGGCGCATTTCGGTGTTAGGGGAGGTTCAGGGGATTCCCTACACCCGACCCTAACCCCTACAGAACCCCTCTCCAAAACCTCACTGTGTTGGCCCCCAAGCAATTCCTTCCCAGAGGGGTCCATCTCTATTATCATTGTGGAATCCGGTACATCTTCACAGGTAGGATAAGGGGGTTCTGAAAAGGGACCCTTCTTAACCCTCTCCTGGCTCTCTTAAACAGGGACCTTATTCAGAGGGTCTACATCCCCTACCCTAAACCCTAAACCCTAAACCCTAAACCCTAAACCCTAAAACTTTTGTGCTTCGAACAGCGCAACGAGGCAGTCGCGGAGCAGCCTGACGGTCTTGATGACCGGATTCCTGCGCCAGCAGCCGGCTTTGGCTACTCAGCTCATGGCCGAAAGTGGCCCAAGGCGTTCTATGTGAGGCCTCAGAACTCTTCCCCAGGTTTAGGGTTTAGGTTTAGAGTTATTCGGTCATTGATGCCCTTCGCATCCTCAGGTGGACATCAGCGTTTCGGTGCAGTGCCTGTCAACCGCCGTCGTTGAGCCGCCGCTTCGACGCGCAAGAAGCCGTGAGCCTGCGGCCAAAGTCTTCCTAAAGGCAATCCCGTTCCCCGAATGCCACCCTCCCCACCCCCCAAAGAGGTGCAGCACCCTATACGGGCTTACTTATAGGTCAAGACTGAGTTGACTGGAACAACTTGGGTTAACTTCGATTGCTTGTGGTGGCAGCTGCCTTGCTGCCAGTTGGCCGAGGGACTTTCTGTCAACTTCCACAGAGCAGGCTTCCCAGGCAGCTTGGACTGCATCAGAACCACTGCTTCCTCTAGTTCCCGGAGTGCCAGGATGCAAAGTGGAGTGTCAGGGGCAGCAGGGTTTAGGGTTTAGGGTTTAGGGTTTAGGGTTTAGGGTTTAGGGTTTATAACAGTGTCAACTGCAGGAGCCTGGAAACTCTTCCACTCCAGCACCGAGCTCTACAACCACATCGGGCTCCAGCACATTGCCGCAGGAAGCCTGGCAAGAACCTGATGTCAATCCCCAGCGCAATGTCACGGCAGGAGTCTGCAAACTCTTCCACTCCAGCACCAAGCTCTACAACCACATCGGGCTCCAGCACGTTGCCCCAGGAAGCCTGGCAACAGAAAGCTTTTTCATAGGCCCTGCACTCCAAGTGACCCTGGGCAGGAAAAGAACCTTATGTCAGTCCATAGCGCAATGTCACAGGAGGAGTCTGCAAACTCTTCTACTCCAGCACCAAGCTCTACAACCATATCGGCGTCCAGCACGTTGCCCCAGGAAGACTGGCCGCATTCTGCACACAAGCAGTCAGAATTCCAAATTTTGCAACGCAAAGCCAGAGACGCATACATGCACACAGACAAACACGTAGGCAGACAGACAGGCTGACAGACAGACAGACACAGACCCAGACGGCTCAGACACAGATGCAGACAGACGCACACACACACACAAAAAAAAGTTACACACACACACAGAGTTACACGCGTACACACAGTTACACACTAACACACAGTTACACACACACACACACTAACACACAGTTACGCACTCACACACTTCCACACAGTTACACACACACACACACGTACACACAGTTACACACTCACACACTAACACACAGTTGCACACACACACACACACGTACACACAGTTACACACTCACACACTCACACACAGTTACACACACACACACACAGTTACACACACACACACAGAGTTACACACACACACAGTTACGCACATACACACACACACAGAGTCACACACAAACACACACACACACACACACACACAGACACAGACACAGACACGGACACGGACACCGACACAGACACAGACACAGACACAGACACAGACACAGACACAGTCACAGTCACAGTCACAGTCACAGTCACACACACAGACAGACACAGACACAGTCACACACACACACACACACACACACACACCCACGCACGCACGCACGCACGCACGCACGCGCACGTACGCACACGCACGCACACGCACGCACACGCACGCACACGCACGCACACGCACGCGCACGTACGCACACGCACACACGCACACACGCACACACGCACACACGCACACACGCACACGCACACACGCACACACACGCACACACGCACACACGCACACGCACGCACCCACGCACACACACACACGCACACACGCACACACGCACACACGCACACACGCACACACGCACACACGCACACACGCACACACGCACACACGCACACACGCACACACGCACACACGCACACACGCACACACGCACACACGCACACGCACACACGCACACGCACACGCGCGCACACACACACACACCCACACACACGCACACGCCCACGCACCCACGCACCCACGCACGCACCCACGCACGCACGCACGCACGCACGCACGCACGCACGCACAGAGTTACACACACTCACACACTCACGCACTCACACACAGTCACACACACAGACAGATATTCTGCCCAGCAGCCTGGCAGGCCGGTGACGAAACGGTGCGCACAACAGCGTCGAGCTCCAGCACCACAGCATTCCAGGAACCTTGGCTTGGTAGAGAGAGACGCAAAAATGTCAAGTTTATGGCCCGAGGGCGACTCACTTGTGCTAAGCTTGTCCAATGCATGGAACAGCCTTAGCCGTGATCGAGATATGCAGGTTCTGATTGTTATATGATGGCATTATATTATTTGTATTCACAAATATCATATATTCATGTTTCTTATGTTCTTGTATGATAGAATTGCTGTATGCTTACATAAGTAAAGTATGCAGGCCGAAACCCTCTCGAGCACGTCCACTCCGAGCACGACATCGTCAAGCTCCAGCACAACGTCGATGATGCTACCTGCTGCGCCATGGTGGCATGGTCAACGTGTAGCGCATGTGGGTGTTTACGAAAATAAAGGTACCCCTAAAACAGAGCCCACAGAGACCCCGTCCCAGCTCGTAGGATTCCCTTATTATTATTATTATTATGATTATTTTAAGGACCCCAATAAGGTACCCCTGATTTCGGAAACCCCCATTTCGGAAACCCCGGAAACACTAAACCCTAAACCCGAGTGGACGAGGCAACTCCTGTCGAGATCTCTAGAGTGGGTGCATTGACGAAACCCGAGTGGAGAGCAGGGGGGGCTCCCTTCGTTCCCTATCAAGGCTCCCCCCCGGAGTTTCCAAGGTGCTCTCGCTCGCAAGGGCAGAGACGCAAGCTGCAACTGGCGTGACGTCAGCTGTTTTCTGGCCAGACTTCGGCTGTAATCGGCATATCTTGGGCTTAGGGTGCAAGGGGTTATGTAAAGGGTTTAGGGGCAGTTGTAGGAGTTTTGGTTTATAGGATTTCGGGTTTAGGGATGTGCTGCAGCTGCGCGTCGCCTTCCAAAATGCAAGTTTCTGACACATGCAAGCCTAAGTTTAAGTCGTTAACATGACGTTCAAGAAGGAGTAGGTGAGGCTTTTGTGTTTCTTTTTGCCCTTGGCCCTTGGTGGTGGTCGTTCCGCAATTGTCGTCGTATAGTCGTCGTCACCGTCGTGGACTACAACTGCCAGCCACCCTCCCAACAAATAGGGTTTAGGGTTTAGGGATTAGGGTTTAGGGTTTAGGGCCAGTTCGGAACGTGTGCGTGCGTGCTGCGTGGGCGTGCTTGCGAGGGCCATAGCAGAGAGAAAGGGCAACAGGAGTGGAAGCGGCTAACCTTCGGCCAGTTTGCCGTGAGCCAGTCCACTAAAGGGACGTTTTCAGTGAACTGTCACGGGAATTTCGTGACATGCCCTCAATCCTATGAACCAGACAATCTGAACCCGGAAACGTCAAGCAACCCTATACACCCTCAACACCCTGGAGCCAAAGACCCTAAGAGCCCCGGTGGTTCCTGCACTGAGAAGCCCCAGGTTGTGATAGCAGGCCTGCTCGCGATTGGTGCAATCACCTGGTGGGCGCCAGCCCCAGCTGGTGTTCAATCATGAAGAGAGCCGTAAACCCTAAACCCTAAACCCTCTTGTTTGCTGGATGCCAATGAAAAGCACATCTCTAGGAGTCATGTGGGAAGTTCCCTCAATGAGCGTCCCCTCTTGGGGGGGGGGGGGTGCTCATGATACGAGTCTTCGGGTTGCCTTCGGGTTGTTCGGGTTTTATGGGGCTCCTGTTGATTTTTAAAAGGGTTTGCGGGGTTTAGGCGTTGTAGGTTTAGGATTTATGAAATTCAGGGCTTATAGTTATAGACCTCACACCATGAGGCTGGCAGCATGTGTGGGTCATTCAGGAGCGTCACCTCGTAGGTTCTTGCTCAAGTATACGGTTCCTGCTACGACGGGGACGTAGTCCAGAACAACCTCCATTTGCTGAGGCATGCGTCTGCCTCCGAAAGCATTCCGCTGTGGCGCCCAGCACCAGCGAGGCCGCATCAGAAGTGGCTCTGCGCAATGCTGCGCAGCTGAGAAATGCAGGGCTATAAGAGGAAACTCCATGGTCACAGCTCCCGTGTCAGCGCGGCGCGCCTGTATCAGCGACTCCCATATTGTTGCTGAACGGTGGTTCCTTAAACCCTCAACCTCAAAGCCCTGAACCCTGCAGGCCTTCCTGGCCGTAGTTGCTGAGACGTCTGAGACGGAGTCAGCCCAACGAGCTTCTTGGACGCACTGGCACAGAGGCACAAAACAGAAACCGTAGACCGGCGCAGATCAGCGCGGCACACTTGAGAGTTCATGGGCTTAGAAAGGGTAGAAGATAATCTATAGCATAATCTGCTAGTCTTACCCCTAAACCCTAAACCCTAAACCCTAAACCCTAAACCCTAAACCCTAAACCCTAAACCCTAAACCCTGAAGAAGAGCCATCTCGCAGCTTGGCTTGAGGCCCCAAAGCCCTGTCTGTGCCCTGAGGCCCCGAGCGGAAGAGCCGAGCCGGACGCCGATCCAGGGGAGCCCGACGTCTAATATAGGGGTCGGAATGATTAGGGTTTAGGTTTAGGGTTTAGGGTTTAGGGTTTAGGGTTTAGGGTTTGGGGTTTGGGGTTTGGGGTTTAGGGTTTAGGGTTTGGGGTTTAGGGAAAAGATAGGGGTCGGAATAGATACTGGTAGTATTATTCCCTTAGGGTCTCTTTATAGTGACCCCCAAAACCCTGTTCTAATTATCAGGCCCCTATATTAGAGCATCGCGTTTTTCACGTTTCACATAGCATCCCTTTTCGGTGATTTTCCCCCATTATCTGAGGGTAGTTGCATGGTCCCTCCATATGGTAGGGGGCTCTCCCCTTTTCAGGGCCCATGCTACGGGATCATGCAGCTACCCGAAGATACTAGTGTCATAGTGTCGCTCCAGACTTTCGATGAAAATGCACCCTTTTCAACACATGCCTGGCGTAGTCACGGCATGTCGATATGCCTTCAGACCCGCGGCCAATGGAATCGTCAGACGGAAGCAGTGTGGATGTTGCTTCTCCCTACAATGAGAAGATCCTAAACCCTAAGCCCAAAACCCCCAAAGCTGTGGTTGTGCTGTGGGTCTTCCGTTACTGCACCTGCCGTTGCTCGAAAAACCTCGATGGAGTGCAGAGCTGATGCAGACGCTGCGCTGCGCCAACTCGCTTCCAAAGTGAGTCGAGGTGTGAGGCTCCGGCAATTAGCCAAAAAAGTGCAGAGTTTGGGGTGGTTTGGGAGGCACAGTTGCAGGGCTGTTGGAGCTGAGACGATGGCTTAAGTACTGGCAAGCAGATTCGCCATTGAACAAGGAAGACGATAAGTGAGAGAAAGAGAGAGAGAGAGGAATGAAGGATACGTTTATGTACGGGCATATCTGTGTAGTCCGTGACTGTGTGTGTATGTGTGTTGTGGAATTTGGCTCCTCGGAAGACTGTTGCTGTAGTCACCACGGGGCACGACATGTGAGTTCCTACTTATTTGGTCACTGGACCCGCGCACATGGCCCATGGAACATGGAGTTCAACTCTAAGAAGCCCAACCCTGAACGCGCAAAAGTCGACTTCAACATCGCAAACAGCCCACAAGCCAAGCCACTTGGCCTAGTCACACGCCCGCGATGCACGTAACCTCGCCTGGCCAGAGCCTGAGAGGCAAAGTACTCTGTGATGAGTGATGGCATATACGACTATTTGCTTAAGAATCCCAAAAGATCATTCAAAAAACAATCCCTATATATAACCCAGAAGTATGAATATTAATCATCCCTATATTACCCTGAATAAGGAAGTATAGCAGACGGTTCAGAGATCAGAGAGTTCCTGTCATGTTCACAAGATGCCCTCAAATCGTTCTTGGCTGAGCCGTGCACCATCCGGCAAGGGCCCAAGGAGGAGTTGAACGGGTTTAGGTTTTAGGTTTTAGGGTTTAGGGTTTAGGGTTTAGGGTACATGAAACACCCTCACACTCAAAGGCGCCAGAGGAGAGCGAGGATGAGGGGATGGTGCTCACAGGCTCTCTGGGCTTGGACCGGAAGTTTCCTAAAAGGTCCCCTTAGGGTTAAGGGTTTAGGGTTTAGGGTTTGGGAGTGTTGGGGTTTAGGGTTTAAGGTATGGGGTTTAGTGTTTAAGCTTCAGGGTGACAAGTCCCTTATATCCCTTTTTTTGCAGGGTTTGGGGTTCCCCAGTAATCCCCTACGGTGCACTTTTATTCCTAGGTTACTCCTGGGTCTACTAAAGTTCCCTTACCTTAAGGGGACCTATTTGGCATGTTCCGCCCTTCTTATACTGACTCACAGTCCTGAAGAGGGATTATCATCGGGGGGTGCCAAAATCCTTATCAAGGACTGTTAGTATAAAGGCGAAAACATCCCAAAGACCAAATCTGAACCCTACAAAGGGTTTTATGGTTCATATTGGAAATATGTTGAACCCTGAAAAGGGTCTATGGCTTCATAGACCTCAATAGGAATCATAGTAGTATAGGGTATATGAGTTTGAAAACCCAATTTAGTTGGTTAGGGTATATGACTCCAATCTTAGGGTTCATTTGGTGCCCATGAAAAATGTACCTTTCTCTGCTCGTGCGTCTTACAGACAGCAAGGGGGGGGGGGGGGGGCTTGCGATTAAGAGAGCCTTGATGAGAATAATCATCATCATCGCAAACTTATTATCGCCATAATGATGACCAGATGATACCCAGAACCATAGTAGCGAAAAAAGAGTAAGAAGCGTAGCAGTAATAACAGCAAGAACTAACAACAAACAACAATAGGAACCAAGAAGACTAAGAATAAGAAGAATAACAATAGTAACAACAAGAGGAACAAAGAACGATAATTAGAAGAAGCCAGCTCGGCGGAGAGGCATCTTCATTACACTCCTCCCCCTTCTGGCAGAGTCCACTCGATGCAGCTACGTGCCCCGGCGGCCCACTTGATTGATGTAGTTTTATTCTTTTTCCTTTCATATATGTGTTATTTGTTTTTCGGGGGGGGGGGGGGGGGTTAGGGTTTTTATTCACCCTCAATCCTTTAAACCCTAAGCCCACATGGCAGGGTACGATACGAACAGTGGTGACCCCAATCGTTTGGTCATCTGTCCACACGCATCGCCCCCCCACCCCCCCATCCCCCCCCGCCCCCATCCCACCCCCCCCACCCCCCCCCCCCCCCCCCCACCCCCCGATCGCACACCCCGCCCCCCAAAAAACGCAAGCCCGTAATCACATATTGTATTACTATCGCCCACTATAAAGAGCAGTTATTTGCGGGCGTGAGCACAATAACTATGGTGTTTTTTCCGTTCGCCCAAAGGCCTCATGAGAAGAAGCGTATGTCTCTAGCCTTCTGAGTCACTGTTTTATCACTCATAATCTTATACTACTACGCCTTCGACGTTTCTGTGCACTGTTGTTCATAATCTTGTATCAATACGCCGTCGACATTTCTGTGCCAACTCAAAATGAGAAGCCTTGGTCATTATAGCCCAGTGTGTATACTGGGGTTCAGGGCCCTCCGTTTCAAGCAGCGGTGTGCTTTAAGCCCGAAAAAACCGTATGGTCAGTTCCTGAAATAAGGGAGGCGCCCTTGGAACAAGGACCCCCAAAGGGGAGCAGTGACCCTAGACCCTAAACCCTAAACCCTAAACCCTAAACCCTAAACCCTAAACCCTAAACCCTAAACCCTAAACCCTAAACCCTAAACCCTAAACCCTAATTAAACCCTAAACCCTAAACCCTAAACCCTAAACCCTAAACCCTAAACCCTAAACCCTAAGTAAGACCGAAACCTGATTCACGAGCAGGCACCGGGTGATGCCTGCTTGGATGGCGGGATACTGGTACGGGATGAGCCCGCCTTCGAATGCTCCTTCTCCACAGGTCCGACTGAGGGTTTAGGGCTTAGGGTTTAGGGTTTGGGGTTTAGGGTTTAGGGTTTAGGTAGTTTCCGGAATTTGGAGAACCTCCTTCGGGTCTCTATTACAAGGGAATCCTATTAGTTGGAGTTTTGTCGGGGTCCCCTGTTTTCGTAAACCGCCGACTGGAGACAAGACTGAAAGCGGTGTCTTAGGGCTTTGGGGTGTTGGGGTGCTGGGGCCTTTGGGATCTTTGGGGTTTGGGTTTTGGAGGGTTGGATTTTCGTCTTGAGGGTTTACGGCTTGGCGGTTCATGGAGGATAGAATCACTCCCCTACATGGCTTTTCGCAGGGTACTGCTCTGTCGGCTTGATGTGGGAAGGAACAACCACATCTACGACATCGTCTCTGACCACTCGCACAGAAACCTCCACCACACAGACGAGGTCCACGACGCTCACGGGATATTTTGATTGCGCCGCCGCCTATGACAACCGGGAGCGCGCATGGTCCGACGCAAAGAAGCTATAACCCCCTTGGGAATTATTTTTTTGTTTTTGTTTATCTAAAACCCAAGAGGGTATTAACGATATGTTTTTTTAAAAGTTCTAAGGGGAGTATAGGAAAGTTTGGTGCTGTCGCAGACGTCAACTGGGTTGCCCCACCACCACCTCACACACAGTCACAACATCCTCCATGACTACGTCAACAGATACCTCCGTCACCAGCACATCATCCACGTCGACAGGCACGAGAACCACAACCACCGAGGTCACGGTGACCCATTTTGCGTTTGACTGTAGTGTCGCTCTCAACAACTGGGAGAAGGAATGGTCTGAGATGAAGAAAGCATGGTGCTGCCACAGAGAACAGGTGGGCTGCCCAGCTTCCACCAGAACCACCTCCACTTTCAGCACCAAGACCTCAACATCGCAGTCCGCCACAGCGACTTCCACCTCAGCCACCACAACTACGACCAGCTGGTTCTTCAATTGCAGTGCAGGCTACGACTTGTGGGTGGAAGGCTGGTCCGATGAGAAGAAAGTTTGGTGCTGTCAAAGAGAGAGGTTGGGCTGCCCCTTCACCACGCTCTCCACGAGCACCCGGACGTGGACATCAGCGACCGTCAGCACAAGTACCGCCACCACCCAGACTGCAACATCCAGCACCCTTACGACAAGAACAACCTCCACTTCAGTCATCACAAGCACAACGAGCAGCTCTTCTAGAACAACTACTGGCACATCAACATCCAGCACCTCGTCCTCATCCATCAGCTTGACGACGACGTCGACAATCAGCACCACAACAACCACAACTTTCCTGTGCCTCTCGGCGTGCGATCAGCTGGCTCCCTGGAAATGAAAGTGAGCATAGGTGAGCATGCAGCACTCCTGCGCTGACACATTCTCGTTGTCAGGGGGCTTGACCCTTGAGCCTACCCCCTAGAAGCTACGACGCCTAGAAACCCTACTTGGACCACAAACCTCGTCAACGGGCCACAAGGTGCCGAGGGGGGGGCCCTTTACCCTAAACCCTAAACCCTAAACCCTAAACCCTAAACCCTAAACCCTAAACCCTAAACCCTAAACCCTAAACCCTAAACCCTAAACCCTAACATGCCCTTGAAGCCTCGCCGCCCGCAGGTCGGAGAGTTTTGGCTGGTGTGCCTTTGGTGGATGGCGCGGCTTTGGCTTGAAGATGCCCCTAAGTAGCCTCCACCTGTTGGGTAGCCGAGGGCACTTCTCAGAGTGTGAAGGGTTTGTAAAGCTTATAGAATTTTACGGCTTAGGGAAGGTTTATATTAGGCAGCGAGACCAAACGAGAGAGAGAGAGAGAGAGAGAATAAGAAAGGGGCAGGCTCTTTGGCACTTTCGCGTCTCCGGGTCTCCCGTGACCCTTTGTTCTCCATTTTGGGGGATTTGGGGTTTATGGGTCTAGGGCTTATAAGGGCTTTTAGAAAAACCCTACTTGTGGTTTGTGGGTTTAGGGCTCCGGGGCTTAAGGCTTCGGGTTCAGGGCTTGGGAGGCTTCGTTTCCGAAGGACATTCCGACGCGTTTAGGCACCGGGGTGTCGTTTGACTACTGTTTCATCGAGCTTTTCACCACCAACTCTGAAAAAGCTCCCCGAAACCCTAAACCCTAAACCTGTAACCCTATAAGCCTGTAAACCCTGTAAACCCTGTAAACCCTATAAACCCTATTAACCCTACAAACCCTATAAACCCTATAAAACCCCTAGTACACCCTAATAAACCCTATCAACCCTCTAAACCCTCTAAACCCTCTAAACCCTATAAACCCTCTAAACCCTATAAAAGCCCTATAAACCCTCCGGCACCAAAGCTTCCAAGGCCTGCGGAGAGACTTTGCAGGACCTCTGCTTGGCCAGCAGCGGGCACGTGCCCCTGGAAGCCCAGCCTTGCGACCCTGAGCTGCCATTGGTGCCCTCCTTGTTATAAGGGGGCTCCAAAGTCTAGGGCCTGTCTAGGATTTCGGGTTAGGGTTTAGGGTTTAGGGTTTAGGGTTTAGGGTTTAGGGTTTAGGGTTTAGGGTTTAGGGTTTAGGGTTTAGGGTTTAGGGTTTAGGGGTTAGGGGTTTAGGGGTTGGGGTTTAGGGTTTAGGGGTTTAGGGGTTTAGGGTTTAGGGTTTAGGGTTTAGGGTTTAGGGTTTAGGGTTTAGGGTTTAGGGTCATTTTGGACACAGGGAAATCGACTGCAAGCTCGGGAAAGCAAGCATTTTGGGCATGGGGGTTCTTGGTGTTTTGAGGTTTCCTTGTGATGTGTTTTCTTCGGCGAGCTGTACGAAGGCAGCCCTTCTCAGGTTTCACCAAACCCTAAACCCTAAACCCGAAACCCTAAACCCGAAACCCTAAACCCTAAGCCCTACGCTGAGGACAGCTCCGCCAAGCTCGTGTGCCCCACCACATCATCGGTGAACTCGACGGCGACAGCATGCAGCGCGTGCTCAACACTTCGCATGCAAGACTGGGCCGGTCGATACAAGCTTACAGGCTGCTCGGCTGGTCTTCCGGTCCTCCAGGGTGCAGCTCGCAAGGGAGTGTGAGTTCTTACATCTTGTCCAATACTGCGAATTGAAGGTAGGCCCTAGTAGGCCCTCCACCCCCCAAACCCTAACCCTAAGCCCTAAACCACCCTAACCCACCGAAAAACCCTCAAGGCGAGATCCGCTGGGGTCCTTCTGCCTTCTGCCAGAATGAGTCATTCGATGGCTACAGCGCCCCTTGGCCTGCGCTGCCACGGCCATGTTTCATTCTAGGGGATTGAGCGGTACTTGTAAATACATAAATAATTCCAAAAAGTAAAATAAATAAGTATGAATATAATTATGTATATACACATATATAGTCTGAAGCTCATGTGACTGTACAGCTGAAAGTGTAGATGGGCTCCAGCAGGGAAGCCAGCTGCACACCTCGGGGGGACTCTCAGAAGCCAAATTCCAGGGATTTGGGCTTCAAGAAAGGGGTTACACCCGTGGCAGCTTCGAAAGGTGTGGGCCATTGACGCTTGTGGTGACAAGCTCGAGAGTCTGGGTTCCGTCAGGAAGAAGGCACATGCCATGCTGACCCCAAACATATGTTACTGTTGATATTTGACAGGTTCTAAAACCTCTTATAGGATGCTTAGGTCATCCACAAAAAGAGTAGGTTTTGGCTTGCTGAATTGACTGACTTCTGAACGCGATTTGGTTTGGAATCTGTTCCAAGCGATTGAAAGAGGGCGAGCCACGAGGTGTTCCTTTAGGAGGGCCTGAGATTTGTTACATACTCCCTTATTGCCTTCTCAAGAGAACCCTAGGTTTTCCGCGCTCCTAAACCTAAACCCAAACAAAACCCTAAACCCCAAACCCTAAACCCTACACCCTCTTGGGTCTTACGTAATGTGTCCGAACCTCTGGCAGGATGAAGAGATCCCGGAGATGTTGGAATGCGACTCAGCTTCGGTAACGCTGCAGAGGACGCACAGCTCCAGACACAATAGTCTCTTCAGTAGTTTAGGGTTTAGGGTTTAGGTTTTGAGTAGATAGGCCTTTTAAACCTCTTGGGGCTATAGACACTCCTACCAGAATTGAAAGGTTCGCCTTTTGGTGGGCCAGGGTACTTAGCAACTGGGATCTGCTTCTCGCCCTACCCTTTTAGGGGATGATCAAAAGGGCACCTCATTCCCTACTCAGAACCAGTTGTGCTACCCCCCTTAGGCTGCCATTCCTCGTGGTACTCGCTCTACATGGACGACGCCACCTTGCCGGAGGATCCCCAGATCTCTCTTCATGAAGTCTTTCTGCCACCCTAAACCCTGCACCCTAAACCCTAAACCCTATAGGGACTTTAAAACCTATATGAACCCTAAAGCCCCATGCGTCTGCGCGAGGCCACCGTGGGCTTTGTCCTCATCGCTTCCCAGGCGGCTGAGAGAAGTTCGGGCATTTGCCGTTTCCGTGTTTCGCAGCTCTTGTTTCGCACCTCTTGTTTCGCACCCTGGTACTTCCTGAGCCAATGGTTGAGGGGTTTCGTGATTGAGTAGGAGTAGGAAAAGCAAAGGTTAACCTGTTTCGCGCAGAAGTAAGGTTATGGGATTCTCTACTATCCCCTGTCCAAAAAAGGCCATTTACAGAGTCCAGGACCATGATTATACCAGGCGCTTGAAAGCTACCATTCCCAACCTAACCTAGAACCTGCAGCCGCCGCAACGCTTACTCCTATCAAACCAGCTCGCTACTTGGAATCTTGAACCCCTAAGCACTTCTTTATCACAAAAACCATCTGGAGCCGACAACGCCAAACTCTTAAACATCCTGAAACCCTACATATTATATCCGCCCTAATTGTCGCTTAAGCCCAGAACTAAACCCTACAGCCCTACAACCTAGCATCCCCAGGGAGCACAAGAGGTCCCTTGCCTCTGAACCGCATGTGATTCCAAGATGGGGGGGCATATAGGATCCCCACCCTCCCACTTCCCCCTAAACCTTATCAACCCTAAACCTTAAAACCCTACACCCTAAACCCCAAACCCTAAACCCTAAAGCCCTAAACCCTAAAACCCTGGCCCCCGAATCCCAGCCTATCCCTAAACCCTAAACAACACCCCAGGGCTCCAAAGAGCTCCTCGGTCCGATGCTGCCCCTCCTGCAAGGCTGTTTATATATATATATATATAAATTTCTTTTTTCATTTAAATTTTTTCGGGTTTTGGTTTTGTGTTGTTTTTTGGGGGTTTAGGGTTTAGGGGTGGGGTTGGGGTTTTGGGAGTTTGGGGGTAAGGTTCCAGGTTTATGGTTTCGGCGCCGTTTCGGGGGCAGGCCTGGTGCAAAAGGGTCCATATAGGGTTTAAGGTTTGGGGGTTGCAAGTCTGCAAGTCCATATTCCCCGGTAATGCCGAAGGGCTGCTACGGTTCCTAAAGGGATGCATTCCTTACATCAGACTCCCCTCATTATACACCCCCTCGCCCTCGCCTTCCCAAGAGGGTACCGCCTTTGAAGGTATCGAGGCCCGCGAGATCAGCCTGCCAGTGGTGCTTTGGTGGTGATTGGACCCTAAACCCTAAACCCTAAACCCTAAACCCTAAACCCTAAACCCTAAACCCTAAACCCTAAACCCTAACCCCCCAAACAGTCCCTTGAGCCCAGGACTCGCAACCAGTGGGTGCGCTGGGACCCCAGCAAGGATTCCCTCTTGAGTTCCAGTCGCAAGTGCCATGTGTGCCTTCTGAACTCGCGATCTTTGAGCATGGCCTCTATGACTTTTAGGCCACCAAAGCCCTTAAATAACCTCAAGTCCTCTTAAGGTACGTAGCCTTGGCTATCTTGGGATTCATCTTCCTGGTCGTGAGCGCAGCCGCTGCCTGGTTCTGCCTGAAATCTCGCCAGAGCAAGGAGGCTCGTTGGCGGTAGCAGTCGTCGTCGTCGTCGTCATAGGAAGAGGAGAGAATGCGTAGAATTCGGAGAAGTAGGAGTAGCGGTAGTGGTAGTGTGACGACACTTCACAGATTGAAGCCGTTGAGGCTCCCAAGCCCAAATCGTTGGTAGTTTAGGATTCAGGGCGCTGTCTTGAAAGAAGCTGCAGAGTGGTTCACCCGTGCCAACTGACTGTGGTGACAAGACCAGCACCACTCCAACACCCTTTCTTACTTCGTGCTTGGTCGGGGGTTACAAACTTAGTTAGATATCCCTTTAAGGGATCTAGAGAATCCGATTCCCAAGTTTCTCAACTCAGAATTATCTTCATTGTTGAAACACTCTGGGAACCAGTGAGGCGAATCCCCTCTCAAAAGCAAGCAAGACCTCGCAGAATAGACCCGAGAAGCCTACAGTACATGAAATTTGGATTCCTTCCAGGTCCCTCTTCCCACCATGACAGGCTTTAAAGTCTTAGCGAACCCTGAATCAGGAGGACCACCCTGCCTTATGGGTGGCACGGGAGCCTGTTGCGCCCGAAGTTCCCGATGACCGAGAAGACAGGCTGAAGAGCGGTTGGGGTTCGGGCTTAGGCTCAGGGTTAACTTTGTGGTGCTTTGCTGTAACTTTAGATCCTTAGCCTTTTTGGGTTTGTTGGGTTTCTTAATAAGGCGGCTAACAGTTTAATTTATAGCTACCCTCCTAAGTGCAGCCAAGTTAAGTACTGTAGAATAAATACAGCCAGCTTGGTGCATGATGCGGGCACGTCATGTTTTGTGATATATTCTACCTTTGCATAGCAGCAGCCCGGTGTAGAAGCCTAAGCCATCCTAAGCCCCAAGACGGAGGCCGGAGGCCCCTCGAGAAGAGCGCAGCAGTCGTTCTCCCTGAGATTTTTTCATGTTCGGCAAAAGAAGTGTAAAGAAGGAAGCAAGATCATGCAGAGCTCTTGCACTTTCGCCTGAAGGCCTCGCCCCTTCGAGGATCGCCTCAAGTTGCAGACTGGTGTAGACACCAGTCGTGAGGCCAGATATGCAGGCGGCGGGCAAACCTTGTGTGAATTAGGGTTCAGGCTTTAGGGTTCAGGATTTAGGAGCCTCCTTACAGTTCCATTGTGAGCATCTTGACATCATGCGCAGAGTGAATGCCGTGTGCAAGCTTGCCTAGGAAGCCAGGGTTGACTGTAGCCTATACACACCCTATCTGCACCCCAATGCCCTATGCACACCCGATATACACCCCACAAATTTTAGGAATTGGACGCGTCTTCGCTCCGCTTTCTCCGCGTTTCGACACGGCCCCTCCCTCCCCCGCCCAAACATTATCCCTGACCCAGTGGGGGGGAGGGGAAGTACTAGACGCTGAACCTGAAACCCTAAGCCCTAAACCCGAAACCCTAAACCCTAAACCCTAAACCCTAAACCACGTTAAGCCCGCCATAGAGAATAAATGTCGAGAGTGAACCACCTCTGGAGACCAAAGGCCTGATAAGCTCCTGCCCCCGAAAGAAGCACGCAGGGCTCAGAGGTAAGGGTTTAGGGTTTTGGGTTTAGGGTTTAGGGCTTTAGGGTTTAGGGTTTAGGGCTTGAGGGTTTAAGGTTTATAAGGTTTAGGGTTTAGGGCTTGAGGCTTTGGGGTTTACAAGGTTTCGGGCTTGAAAAGCAGGCGAGGATAGGCGGGTGTCTGGCAGTCAGCAAGTCCAGCTTCAACAAAAAGGTTCCCTAAACCCTAAACCCTAAACCCTAAACCCTAAACCCTAAACCCTAAACCCTAAACCCTAAACCCTAAACCCTAAACCCTAAACCCTAAACCCTAAACCCTGAGCCAAGTTTTGGGTTATGGTCTGGGGCTCTTAGCATCGAAGCTCAAGACTCAAAGCCCCAGAGGTGGCGCTGTGGGGCCTTACGGCGTGCACCGGGGTCATCTTCCTCATGGAGACCCAGGCGTAGGGTTTAGGGTTTAGGGTTTAGGGTTTAGGGTTTAGGGTTTAGGGTTTAGGGTTTAGGGTTTAGGGTTAGAGCAGCAGTCCTAGCCGTAAAAATTAACGGTTAGAGCACCCTACAACCTCCGACCTCCCTCCCCACCCAACCCAACCCCCCCCCCCCAAGCTGATTGGAAAGCCTAAACCCTAAACCCTAAACCCTAAACCCTAAACCCTAAACCCTAAACCCTAAACCCTAAACCCTAAACCCTAAACCCTAAACCCTTTCCGTTGGAAGGTTGGGCCGCCGAGTGGATGGTTGAACTGCAACTGCCGGCACCCTGACCTAAACACCGTGCATGCCGAAGTTTACACCTCCCCTGGTATTTGCTCTGAACCCTGAACGCTAAACCCTTTAAACCCTTAAAACCCTTTAAAACCCTTTAAAACCCTTTAAAACCCTTTAAACCCTTTTAACCCTTTAAACCCTTTAAACCCTTTAAGCCCTTTAAGCCCTTTAAACCCTTAAAACCCTTTAGACCCTTTAAACCCTAAACTTCTTACTGGGCAGAGTTCGGCGTCCGGGCTCCAGCTCAGAGTTTGGGTTGGGGGCCCTCGACTCCTTTATATCCCTTCCCTAATATTCAACCTCCCTCTTACCCCCAAAATACGGGTTCAGGGTTTGGGGTCTAGGGTCCAGGGGGTAGGGGTTAGGGTCATTACCCTAAACCCTTAAACCCCCTTCCTCCACATGGGGGGGGGGGGGAGGGTTTTGAATACGAGGGGTTTTGAGTCTAGGGCGTACTCCCAGTACCGCTGTATTCTAGCGGATGAGAAATGTTTAATGTTCAGGGGCCGTTGTTGGGGGGCTGAATATTTGGAGGGCGGGGATGACTCCCTGGCTTCTGTAACGGACTTTCGCAAGCCGAGGATGTGGGTGTGGATGATGGCGCGCCTTGACAGCATGACCCTAGAGGGCCCGACGCCCCACTTTGTTTATCGGGCTGTTCATCTGTGTTCGGGCGGGCCCAAAGACCTGGATTGTTTGGGGTCTTCGTTGGGCCCTGGGGCCCTGAGATTGGCTAGTAGAACAAACCGACTGGGGGTCGAGCATGTTGCGTCCGGGTCGGGTCGGATGGGATTCAGTGAAGATCCAAAGGCGGCCCAGACCTTAGCTCAACCATCCGGTGCCCTCCCGTCTCGATGCCTTTGTCCCCACCTGTGGGGACCAAGCATGAACCCCAAAAGGGTTTATGGCTCATGTACCTCAATAGGAATGGCAGTAGTATAGAGTATATGACTGCAATTTTTGGGTTCATTTGGTCCGCAAAGTATCCCCAGCCAGGTTCAGCGTCCAGCTGGGGTTTCTACCATTCTTATTCCTGGTTGTTCGTGCAGAAGCCCTCAAAGCAGATACCAAATGCCACATATCCACGTGATGGCACATTGTACATGTATAACATCATATTTGCATATACTTATATAGATATGTTTCCTCATCATGGCAACTTACTGTAAGTATGGACAGGGGTATAGTCCAGGCAACGACGCACGAGCAAAGAGCAACGGCACAGCCTTTTTTTCAAGCAAGGAGAAACTAGCGCGACAAGGCCACCAATTAGCCCCTCCTCAGTTCCAGTAGACCCATCATAGGCTTAGCAGCGGAGTAGAGAACCTTGAACTTTTACCTATTGGGGTTTTATACAATGCAACCATAATTATGAAAGTTCAACCTTTCGTGGGCCTGGGTGTACTCAGCAACTAGGTGTGCCGAACCTAGCAGGCGGCAAAGTAGCTTCAGGTGATCGTCCGACACGGCCCCCCGCTCTTCACGGTCAGCAAGGCAAGGCTTGGCCGTTTGATGAAAGTCTCGCGCCACATACACATTTTGAAACCCTAAAAACCCTAAGAACCCTAAAAACCCTAAACCCTGAACCTGCCACACAAGCCAATTAATTCAGGCACATTCAGGCTCCTGTGAAGAGATGCCTGCCTCACAGGCAGTAGGTTGCATCTTTTCAGGCCCGGCAAGCCCAGTCCCCACACTGTAGGCCCGACATTCTCAGATGCTGAGGAGCCTAAACCCCTTACTACAGCCCTAAGACCTTAATGACCTTAATCCTAAACCCTAAACCCCTAAAACCCCTAAGGCCTTAATCCAGGAGGGAACGTGGCGGCCGTACCCGCCAACTGGGACATGGCGGCCATTCCCTCCAACTCAGACCCGCGCAGAGGCAGCGCCAACCGGGACCCTGGAAGAGACAGGGCTTCTTGGTAGAAGAGTAGGTAACCTTTAACCTCTTTGAGGTATGAGATTCCCTTCAGAATCCTCAAATTTATCCTTTAACCTTTTTTGAGGTCTTAGGTTCCCTTTAGAATCCTAAAGGTTATAACCTTTAGCTCCCCAAGGATTCTGGACAACTAAGGCTTTGGCCGGCACCGAAGCGATTCTCCCGGCCGGTTCCCTGGAGATCCGTCCACTCGAACAGCAGCGGGCGATCCGAGGTCGAGCAGCGCCGGGAGTCTCTTTGTCAGAAGTCGGGGGGTTAACATTTTTGTTTACATGTTCAAGGGTACTTAAGTTCAAGAAGGGAATGGAAAATTCATAGAAAGTCAATTCACAAGGGAATAGACCATTCACTCTTTAATTTTCTCTGAACCATGAACTCTACAGGTCTGATGACTTAGAGACCATCTTCGAGAAGTCGGGGGCCTCCAACGATGAGAGCCCTCACAGTGCCGGAGGATGCTTCTCTCTTGCCTGACAGGCTTATCGACTTAGGGTTTAGGGTTTAGGGTTTAGGGTTTAGGGTTTAGGAGCCCTGAAGCAAAAAAGGGTTTAGGGTTTAGGGTTTAGGGTTTTTCTCTTGCCTGACAGTCTTATCGACAGGCTGAGGCATTTGGGGGTTTGGGGGGGGGTTCTATGGGTTTAGGGTTGAATGTTTGGCATCACTCCTAGGAGTTCTGACCCCCCCCCCCCCTTTCCCGTCAGAAGACATGCGTCCAGACCATCGGAAACTGCTCTGGGCCATATTTTCTTGGCTTGCTCTGACAGACAATGTCTGCTCAGCAAGCTCCAAAATGCGCATCCCAGCCTAGCCCTGAAGATTCTCAGGTCCGAAGGGCCCCATTGCAAGGACAAGAATGGGCGCCACAATGGTTTCAGGAAGAGTGGCTCAGGGTGTTTAGGGCTTCGGGTTGCGCATATTGATGCTGGTCTGCTCTCTAATCTGCGGTCTCATAGGGCAACCTTTCGAGGGATTCCGAAAGAAATCATAGTTTGGAGAACAGCCCTTTTCCAAAAAAGGGATGAGTTCTGCAGTGTCACTGAACGGCTCCAAAGCGGGCCGCGGGAGGTGGGCTTAGTTACTTAGTTCTGGGCACCGTTTCTTTTTCCCCTACCTCAAAGCTCGACAGGAATACTCTAAAACGAGCCACTCGGGTCTAGGGTTCAGGGTTCAAATTGTACCAAAACAGACCCTCAAAACGAGGCCCATATGTCTTTTTGCGCGTAAAACCCTTGCATATGCTTGGCCACGGCACAAAGTCTTTGCCTGGTCAACGCAGTGTCTTGAGAGAAAACAATTCACCTTCCTCAAGGGCGATATAATGATAGCCCCGCCCTTATCGTTGAACCATAGGACTCATAATAGGCTTGTAGCTTGCAGTTCCCAGGGCTTACCAGGCTTCATACAAGGCCCCCTGAATACATCGTCCTGCATGTAATGTCCTTATTCTTGGGGGATCGGGGAAGTCGTGAGCAGATGCGAAGACAGGCCTGCGTTCTAAAATGCAGGCTGAGTCTCCGATTCGCAGGTTTTCGGAGGGGATCTGCCCCCCGAGCATCCGGTCAAAAAGATGCGCGGACTTCCTGTGGAATGCGTGCAACCTCCACCACAGAGAGGGCCAGGCTATAGGTCCAAAGAGAGCCCGGCAGAGCAAGTTCAATTCAGCAAATCAAGAGACCATTCCAGGTCCCACACCATCGACTTACAGTGAGACCCGAATTCTGCTCGCATCCCAACTACGTGCGGCAACTCCCAATGCCAGCAATTCAGGGTTTTTAGGGGTTTAGGGTGCTTCAAAAAAAGGGGTTAGGGAACCAAAGGGGGTTCCTATAGTCGGGTTTTGAAGGGGCTTAGCGGGCTCAGGGGTTCGGGAAGTACCCTGATATCATGGGGAATTGGCATCTGCCACCGCTTGATGCAGTACTTTTTGCAGAGGCCGTTGTTTACTTCTCTGGTCTGCTGATTTTTTTCTAGGGGCGGGGGGATTTTTTTTTTGAATGCGCGTGTGAATTGCCCGAAGTCTGCGCTCTGAGGAGGAGCCAGCGAGCATGGGGGCTCAAGCATGATTTGGTAGAAGAGCAGAAGTCTCTATGGGAGCATGCCTATCAGCACAAGACTCCGGGGGTTTTGCCCCAGGAATCTCAAAGAAGATGGAAGTGAAGATGAGCCTTTGTAGGCCCTTGGTAGCCCAGCGGTACCCTTTTTCTGGTCCAAGGCCCCCTTATCAAGTAACCAACCCAGCAAACCAGTGCATGCCCTTTAGGGGTTTAGGGTTTAGGGTTTAGGGTTTAGGGTTAGATGGTTAGTGGGCTGCCTTTGTAGACGCATTTCGGCCAGCCGCTTGTGTAGCCATGGGTCGCGGAGCTGAGAGCTCGACGCCCGAGGGGCCCCCGAGCTGTGAACAAAGGGCCGGTGGCAAAATTCGACCGGGAATCTACTATTTGCTTAAGAACCCCAAAAGAATAAAAAAAGTGATAATCCCTATATTACCCTGAATAAGGAAGAGTCTTTTTTATTTTTTGGGGGTTCTTCAGCAATTAGTACGAATCCTGAATCCTTGCAAGAGGAGTGTGATAAAGCAGAACCCCCATGAACGAGCGCAGATTTGGGCGAAGGGCGGGAAAACGGGGGGGGGGGGGGGGGGGAAGGGCCTTCTTCCAAATTTGAAGTTCGGGGGGTGGCTTGTGAAGTAAACCCTAAACCCTATAAACCCTAAACCCTAAACCCTACTCAGGTTAGAGATGGACTTGGCGGAACTGGAGGCTGCGTGCGCGGAGGTGGGCATTAGCTTTGAGGCCGAGGCTTCCGTGCACCTTGGGCTTTTATGGCTAATATCCCCTCTAAGAAGAATTTTTTGTAGAGTGGGGTATATGACCCCCCAATTTTAGGCTTACCCGTCGGAGGAAATGTAGTCGTATACTTGGAGGTTCACCAATTATAACTGTGCTTATAACCCACGTACAAACCCCTCAAGTGCCCTAACATGATTAATAACTGACATGGTCAGAAGTACAGTTCTAAGTACAGTTATACTTGGTTCATAAGTACCATGAAACTCCAAGTAGGGTATATGACCCCCTTCCCATGTTTCAGGGTTCCTTTGGTCCCATAAGCAGGAGTCCGAAACCCTAAACCCCAAACCCCAAACCCTAAACCCTAAACCCCAAACCCCAAACCCCAAACCCTAAACCCTAAACCCTAAACCCTAAAGCCCTAAGCCCTAAACCCTAAACCCCTAAACCCTAAACCCCAAACCCTAAACCCCTAAACCCTAAACCCTAAACCCCTAACCCTAAACCCCTAAACCCTAAACCCTGAACACTACAAGGCAGGAGTCGGCCTTCGTGGCCGCGGTGTCCGCGCTTGACTTGTTCGAGGGCATGGGCTCCGGGCCATCGGATGGAACGGAGAGCCAGAGACTTGGTAGCCCCAGTGGTACCCTTTGCCTTTCTTTTTGTCTTTTGTGTGTGTGTGTGTTTTATTTTTTTTTTTGGGGGGGGGGGGGGGGTTTTTAGGGTTTAGGGTTTTCGGGTTTTCGGTTTAAGGGTTTCAAGTTTCAAGGGTTCAGGGGGGGGGGGGGGGGGGGTGGGGAGGCGTTCTGGGTTCCCTTGTAAAGTAGCCAACCAAAAACAGGGTACCCTTCCTGTAAAATGGTTAAGTACTGGCTGCCAAGGAGATATGAGTCCTTGTTCAGCATGACCAAGACGGACAGGTTCGAGTCAAAGCGATACTCCACTGTGGATGAAGAGGTAGTGACTTGGTAGCCCAGTGGTACCCTTTTCCTTGTTTTGGTGCAAGGTTCCCTTACAAAGTAACTAAACAACCCCCGCAAAAAAGGGTGCCCCTTATATAAGTTTATCATAATACTAATAGCAATAATATTAATAACAATAAGAATAATAATAGTAATAATAATACGAGTACTGTGGTTCTACTTGTCTACCAAGGTGAGGGGCATCTCTTTGCGCAAGTCCTTGTCGGGATTGGGCCGGGTCTGGCGCTATAAGCCTGCCACCTGGGAGCCAGAGCATCGTGCTGCCTTGCACAATCTTTCATGGAATTTTCGGCCCAAGTGGGATAGGTTTTCTCTATGTTTCCCTTTATGGGTTTTCTAAAGAGGATCCTAATTTAGGCTCTCTCTCTATATTTATATATATATATGCCCCCCGTTGATATGGGGCTTTAAGAGGATCATGTTTAGGAATAATCTTTACCCGTGTTTTTCAGAGGGTTATGACTCGGGGCCAACCGAGGAATGTGGATCACTTGGACGTCTTCCTCTCGCACACGTGGCTTACTGCTGGTTAGCAGGGAATGGGGGAATGAGGTGCCCCATAGAATCCCTTAACGGGTTCAGGGTTTAGGGTTTAGGGTGTGCAAAACAACTAAATAAATAAAGATATACATACATACATATATATCTATAGGGCCCTAATTCCCTCATTCCCTGCGAACCATCAAGGTGGAGGACCCCCGGTTGGCACAAGATCCTGGCTCTCTCCTTCCAGTGTGGCTTGGCTTTCTTCTGGCTGGCGCTTAGGACTTTAGCCCATAAGCCCTTTAGCCCTCCAGGGTTTAGGGTTTAGGGTTTAGGGTTTAGGGTTTAGGGTTTAGGGTTTAGGGTTTAGGGTTTAGGGTTTAGGGTTTGGGGTTCTTCTGGCCGGCGCTTTGGACTGTAAGCCTCTTGGGTGGTTGAAGAAACTGCAATAAGGAGCCCAACAGTTAACCTTTTCGGGGGGGTTCAGAAGTCAGCCAAGGTGGCTGCTGGAACACTCTTGCCCTCTGGTGCGCGGCCGAAATCATGGCCATCGTTCTGTGCTTAGCGGACGTGCTGCCGATGCCTTTGGTGTACGAGGCAAACGTCATGGGCTTCACCCAAGAGCCTAGCTTTGACTGGTGCTGGACAAGGGTTTCTCAGGGGCTCACGGCTTTGGAAGTTGGGAAGGAACCGGTGAAAAAGTCGCGAAGAAAACCTAAGCTCAAGGAACCTTCCGAACAGCTGAGAAACAGCCAAGTTCTCAAGGAGCCCTCCAATCCTTCCGACCCTAAACCCCAAACCCCAAACCCCAAACCCCAAACCCCAAACCCCAAACCCCAAACCCTAAACCCTAAACCCTACAACGGCTCAGGACTGTCCCATGGGCCTCTGGGTGTTTGCCTTTGGCGCATTCGCCCTCTTCCTGGGCCTGCTCCTCACGCCCTACTGGCCGGACCGATGCACTCCGCCCGACGTGGGCTTCATCGACGTCGCCAGCATCGATCAGCAGGAGACCAGGGGTTTAGGGTTTAGAGTTTAGGGTGTAGGGTGTAGGGTTTAGGGTTTAGGGTTTAGGGTGGGCATGAGTTAAGGAAGCAGAGCAGGGGGGCGCACTGAAGCAATGCTGCCCTCGGCTTGAGGTATTTGAAGGCAATTGAAAGGACTTGTTTCGGACCCTAAACTGACCAGCCCTCATTGGTCTAGAGGGAACCGGACATCCGAAGGCCAGCGAACCACAGTCTCGTTTTAGGTGTCGTTGAGTCCACGCGATTATCCAAAGCCCTTGTTTTTTCGGTCCTTTCCTGCCATGGCCTAAACTACAGGCACAAAAGCCCCAGGAACAAGATCCAAAACGGCCCAGAAGCACTGTTGACGAAAGGGGTCCCCAGGCTCCGCAAAGGCTGCTTCAGTTTGGTCCCCAAGGCTAGGGTTTAGGGTTTAGGGTTTAGAGTTTAGGGTTTAGGGTTTGTGGCTTTAGGGTTGTGGTTTTAGGGTTTAGGCTTCCCAAACCATCATAAAACCTCATCTGAAAACCCTATACCCTAAACCCTAGACCCTAGACCCTAGACCCTAGACCCTAAACCCTAAACCCTAAACCCTAAACCTTAAGACACCTGTTGGTCAGCTCGAGCTCCACCTTGCGCTTCTCAGTGGGCACCCTAAGCCCTCACAACCTTACTTGGAGGTTCAGGGTACTTATAACCCCAATTATAGCTGTTTAGGGTTTAGGGTTTAGGGTTTAGGGTTTAGGGTTTAGGGTTTAGGGTACTTATAAGCCCCCTAAGTCCTCTAAGTAGGTTATAAGTAGACTTATAATAAGGGTTATAAGTACCCATGAACCTCCAAGTATGGTCCACCCGTAAAGCCTCCACGAAACCATGACTAGGACGCAGAGTAGGCCCTTTTGTTTCCTTGTTTTTGGGTTGGGGATCCCTTAGAACACCCCCTTAAAAACCCCCCTAACCCTAAACCCTAAACCCTAAACCCTAAACCCTCTTTCCTAGGTTACTCCTGGGTCTAGTTGAGGACCGCCGGCTGATGGAGCGCGGCATATACGGCATCGCAGGAAGCCACTGGCTGTGCTTGTAAATCGGGTTTAGGGTTTAGGGTTTAGGGTACGGCATCGCAGGATTCTTGCGCGTGTCTTCGGAGCTGCGCGTCCTCTGGAGCTCGCCATACTTGCCATGGCCTTACATTTTTCAGACCCATGTTTGGGATTCTATTTCCCTACAGTTTTTTCAGCAACTGCCCTTCAGGAGTAGGTATGACCCATGAAACTGTGGGTAAAGAGGGTCCCAGGTAAGCAAAAAGATCCGATTGCCAGCCTCCAGGCTTTCCAGGAAGGAGCTATCTCATCTACATGCGAGCATGGGGGTTTAGGGTTTAGGGTTTAGGGTTTAGGGTTTAGGGTTTAGGGTTTAGGGTTTGCTGCTGTGTCGGGGCTGATTTTTCGGGGTATCGTAAGTACTCAGTGGGGATTAAGTAGGTGTCGTGCCTGAACGTCAATCAGTGTTCTTGGCGGAAAAAATCGATCTTTGTGTGGTAATGAAAACACAAGCGGACAAAAATAGAAGGATCTTTATGCGGGTGCCAAAAACCCAGGGAATGCTGAAGCCAAGTCGCAAAACCCAAGTAAGGATCCGAACAAAAAATCATCCAGAATCCAGGGTTCCGCAACTGGCTTCCGCGGCTCTGGTGCGCTTAGAGCCGACGGTTCTGTAAAGCTAGACTCTCTAGACTGCTGCTCCCTCTCCTGCGGCGGTAACAAAGCAATGAAAGCACCCATTCCAGCTGATTGGTAACGTTGCGGGCAAGTGTGCCGGCAGAGAGCGTCCTGGATACCGGCAAGACCTTTTAAGTGGAGATGTCCTTACCTGTCCAAAGTCTGCCCTAAGTTTTGGGTGTCCCATTGCGTGACGATTGTGGCCATATATCAGGGGCATGTTGCATCCTAGTTTTGTTGCACGCCGATAAATTTTGTAGGTCTCGCCTCTGGTGCATCTTCGAGCTTGCGGCATACAAGAAGGCAGGAGCATGTCGAAACCTTAACTTTCAGCAACACATCATCGTGTGTCAATGCGTTTTAGGGTTGCTGTGAGGATGGTCCGTCGACACAGTCTAGTTCCTTCTCAAGTAAGCCAACCTGGAGTTTAGACACCACTCCATCGGCTATTGGTTCCGCAGCCAGTGCTTTACATTACCAGCATGATGATGGATGTTGCTTGTGTATCAACCCTAAATCCTATACCTTATAAACCCTAAACCCTAAACCCTTGCAAGTACGGAAAAATGGTTCTCGTTGTCTGCGCAGGTCAACCCTAGTGGCATCATCAGCTTTCGACCTCTCTTTGTCGAGACTTGGCTCACCTACTTGTGGTCCCGACTCCCACGAATCTAATGGTAGTTGTATAGTCCTTCATATAAGGGGTCGCTTTTAGGGGCCCGTATGAAGGGACCATGTAACTACCCAAGAACGCATCAGCATGGTCGGGTTTAAGGTTTCAGGTTCCTGGAAGCACGCGCATGCTTGCTTGGGATGTTGCTTGTTTTTTTTGTTGTTTTTTTGTTTTTTCCGGGGTTTCAGAGGTTCCTTTGGCAATGTTTGTGACGGGTTTTTTAGGGCCAGCGACCCACCTACAACCTGGTTTTGAGCCGCATGTAGTTCACCGCTGCCGACAATGGTCTGTCTGACAATGAGAGGTGCGTGCACGATACTACACAACACTGTGCCACATTGTACTGCGCCATATTGCGCTACGATTACCCTTCATAATTATTCTGTACCATGCCGTGTTTTGCTGTATACTACGCGGTGCCTTTGGCTGTGTTACCGCTTTCGCTGAAAACCGTCTATACTGCGCGAGCTTGTTACATCTCGGTACTTTGCAGCCTTTGCAATGCTACACTTTTTCTCCCCTTCTGTGCTAGTGCCGATACTATACTGTGCTGTACCTGTGTACCGTACTGATACTTTAATAAACCATACTGTGCCATACTCAGCACACGATATCACAGTCTTTATCCCAGAATCCAGGAGAGGATCCTCTTGGGGCTGCTGATGGCCGCGTTGACTTCTGGATTCTGCTTGATTCTGGTGAGGCTGAGCGTTGCAAGCCTTAGGCTTCAGCTGGATGTCTGGGGTATTTCTGAGGCTTTGGTCCTAGCCCTAAACCCTTAAAGTTTTGGGATCTTCCCCCTTATGCTAAGGATGATACTTGTAGTACCCCCCCCCTATTAGAATCCCTGTTAAGGAGCTGTTAGGATAAGGGGGAACATCCCTAAACCCTTCACCCGAAACCCTAAACCCTAAACCCTAAACCCTTCAACTTTGGGAGGTCGGGCACTGGAGGGAGTGTCATGATCTACCTGAACTACGGGGTCTTCGTCCTCCCGTACTTGCTTGTGGCGGCCCTGCTGCGGAGCCCCGGTCCGGGGTTTAGGGTTGAGGGTTTAGGGTTTAGGTTGAGGGTTGAGGGTTGAGGGTTTAGGGTTTAGGGTTTAGGGTTTAGGGTTTAGGATGGAGGCGGGGGGGGGGGGGGGGGGGGGGGGGGGGGGTGTGGAGAATTCACCTTTTGGGAATTTAGGGGTTTAGGGGTTTAGGGTTTAGTGTAGGGTGTAGGAGGAGGGACGAGGGGTTTAACTCAAGCCCGAAACCCTCGAAACCCTAGCCCTGTGAACCCTTAAACCTTATAAGGACCGACCTTTTAAGATGTTACGAGCGTAAGGGTGTAGGATCGGCATTCTGACCTGCTCTTCCTATATATATATATATATAGAGTCCCTAGATACCTAAGTAGCCCCTTAAACAACCCCTAAAATACCCCTTATGAGGGTCCCTCCTTTAGTCCCTTGATGCTCAGGAGGAACTACCAAGAGAAGCACGAGCTGCTGCTGGGTGGAATTGCCCGGTCGGCCCTCGCTCCCCCAGCCTAAACATGTCTAAACCGTAAACCCTAAAACCCGTCTACACATGCGAAAACTTTCTCAACCCTAGACCCAAGATTGTGTGTGCTCTGATGGAATTTGGTAGAGTAGATACGATGTAGAAGCATCCTATTTTCCCTCACAAACGCCAAGGAGTTTGAGCCGAAACCAGACCCTTGCAAAGAGCCCAGGCGACAGGAGCTCGAACATTTCGACTTGAATCAAGTCCAATGCTCGCAGGACTTTGACAGAGACACTGCTGCAATTGGTGAAGGGGGGAGGGGACGCTGAAGGCGTTGAGTCGCAGGCTTTCGTGACAGCCGAGGGTTTGGGGGGGCTTTGTGGGCTTGAGGGTTTTGGGTGTAGGGTTCCGTTCAGGAGCGTGCGTTGGGTTAATGTTAACCTCAGATTTATAAACCCCCCCTCAATTAAGGAATCCCGGCCCGGTGACCGATTTTTTTTCTATGGGCCCTTTTGGGTAGGTCAGGGCTTGGGGGCGGCTCGGGACATCCCGACCCCCCCCCCTCAATAGAGGGTCGGAGCGAAAACAAAAAAACAATTGAGATGGGGGGGGGGGGTGGTTATTAATTCGAGGTCAACATGAATATCGGTAGTGTTGGTCACGGGTGCTGCTTTGGGATGTGGGGCTTAGGGTTGAAGACGTGTTTAGCCTTGTGCCTCATGCCGCTGAGCATTTAGGGTTTAGGGCAGGCAAGCTACCACTGGAGCCCTGAAGCAAAAGGGCTGGGGGTCTGGGCTTCCGCGTGCGGCTACGAAGCCCCTCAAGTTTTATGGTTTGACGCAGTAAACACCAGGCACCATCCAGTCGCGGGTTGTCTCCGACTCTGTTCTGAATTGTCTTTAGCATTGTATATCGTTCCTCAGGTTATTGATTGTCCACTTGTGTTTCTGAACCTTTCAGTAGCCCAAAACGTGTCTTGCTTTTGGGCCTGCCGCCCACCCAGCTAACCACTTTCCCACTTTGCAAATTGTGCTTGTCTTTTTCTGAACCTGCAGCGCAGCTGCTGTCAACTGCCGCAGAAATGCCCTACAAGGGAAGGCCCCAGACAGCATACGAGTGGCCGACCCAGGAAACTATACGGCCGATGTGTCTTCATGATTAGTGCGGGAAGCTGGTCTTGGAACTGCGCGGAACCGCCGGATGCTGGAAGAACAAAGGCAGGTGAAGTCAGCAAACAGGCATAATGCCTAAGCCCCCGAATGTTCAGACTGGCTTCACTCGGAAAGTTTCAGAAAAACCTTCCGGATCACCCCCACGGCCCCTCACTCTTTAAAGTTTAAAGTCCATCTTCTCTCCTCTCGCCACTTATGCCGACGATGTTGGGAATGCCACTTTGACAACACACTACACCGTGCCTACTCTGTTTTTCAACGAGGTGTATGTCAAGTGTGACCTTTGAAAGTTGAGCAATTGGCGGTGTGGAACATGCGACTGCATCCATGGAGCCCTGAACCCTAAACCCCAAATCCTTCTTAAACCCTAAACTGTTGGAAAACCCTTGTTGCCCCACAAACACCGAGGGTTTTTCTGTGTAGGGCTTTAGGCCCAGCGGTTTTGAGGGCTCCGCTGCAGCGAGGAAAGTTCATCCATGCGGCGATCGAGAAGTGGTATGGGAGCAAGGAGAAGCTGCTGTTTCGGTAGCACGTGTCACTCTGCGAAAGGGGGGGGACCGTCCTTGCTGTCTGCAGTCTGGGATCCACAGAACATGACCCTAAACCCTAAACCCTAAAGCTGGCCAGGAGGCCTTCACCGAGCACGTGCGGCGGGACCTGCGGCACGAGCTGGAACCCAGCCTGGCCATCAGCCGCTTTCCACTTCCGTACCTTGGTAGCCCAGTGGTACCCCTTGGGTTTAGGGTTTAGGGTTTAGGGTTTAGGGTTTAGGGTTTAGGGTTTAGGGTTTAGGGTTTTCCCTTGTTTTGGCCCCATCAAAAGGGTGCCCTTCTTAGAACATGGTTACTGGGCTACCAAGGTACCTTCTCTTGTGGTTCGCGACTTTGTTGAGCACCAGCTTCGAATTCTTCTTGGCCCTCTGGAAAGGTGGAGCACCAGTCGCATGCTTAGTGTCCTTCGCCGCCGGAATCCTTGTGGGAATCGACACTTAGTAGCTGACTAGGCAACCTTTAGCCTGGTTTATATAATCCTACGATAATTCAAAAGGTTAACCTTTTTTGTGCTAGGGTATCCTAAACCCTAAACTCTAAGCCCTCAACCCTAAACCCCTATAAGGACATCTTCGTGGCCGCTTCCTGCGTTGTGCTGATGACGCGCCTGTGTGATCGCCTTGCCTTTCGCCGCTTCGGCCCCTTCGACCATCTCCAGTCTCTCCTGATCCTTGGTTTAGGGTTTAGGGTGTAGGGTTTAGGGTTTAGGGTTTCGGGTCCAGGTTGTGTTTTTGTTGGGAGCGCTTGTTGGGAGCGCTTTGCGTGTTAACTGATGTGCGTCGTTGTGTTCATGCTTCTTGTTGCTGCATTTGTTATTTTCTGTTTTTTCCCTCGGGTCACTTTCTCAGAGCCACCAAGGATTTGCGCGATTATCGTCACTCTGTTTAGTGTTTCAAACTCCCTCGCCATTATGGCTTATAGCCACAGCCTGGAGAATAGTCTCCTCTTTGTGCCTCCGGCAAGCTTATGGGCGCTTCAGCGGGGTTCTATGGTTCTGTGGTTCTTCCACTTCTTGGGTTAATAGGGCTTCCGTTTAGAGAAGATCAATTGGGATGTTCCCCCTTATGCTAACAGTCCCGAATTCCCAATAGGGATTAGAACAGGGGGTACTAGACTTCCTACAACGGACTGTTGTGTTGGTATAAGGGGGCACATCCCAAAAGACCAACATGGGGGGGGTTGCTGCCTTTTGCTTTTGTTTTCTAAGGGTGGGGCTCTTGCGAGAAGCCAGGTGACGGTCGCTTTCGTGGTGTCCGTCTTCGTTTGGTGGCTTGACAGGGCCAGGTGAGCCCCTCTGAACTATATTCCCCTTGATAATTGTTTTTTGTTTATATAAAACCCAAGAGGATATTAAAAAACATTATTTTTACTAAGGTTCTAAGGGAGTATAGTGAAAGGGAGAGCCATGAAGGGCCACAAGTGGGTCTGGTCCGAGCCGTCCAGTGGTGAGGGTACATATCCCCTTCACTTGCGTAGCCAGACCGAAAGTCCTTGTGGCAGACTTTTTGGGTGAACCCTAAACCCTAAACCCTAAACCCTAAACCCTAAACCCTAAACCCTAAAAAAAGGCTGGGGGGTGCTTTAAGTCGCCTTCCTGAAGCGACTTCGCCGGAATGAGCGCCTCACTGTTTCACAAAGCCTTCTGAGGAGACTTGGAATGTAGGGTGATCGAACCGAGTTGCCCCCGCCCTAAACCCCCCCCCCAAAAAACCGAGTCAGGCCCTCACCTGATAACGGGGCACCTATGGAGGGTGAGGTACTCTGAAGGGTCGATGACCTCTCCCTCTCGACAGGGATATGAGTAGTTATGCTGGAACCTGCGTAAGTTTCCTCACGGAGGCACTCGCTGCGGAAGTTGCAAAGTGGTTTGTCAACTTTTTCCTCATTCCGGGCATGATTTTGGAAGGCAGCGGAGAGCGTAATGAATGAGCTTCCTGCATGCCTCCCCCTCCACCTGCTAGACACTCCGCAGCTGCGGCAAGAAGAGGAGAAGTTGTTGAATGGGACAGTGAGACTTGAAGAGAGGAGTTGCTAAAGCCCTCTACACCCTGAACCCTGAAAGCCCTAAACCCCCTAGAACCTCCAGATACCATGACTGCATTTAGCTCTCCAGCTGTCGCTCAGCTTGTGGCATGCTACAAGTTGTCTAAGACAACTTCTTTCCTCGCCTTGACGAACTCGAGCATGCTAGACGATTCAGCTATGGAAAAGCCCAATCTCAATCAGTCAGTGTATACCTGAATATATATATATATATACATACATACATATATATATATATGTGTATGTATACAAGCTGCTCATCCTGCGAAGACAGAACTAGGCAACATTGGTCAGGGATCAGCGCACGCAACAGCAACAACACAAAAGCGGCGCGAGCTATGCGAAAAGCCAATTGCTCAGAGCAGGAGAACGAACAGCACCAGCGCTCAAAGTGGCACGAGCTATGCTATTTGGTCAGAGGAGTCAGAGGAGCCGAGGCTACTTGGCCAGAGCAGCAACGCAATCAGAGTTTCAGAGTAAAAGCACATAGAGCACCAGCACTCAAGGCAGACGCGAGCTATGGGGTCAGAGAAGAACACAAAGTTGCAACGAGCTCATTGGTCAGTGCACACAACATTGGCGCGAGATATTCGGTCAGAGCAACAAGACCACCGAAAGTTGCCGCGCTTTCTCTTCGGAGCAGCAGCGCGCAAAGTCAGGACGCAATGTTGGCACAAGCTTCTGAGTTCTGCGTCAGACCCGCAGTCCCCTCACAGTGAGTTGCACATGCGCTGTCAGCTCCGTCAGCCTTGTGAGATTCGTAGAGATTCTATAGATAGTCCCGTGCCCATTGCTTGGGAAGGTCGGGGAATCCCTTCAAGCCGCATCTTTGCCTGCCAACCCCTCTTCCTGGGTCAACGGCTCGGAGCTCCTCCCTTGCTGCAGGATAAACCTTGATTTTTAAGGGTATATTAAGGCTAAATATATGCTTTTGAGGACAAAGCCCCCGTCTTGTGACAGCGACTCATCAGCCCCCAGCCCGGCCATGAATTCCATACCTGATCTTGTGCTGAACATCTTTGGAATCGTTGTTCGTCATGCCATGATTCCTCGTGCCATGTTGCCCTAAGCGTGGTCCGCGCTGCTGGCGCGGGGTGGGGAGCCTTAGGGGGTTCAGGTTTAGGGCCAACTTGGTCCCGGCGCAACTTGGGGCCTTGAAAGGAGGTGCCCGAGACTTTGGAGGCTTCCCGCCGGTACCGGTCGGTTCTCAGTATCATTGACTCATTGATGCGTTCCTAAACCCTAAACCCTAAACCCTAAGATGGGTTTTTCAGTTTGGGGCATCCCAAATCATACCCCACAGCGCATCCAGCCATGAGCCGACTTTGATTCTTCATGCCCACTGTATTCGCATGCTCAACTTGGAGGTTCATGGTACTTATTAACCAATTATAACTGTACTTATAGCCCACTTATGTGCCCCTTTAAGTGCCAAAATGGGGTTAGTTTAAGTACAGTTATAAGCACGGTAATTAGTACCATGGCACCTCCAAGAAGTCGATCGGCCGCAATGGTAGCTGCAGGAAACTTCTGCTGCCTTTGGTGGTTTAGGGTTTAGGGTTTAGGGTTTAGGGTTTAGGGTTTAGGGTTTAGGGTTTAGGGTTTAGGGTTTAGGGTTTAGGGTTTAGGGTTTAGGGTGTTTAGCCAGGGATGCCCTCGTAGCGGCAACTCCCCTCAACAATCTGCAGCTTCCCGCGCAGCCTCTTTTGGCCCACTGCCTCAGGGCACATGTCGCTTTAGAAGTTCATGTTCATCCATATCCAGAATCGCCCCTGCGTTTTCCTGGCCGAACTGCGCAGGTGGGTGGGTGGGGGGGGTTATCCCAATTGCCATTTGAAACCCTAAACGGCCCGAAACCTTGAACACTTAAAAAATTTCATTCAGCGGCACCAACTCAAACTTCTGACTCCAAATCCATGTCTTTTTGGGGAGATGCGTGGGTGCCTTGGGCCTCGCGGTTCACGTAGTTGGGGTGTTTGGCAGGAAACACACACATTCTGGGGACTATCTCGTGTAAAGACCAGAAAAGGGATATATTCCTTCGTTCCGGACTTCCCTGGAGTCATCCTCTATATCCCCCTTGGGAATCATTTTTTTATTTTTGTTTATATAAAACCCGAGAGGATATTAAAAATATTATTTTTAATTAAGGTTCTGAGGGGGGTATAGTCCCTAAGAGAAGCAGAAGACATCATGAGCCTGGTCGGCTCTCCGAGTTAGACCCTATGAAGTCCTTCCTTTGGATCCGCCCTTCAGTTCCAGAGAGGATCCGCCGATGTGCCGGTTTGGGTTGAGGGTGCTCTGTGGCTCTGTGAGTGTGTGTGTGTGTGAGTGTGAGTGAGTGTGAGTGAGTGTGAGTGAGTGTGAGTGAGTGTGAGTGAGTGTGAGTGAGTGTGAGTGAGTGTGAGTGAGTGTGTGTGTGTGTGTGTGTTTGAGTGTGAGTGAGTGTGAGTGAGTGTGAGTGAGTGAGTGTGAGTGAGTGTGAGTGTGTGTGTGTGTGTGTGTCGGTTCATGGGGTTCGGGCGCAGCCTGAAGCATGGTTCTGTTCTGTAGAGGCACTGCCCTCCAAAACCTCTCAGTTGGCTTTCAATGCCCTCGAAACCAGTGTGTGCAGATGTTTTTGGGGATCGTGTGGCCCTGGAACCCCACTTGCACCAGTTTTGCTACATGAAACGCACAAAGCCTTTGGCCCTAAAGCCTTAAAATTTAAACCCTCTGACAGAAAAAGATACACGCCCTTCGAACATCCCCGCCTACAGCTATCCAATGTGGGAGCTCTCAGGGGAATTCACCGGCACTCTCTGCGGGGGGAAAGGGGCACTCCGGGCACCGGGCGGAACCACGGAACCAGACGAGGAGAGCGATGAGAATGGTTGGCTTAAAATCTAAGAACTCCCCCATACCAAGCGCAGGGAACGACAGAGAGAGAGAGAGAGAGACAGAGAGAGAGAGAGAGAGAGAGAGGGATAGGAAGAGGGAGAGAGAGAGAGAGAGAGACGACTTTTGCAGGTGATGAAAGTGGCAGCTGCCTTGGCAGCGGTGCCACTTCTCTTCGCTGTTCGCCTGGGGCTTGGCGCTCTGAAAGGATGCCAGCGAGGATGCTTTCAATATTTTGAGGGCGGGGGTGCGGCCGGGCTTATGTACGGTTTATATGGGGTTTTATGATGGGGTTTTACTTCGGTCTGAAGGAAGGTCCATGCTTAAGCAAAGGTTTGGTCATGGGGCTCAGGGAAAAGCCGGCAGGCATTGGGGCGAATGCAAGGGTTTTGGGATCATTTCTTTCATCTTGGCTGCTTAAAGGAGCACCAAGGAAGTGTGAGTCTCAGAACTTCAGGGGTCTGAAGCCGTTGTGTAGTGTAGTGCCTTCTAGGCTCTACACAGTTTCCTGAAGTTTGCAGTCAAAGTCCTGAACTCCCACCGCCGTGTAGCAGGTCCATACCAGGAAATCAAGCTGCTCGCGGATGACAGCTTGGATGGTGGAGGCAGCATTTGCTTGTTGCAGCCAGTTGCCCTCTCCTGCAATCTCATTGCGTCTGGTGCCTCGAACATTCACGTTTGATTTGTCTGGCAGTGCGCCAGCAGCAGCCACCAATCCTGACATGAGCTTGTGCAGGTTTGCTGTTCGGAATCCTGCTCCACTGTTGCGCTAGTCTCAACAGCTTGAGCCTTGGGGAGTCTGTCAGTAGAAGGCCTCCGACAAAAACCCGAGAACCGTCCAACATCTTGCGTAAACCCAAGCGGTAGGCCACGAGCCAAGCAATTTCTCTGGAAGGCCAAAAGCATGATCATCGACACCATTTCTTGAGTCAGGGAAAAGGCCTGCAAGAGGAGGCTGTGAGGCCCGGTGCTTTTGCTATTCCACAAAGGTCGTGGGAATCTGGGTGGGCTTGAGGGCAGTAACACTTCTAATAACCATATCAGGGCACTTGAGGGGCTAATGAGTGGCTTAAAAAGCACAGGTCTAGTGGGTGAATAAGTACGGAACCAGAGCGGAGCCCCCTGAGCCCTGAAGGTCTAAGGAGAGCCTTCGAGTGGATGCGCTTTGGATGCAAGGGAGCCAGCCAAAGGCTAAACGCAAAGGTCTCGATCAGAAGAAAAGAATCAAAACCCTAAACCCTGAACCAAGTCTGTATGAAAGATAGCACCAGTGTAAGCAGCCGCTGTGCAACTCCCGGACCTGTCCAAGCCCTTAGAGAAACCCCTAAACCCTAAACCCCAAACCCCAAACCCCAAACCCCAAACCCTAAACCCTAAACCCTAAAACGCCCCTTTTCAATCCCCTTGCCCAGGCGGGGCCTTTGCCCAAGAAGCTGCCGAACTGCTCCGACTCAGATGGGGTGCTGGCTCTCTCAGGCCTTTACGAGGCAACTGGGCTTAAAGCCCTAAACCCTAAACCCGGGTTTAGGGTTTACGGTTTAGGGTTTAGGGTTTAGGGTTTAGGGTTTAGGGTTTATAAGGTTTAGGGTCAAAGCTTAGTGGCGGTGGAACCTGGCCACGCTGAAAGGTTTGTGCTCAGAGCTGTCAAGTCTCGTGCTCGCAATGCCGCAGTTGGATTCGCTGATGCAGGCGTTCTGTTTTGCGGGGGGTTTAGGGTGCGGAGCTGCTGCTGGTATTGTAGAAAAGAGTTCGTGTTGGGAGTTGAAAGGGTTAACAAACCCGGAAAAAACATTTATGGCTCAAGACTGGGCCATGTGCCTGGTAGTAAAAGGTGAGTGCCCTGTGGTTTGGGTTTGTTGTGTGGTTGATCCAGGGAAATCAAGGGTTTCTGTTGGGGTTGACTGTTCGGTTTCTCGTCCCCCTTCGGTTTCCCCCCGTAGGTTATGAGCCCAAATTAGGCTTCCTGCGGTGTAGGTAAGATTCTACACTTGTTTGGCGCAATGGACATGTTGCGGCGTCGGTCGGAACCTGGACTGTCATCCGCGGCCAATGAAGCCGAAGAAAATCGTGGTGATGGGGGTGAAGAACGGCAACAAATGGTACAAGCGCTGACAGATGGTAGGGAGGTTGCAATGATACAACCAACGTCTCAGGTGGAAAACGAAGTGGTTCCGGTTCCAGCAGCGAATCCTTTCTGGAGCGAGCGGGCTCATGAAGAAATGAGACTGAGGCAATCAAGGCCAGCAAGTCTCCTTGCGAGCGGAGGGGATAGGAGTGGTGAAGAAACAAGAAGGCCACCGTCGTTGCCAGAACTTCGGGATCGGGAACCTGTTCCAGCTGAGAGGCCATCTTCAGGTTTGATGGGCCAGATGGAAAGAGGGAATATTGGTGAGACACAAGGCGAGGAAGAGATATGGCGGTGGTAAAGCGTGCGCTGAAAGAGTTGCTTGTGCAAACAAAGGAGCTGGGGAACAGATTGCATCGGGTGGAGGAGAAAAGCTATACCTCTGCTGCATCTGGGTCAGCTTCGAGAGCACGGAGCACTGGAGTGGTGGACGCAAATGCTGCATATCCGTTGGGATTGACTCCAGAGAAGCAGTACCTGCCAGGACAAGTTTTCTACACTGATGGTATGGGTGGTTTTTGGACTGTGTTGCCTGATGGGACATGGCTGCCGATTGAGGGCTACGACCTTCCAAAGGGTTGTGACCTTCAACCCTTGCCTGAGCCCAGGAAAGGGGATGTTCACGTGGAGGATGAGAAAGAAGTGCCAATGATGCACGTAACTGAAGGGAAGAAACCCTCCAGATTGCCTCCATTGAATTACCCCATGGGAGGTTCTGCAAGTGGTGGATATGCAAGTGGACCACCTGGTTTAACACATGTTCCGATTACTTCCTTGCCGTCAGGCGTTGATGGTTCTGCCGCACTGTTGGGAAATCAGCCCGGTTTTGTCTCAGCTCGGGAAACTTCAATGCAAGAGAACTCAGCAGGATCGGGTGGATATACAATGGTGGATGATGTTCCATATCGGTGGAAAATGATTGCTGGGAAGTTGGAATTAGAGAAGGTTCCGCTCACAGCGTTTACGCCCGGAATGGGACATGGACTGCCGCAAGGGCCTGGTGGAAAGGTCAGCTTACCTCCTGGAGCTGTGGTGCCACGTGGGATGCCAAACATTGGTGATAGTTCTGGAACTGAACGTCCGGAGGCTCTTGGGAAGCATGTGATGAGCCTTCCTACTTTGGCAGACTACACACCAAGCAATCCGACGGCACTAGGTGATTGGATCGCAATGATCGAACGAATGTTGTCTTCGCTGACAGATACAGGAAGAGTGTGGTGGCAATCCGTCTATACAAAGGCGTATGAGGCTTACGCCAAATGGTTGAGTGTCTCTCCGCTGGAAAGGTTGGGCATCAAGGCTGAGCTGGAAGGGCTCAAGGGGGTTCGAACTGTGCATGTTTTGTTGGAGCAGAGAGCGGTGTCTTTGCTGCTACAAGCGATTCCGGAGAGATTGAAGTCCGAGATCGTTTCCTCGAATGTTGGGGTCGGTGATGATATTTTACAAGTTGCTGACAGTTTACCAACCAGGTGGAGCAAACGAGCGCAGCACGATGTTAAACTTCTTGGTGCAGCCATCCTCAGCAACCTCGATCTCGGAGGCTATTAAGGGAGTGCGACAATGGGCGCAATGGCGTTCCCGGTTAAGGGAGCTGCGAGCATCCGAGCCGGATGCTACCTTGCTTATCAAGGGATTGGATGCTTTATCATCCGCGTTGCTGGCAAAACACCCTACGGTGCATTTCAGAGTGGCATCCTTCCGGGAGAAATTGGGGGTGGACTACTCGCCGACCTCTGAAACTGCGACACAACTAGCTGAAATGTTACAAGCAGAATTCGAACTGCTATTGCATAGCGCTGGTGAACAAGAGGTGAAGCAGGACTCGGACGCCAAGAAAAGGGCCAGGTTAAACAAGGCCCAAAAGGGAACTGGTGACGAGACGGAGGAGGGTGACAAAGGCAAAGGGAAAGGAAAAAGGTACAGCGGAGATGGTGAACGTCCTTTCTGTTGGATATATGGGAAGACAGAAGCAGGCTGCAAGTTCGGATCACGTTGCAAATTTCGCCATGACAAGGACTCCCTGGATCGTGGAAGATGTTTTGAATGTGGGGCCATTAGCCATTTACAGCCGCAGTGTCCATACAAAGATGGTGTAAGTTCCAATGCGGACTTAAATCCTGAAAGGAATAGATCTAAAGGGAATTCTCCCAAAGGGGGAAAGGGCGGCAAAGGTGCAAAATGGGGAAATGCCAAAAAGGCAGAAGTGGCTGAAGTGGGAGATGAGATGGCTAATGCGGGATTGGATAAAGGTTCTGCAAGTCCCTCATCACCATCAACAACCAATCAGGTCCTTGCTGAAGCGTTAGAAGTGCTGAAATCTATGAAGCTGTCATCAGCGCAGTCAGCATCAAGCGGAGATCCCAGTGTTCGAATGTTATGTGACTCTGGATTATTTCAGCAGGAAGGGAGAGTGGCGTTGGTGGATACAGCTGCTACGCATCTTGTGCGGACGCTTTTTCCATGGGAATGTTTACCCGACACTACTGTTATGGTGCAAAGCGCGCTTGGTGGTGTGACAATGAGGATTACAGAGAAAGGGACGTTGATTAGGGAAGACAATGGGCCCCTGATTATCCCTCTCTGGTTGATTTTGGAGTTTGGGGCGAACCTCACCGTGATCAATGGGATGTGTCACGTGAGTGCAAAATCTTCGCTGGACCAACTCTTATGGTTTGAACATGGCTGTTTGGTTATGGATTACAAAACAGCTGAGAAAATGGTTTTGCATGCTGAAAGGCAGCGTGCGTCGTTGTCCCATTCTCAATGGAGGAATGGAAGGGCGGACTGTGGAGTCGGTTCGTCTGATGCCACGTTGTTGCCGAAGCAGGGAGAAGGCCGAGGAGTATGCGTTCTACATGTGGCCAGGGTTTCTGACACCAATGAGTGTTCGGGAATGGGCATGTTGGACTCGGGAGCATCACATCCTCTCAGATCACTTCGTCCTGGTGAACAGCTTCCGCAGCAAAAGGTGTTGGTGTCTTTAGCTGTTGGATCTCGGGAGATGTGTATTACCCCAGGTGGGACCCTGGTAACTCCTGAAATGGTAGATCCACTAGTGCCAATTGGCAAAGCGAGCGCCTTGGTTGGTCTCAGAGTTCAGTGGCGTGGTGGCAAGTGCACAGCCTCACATCCTGTTCTGGGAGAACTTCGCGTTCGTGATCTGAATGGGTGCCCTTGTTTGGAAAAGGAGGTGGCGCTTCAGATCATTGATGAAATGGATTGGTGTTCACCAAAGCAAGCATTGAAGGTGGCACGTATGGTTCAAGGGTGTCCGAATACGGACAACGAGGTGGCTGTAAAAGCGTCGTTGCAAAGCGCAGCGCGGACAGCGTCAGCGAATGAGGAGGAGTTCGTCCAGGCATGCTGGCGGTTTCTTCGGTGGTATTATGGGGATATACCAGAAAATATGCTGATGGAGCTGTTGCCACGTGGAGATATTGCGGCGTTGCCTTTCAACCGTCATAAAAGGAGACGGCTGGCACGAGCAAAAAGGGTGGTGGTACACCTATTTTCGGGAAAACAAAAATGGCATTTTCCCAGTCGGGATGTGGAGGTACTGGAGCTGGATTTGAAAAAGGCGGTGACCTACATAATTCGAGCGTCTGGAAGTATCTTCTGCATCTGGCGGCTGAAGGAAAGGTGGTTGCTGTGGTTGGAGGACCTCCATGCAGGACAGTGTCAAGGTTGAGAGGTGAAGACGGTGGTCCACCTGTATTACGCCGACGCTGTGGGCCTGAACGGTTGGGATTAAAGAGTCTTCCTTGGCCACATCAAGAATTAGCTCAAAAGGATGGTGTTTTACTTCTGAAGATGCTTTTCCTATATGACGTGGCGGTGCATTCAAGGTGTGGAACTGCTGAAGTCATCAATGGGAGTTCTGTCTTCTTTGGTATGGAAAGCCCTGGGGACCCTGAACTCATAGGGAAGGATTTCTCTCAGAACGGCAAAACGGTCTTGAGTGCTGAGGATCTGGTGGATGGTTCTCAGGAAGGGCTCTCAAGTCCTACCTTCTGGAGTTGGCCAGAGGTGAAAAGCTTTTGTGAGCGTTATGGAATGTACGCTGCACATTTTGATCAGGGAGCATTGGGACATGCTCTGGTGAAACCTACGACTTTCCTGGTGTCTGATATGGAACTGTGGGAATCGTTGGAACAGGTTCGCGTGGTTGTTCCGTGGTCGGCAACATTCGCTTCTACCCTGGAAGAACGTATTGGACAGTCCTCCATATGGGCGCGATGGGCGTTTGGATTGGTTAAAAGAATACGTCACAGGTTGGCACAATGGTTGCATGAGAGCGATGCTGAACGGGAAGCTATGGTGTTAAAAAAGGAAGAACGAGAAGGGACGTTACGGAGGCTGACA